ACCATATATAATACCCTCCTATGTAATCTAATAAAAATTAAAATAATTTCTTTTTTTAATATTATACGTATATATATATATATTTTTATATTTAAATTATATTTTATTGCTTCTATAAAAATATAATATTTTATTTGAATATACTGCTACAATTACATATATGTATTTATAATCATTAATTTTATTATATTACTAATGATTTTTTTAAATAGATTAATAATTTAAAATTTATTTTACTGGTGTATTAATTTTGTATTTTTAGTTTAAAGTAGTGTAAAAAAAAATACCCTCTCCGTCCCAACTAATTTGTCCATTTTAGCTGAGGCACGAAGTTTTAGTTATGATGTAATTAGTAAGTAATTAAGAAATATATTAGTAAAAATAATTATGGTATATTAGTAAAAATAATTACAGATTAGAATGACTTAATAGTTAATTAAAATAAAAAATATATATAAATTATGAATTTTAAAATAGGATAAACTGTTTTTTTAGTCCCGTAACTGGACTCCTTTATCATTTTAGTCTTGTAAGTGGAGCATGTCGGAAACTAGTCCCATAAGTGAAAAAATTTTGTTGTTTTAGTCCTCCGGCGCCGGAGATGCCCGCGTGGCTCGCTGGAGGTGATGTGTCCGTCAGGTGTTCCGCCAGGTCAGCGACACCTGGCGGACACGTCACCTCCGGCGAGCCACGCGGGCATCTCCGGCGCCGGAGGACTAAAACAGCGAAAATCTTTCACTTATGGGACTAGTTTCCGACAGGCTCCACTTATGGGACTAAAATGATAAGGGGGTCTAGTTACGGGACTAAAAAAACAGTTTACCCTTTAAAATATGATTAAAGTGTATAATCATATTTCCAAAAAATAAAAGAGATAATTTATATAGGATGGATGAATATAGAAAAAGTGGATAAATTAAGTGTGACGGAAAGAGTAATAGGGGGGGAGGGGCGGTCAACGTGACGCGGGAGAGGCATGAGTGCAGTTCGATCGTTGTAGTGTTAAACTATTATATTTTTTAGTGTATAAATTATATATTATATATTTTGTACAAAACTATATATATTATATTTTTTTTTAATATAAATCGAAAATCGTATTAAAAATTAAGTGGCGATGAGAAATGTTTTCCTAACTACCATTACCATTACCATTGTATTTATTTATTAGATTTATCCTTATCTTTGTAGATTCAAATAGAGTGTCTTCCTTCTAGCGGAACTCTAATTTACTCGGTGGCACGGTCACTTCCACACCGTCCGGTGCGTGCACTATCACCTCGTACACGGCATTCGCCTCCTTCCTGACATTTCTTACGCTTCGTTTATACTTCACAACGCTTTTAAAGCCGGAGAAGGCAACCGAGAACGACGGGTAGTTCAAATCTCCCGGAGAAGGCAACCGAGAACTCTAATATTGTTTTATTCGTCAACTTACATAGTATACATAATTTTATTTTGGATTGTTCAATTATAAAGTAATTTATTTTAAAGTAAATGTGGATTTTATCCCACATGATATATAGTCATATACCCTAATTATATTTTTTAATCTAAAACTATTTTTATTATATGATAAATATTTTTATTAATATATTTTTAATTACTTACTAATTATATTTTTTTAAATTCTCATATCTACGGTAAAAAAACAACGATAGTCGGGATGAAGGGAGTAATAAAATAGAGGCATTGTATCTATACATTGTGAAAGAGTTAGAGTGTGAATATGTGAACAAAAACACAATTGGTCTTCAGTGGCCATTATTTCTACCTTATTTTTTTTATATATATAATAAATAAAGTTTGTTTGATTGCGTTTTATAGTTTATTTGATTTGTATTATAATTTGAATTATTAATTTAAATTTTGTCTTAAATAATATTTTAAATTTGATACTTTTGTATTAGAGATATTTTTATTAATAAAACGTACTGGTTGAACAAAAAAAATATTGATTTTTGTTTCATAAAAAATGACTTAACGGTGTGCTAATTGAACTTGTGATCGCGAGATCATGAGTTCAAATTCGTCAGACGCTAATGATTTAAATAATTATTTAATATAATATTTTGTATCAAAATTTATTTCAATATCTTATAAATATAAAAAATAAATTTTAATATGATATTATTTATAATTAGAAAAATACTATATATTATAGATAACATAACAAATACTAGTATTATTTAAAAATAGAACCAACCATACCCAAATTATTCTTTTTCTAACATTATAACGATATATTTCTATATTAGTCAAAATTTGCCCACAATGAACATTAAAAGAATAATAATAAAAGAAAAAAAAATTCATATATATGTTTAATTTGTCATTTAAATTTATGTTAGTTTTTTCATAAAAATTATATATATTTTTTATTTGTTGTATCATAAAAAAAATAAATAAATAATTAAATACATATACCTACGTTAAAAATTTTGTCAAAAAAATTTGAGCATAAATTTAAATTAGGAAGAAAGTATTTATTTAATGCTATCTCCAATCCGTCGTTCTATTTTTGCAGTTGCTACAGTACAAATGCAGCTGATATACAGTACTTTTACTTCAACCATAAATTTTAATTTTTACTTAAAAAAAGTATATTCTCTATATATTCTTCTTTTATATTATTTTATATAATTTTTCATATTTATAAATTATACCCCAACTTTAATTATTTTTACATTATAATCTATACACATATAATTTATATTTTATTTAAAAATTACATATATTAAAAATTAACATTTATAATTAATAACTATTACAAATAAAATAATTTTAAATAAAATAATTAAATGCTATCGAGACAAATAACTATTTAAAATAAAAATTTATACATAATTTTTTATAAAATAAAAGTACACGTTACTTTAAAAAAATAAAATTATATATCACTTAAAAAAATAAAATTATATATCACTTTTAAAAAATAAAATTACACATTATTTTTTTAAAAAAAAAATAAAATTATATCACTTTCCGAAAATTAAAATTATATATTAATTTTAAAAATATAATCATATATAGGGCTGGCAAACGGATAAGGTCGGGTCGGGTTCAGGTTCGGGTCAGCTGAAACGGCTTATAAAACCTTTGACCTGAACCTGACCCATTTAATTAAATGGGTTGATATTTGCAACCTTAACCTGACCTTTTATTAATTGGTCAGCTTAAATATGATTCATATAACCCGTTTAAATCTAAAATTTTTAAATTTTAATTTAAAATTACAATTTATACTAACAAAAAATTTTAATGCATAATATATATACATATTAAAGTAAAAAATTATTTATTCATATCATAAAACCGATATTCAAGAATTAAATTAACAAACACTACGTAATAGTACATAGCACAATCCTTTTATTTTTTTATTGTTTATTTTTATAAAATTGGCCATAAATATTGAATTGTATTGATAAAATTTAAAAAAATTGAAAATAATATTAATTAAACAGGTTAGACGGGTTATTTTCAGGTCGAAAATGTAAACCTTAATCTGACCCATTTAATTAAATGGGTTAAACGGATTTGACCCAATTATTAATTTGGTCGAAAATCTCAACCCAAATCCAACTATTTCAGGTCAGGTACGGGTCAGGTTAATTTTTGCCGGCCCTAATCCCAAGTAGTAGTGTAAATCCTCTCCTAAATCAATGTGAAGCATTTTAATTCCTAACAAGTTGTATGTATGGTAAGAGAAAATTAAGAACTAAGGATATGTATCGAAGAAGAGAAAACATACACCGTGCTTGGGTATCGTCACAATTGATGAAAGCTTTGTCAAGAATTGCTCGCTAGTTCGAATTATTGTGCAATTCTTTCAACAATGACAGCACCATCCACACCGGGCACCGAGTAACATAAACAAGAATATAAAAGAGAAGGAAGTTTAAACAATGTGATAATTGTTCGAGTTCTTCCTCGTTGAAAACATCAAATATCTGTCATGTAACTGCACCTTTGTTATCACCATACCTTGCAAAGTCACTTTCTCATGGCCATTGTTTTTCAAAAACATGAATTAATTCCTTCCACTTCCATCTTTCTCCGGCTATCTGTGATCAGGTAATGCCATAACTACAAGAGAAATTGATGCATCACCAAAATCCAAATGCCATCACAACCAGACCAAAACTGTAATCAAATACATGACATCGCAGCACCTTATTGGCTGGCTTATTACTACTACAGTTTTTAACTTGTAACACGTTTGATTACGCAACTCATGAAGCGAAGCTTGCATGTCTTGCTTACCCCACTGGCATGATTTACACCAATCACAAAAGCAAATTATTCTTAAACACAATTTAAGGTGATAAAAAAACCATATAGCTAACACGGGTAGACCTTAACCGAGGTCTTAAAAAAACCATTATTCGTTCCACTTCCTTATGGATCAATACAAACAGAAGCAGAGTACGTCCTGAAAAATTAAGAGAATATATATAGGATTTAACTTCCTCCAGGATAATGATGAAATAATTACTGCAATAGTGATTAATTACAGATAAGAGACTTTACAACTTCAGACGGAGAAGAAGAGAACAGCGGCAGATTCCGGCTTCGCCGATCGGAAAGGAGACGGCAAAGGCGAGCGGGTTCAAAAGCTTTGACCCGTTACCGCAACTCGGCCCATATTGAATTCATGGGCTCCAATTTCGGCTATTTTATCTAAATAGCCAGCCCATTACGAATTTTGGTTGGTGGGCCACGAAAAGAAATTAATAATTGTTTTTTTCAAAGTCAGTGTGAAAACTTATATTCCTAGTGTACTGTATAAATATAGTATTACTCTAAATAAAATATATATGATGCTATGTCAGAGCTACATGACCTATCAAATATTGTGTTGTCATCTGTGATCGTAAAATTATAAATTTAGACTCCAATTGATTTTAATTTATGCTTTTTTTAGAGACTGATCTTTTTAAAATTAACAACATAACAGAAAACTTAATTTGATAGTGGAGAGCATTATTAAAATAAAATAAACTAAAAAGTTGCAATAGTATAGTTAAAATGAGTTCGACTTTAAAATAAATACATGCATGCATGGGACTGTGTATATATACAGAGGTGGCAGTCTCGAGGCAATCCAGCCCCATCAGTATCATCACATACTTGTGTATAAATATGCATACGTGTATGTATACACTCCGAGAGATGATGCTGGCGGGACTGGACTGGCGTCGGGACCGGTGATCCCATCCCATACAGAAGGAAGGTACATCAAAGAAAGCAAAAAGTACAACGAAGAATAAGCGACACTTGGGTGCACACAGAGCCCAACACCGGATGAATCTCCACCGTCGATAAAAGACGGCTAAGATTGAAGAGCTCTGTAGATAACAACAAAGCAAGGCAAAATAGCGCGCGTACTGAACACGCACAATTCCTCCATATTCGAATAAACGCCGGCGTAGCTGGCGACCGAGTCATACGAGCTTCCGTCGACGGCTTCCGCCGGCGCCGCATTATCGGCGGCGGCGCACTTGACTCTTCCGGCAATCACGCGGCACACGAGCATTGCGCGCCGCGCGTCGGACGAGACGCCGCCAAGGCAGTCGTGGGCGCGGCCGCTGCTGGCGGTGGTGCGGATTCCAGCGACCTTGTTGGCCGGAAAGCCGTGCCGGATAATAGTGCAGACGCCGCAAGCCGGCACGGAGCCGCACAAGCTGGACGAGCCGCGCGCGCCGAGGGAGCACGTGAGAGTAGCCGAGTGGAATCTCAGCAGCTCGTTCCCGTCGGCGGCGCATCTAGCGCTCCCCTTGCCACGTGCCTTGACCGCATCTCTGTAGTCCTCGAACCGTTGGATCGTGCGCCGAGTCGGCTGGACCTTTAATATCCGTTCGATCTTGCATATTGGATTGTCCTTTTTGAGCCAGCTCGACTTGAAGATAATTTCCACAATGTTGCGGCTCGAGTCGTCAGGCCCCAACTCACACACTGTCCAAAAAATATTATATATTATTATTATGAAGTCATTAATAATATATTTAATAATCAGTGAAGAGGAATCAAAAAACAGATATGCGATTGAAAAAACGCCAATGAAGAAGCGCCACGTAAAACCAGGAGAGATTTTTAGAAGCTCCAGGAGCTCCGAACACCAGACCGATCTGCAGCATGGATTCTACTAAATGAACGGTGCAGATCTATCCGAGTCTCGGAACAGCTGATTAATTGACAGCTGTAAAAAATACTCGCCCGCAGCTGGTCCAGTTTAGAAAACGATGTAACAGAGATGCAGAGACCACTGCTTTAAAGAAAAAAGGCAAGGTTTGGTAGTTTTACTGAAAAAAAATGAATCCTAAAAGAACAATCTTTCACGTTTTGGCAATATATCGTAGTTGCAGTAAATTTTCTCCACCTGGTAAAATTTCACCACAATCAATCATATATATGAAGAAATTAAATAATTGCTACCTGCATGACGAACAGCCTGATGATGTTCCAAGCTTTCGATTTTAGGGAAGACTTCTCCACATTGGGGGCAGGCACAGATGCTCGTTCTTGGCAAAGGGTATCTACAGTTAGCTCATCGTTAGAGGGTTTAATTTATCAGCTAATTAATTACTTTAATGGTAACTCTGAATAGATTAAATTGAATTAAGGACCTTGTGGGATCAACAATGGCGTGGCACTCATAGCAACCGGAGAGCTTCCTCAGCTGCATTCCCCGGCCGGTGTAGGGTGCACTGCACGCGCCTGATCTGACGACCGCGGGGGCCTTTTTGTGGAGAAGCCTGGTTTCGTGGCCGGCGGTGCTGCCCTCCGGCGAATTGTCGGATCGATTGACGACACGTGTGTTGCCATGGACGACATCTCTGAAGCTGCAAATGCTGCTGCAGGAGGAGGAGGGTTTGGAGGGGTGGTGGACTTGGGAGTCCTGGACTTGCTTGCAGGTGAGGAGGTTCTTGAATTGGTCCCATGAAGACTGCTGCTTGGCTGTCTGTTTCTTCCGTTTAGAGGAGGGTTTGTGGGAATTAGGGTTTGGTTGGAAACTCAAGACAGCCATGAAAACGATGAGAGATAGTTCAGAGACTGCAATAGAATTGATGGTGAAGGTCTTTGCTAGCTGCCTCTTTCTCTCATCAAGAAAGGTAGAGTGAGAGAGGAAGAGATGGAGGCTATAAAAATTGGGTGGAGATTCTCTTATAAATTTAATGCAAGGTGCAGGGTGAGGGGGTGGGGTGAGGGATCCAAGATGTGTAAACTAATAAGCTCCTGCTCTGTCTGTACTGTTATTCATTAATGGTTTCTTGATGACACCAAAACCCCACACACATGACAAATAAATACACCACTCGCACACTGCAATAAATAAATATGTTTGTAAGTAGGTCATGAGAGAATAGAGTATTACGCCGTGAATTAACAGTGCCACATTAATGTCCAAATTAAATATTTATACACATCATGTGATTGATTTGGGAATGGACGTACACTTTTGTATTCTCTCCTCCATTTGGAAGCCTTAAGACATACGCTTAAGGGTGTAATGAATCAAATTATTGTGACCCCAAAACCCCAAACGAATTGTCAACTTTCTTTATTTATTTTTTTATTTATTTTTAAGTATGTATGTATATATATATACATATATATCGATCTATATATATGTTTGGAAGGTAGTGATTGTTAATACCTACGCACTAACGGATCCCACTACTACTAGGTAGCTGCTGGCCTGTTTCTTCTGCTCATCAAATTAAGTTATCCTCAGACAATGCAAGCACAATCGAGGTCAATCAAAATGAATACACTAAACTAGATTCTAAGTACAAACAAACAAAAGAATACAACAATTTCAAGACTCACCCACACCCAATATTTATTTGATTTAGTTTTTCATCCTTGGTGAGAAAAATTTTAACCTAGCTACTTAAGTTGGCCAATATTTATTTATTTTACTATTCCAAGTCCTCTCCACTAACTAATTTCAGCAAACGTCCAATCATGAGATTCATAACCATGGTTATTAAAATCAAAGTAGCTAGCTAGCTAGGGTCTACAACCTGTGCAATTGAGGGACAGACAGTTTAATTAATTAATTAACCCTGGAGTAGTTAGAAGTCAGAGATTGGTTCAGCCAATATTCTTACAATGCAATGTTAGTTGGACCAACGTGTGTCTGCTTCATTACACGTCATTCTCAACTGCTGCTAAACAAACTAATCTATCTCAGTTATGAATCTGGTGATCTGATCCCATCCCATGATTACTTCTTGAATTGTATCTAGCTAATGTACTGATGATGATGATGAAATCATGCCCCTAATGATAAACCCTTCTCCTGTAGTAGAGGTTTGGGCTCTCGATCTGAAGTTTATATATGATTTCGGACTTATTTGGCCCAATGAACAGGTAAAAAGATTTTGGCCCATCAAGTGATATATGTCTGATTTTGAGAATATATACGTTGTACTAACCAAATTGTATTGATGTTGGGGTTGTCTGTAAATTTTTTGAAGGAATGAAAATGAAACCACAAAAACTCATTCAACTGGAAACAGACTCAATTACCCCAAGAAACAACTTATTTAATCGATCAGATCAGTGCTGACGGTCATTTATTTATTTTTTTCATAAATATTATAATATAAAACTGAAATATTCTATTTTAAATGATATACAAATCAAATCCTACCATAAATAGAATATATATTTTTAAAATTTATTTTAACATATCTCTTCATCGAACAAACTTGAATTTGTCATAAGTGACCGAAAGTAATGTAATTATTCAATAATTAGAGTCAGAAGTAGGACTCTGAACGGCTGGTAGAATTTGAAACATGATTCGTTTGTTCACATTGGAAGAGTAGTAAACAACGGGACACGTTCACAGATTTCAAAGAGATCCGCCCACTTTCAATAGAATTAGAATCAAAATAAAACTTTCCATGTTGTTAGAGTCGAAAATAGAACTCAATCAATAAAAATTGAAATTACAGAGACGAAAACAACATTAATATTAACAGAAGCAAATACATCAATCAAATATAAAAACATATATATGAAATATAACGGGTCATGAATATACCGAGGATAATCCGACTAAAAATTATTTATAATGAGCTATAAATCATCTAAAAAAATAGTACAAAGCTCTAAAATAAAATAAATACAATAATTATAATATATATTTTTTGAGTACATTTTAACAATAAAGATCCAATTTATAGATCCCTTGTTTGTCCTCAGATTCGATGTAAACTAATAGCCATTAGCTTTCTAGCTTATTGGAGCAGAACACGTGAGAGCATGAATATTGAATCAAGCAAGGTATACATTCCAGCCATTTTTTAACAACTGTCGGTGACGACTGGCGACAGCTTTTTACCATTTCTCTAAACCCCACTTTTGTCACATTTCGCCTAAACCCTCCCCAAAGATGCCATTGTTAATTACACCTTAAATCTCGACTCGAACAAACCCCTCTCCCCAAAATTAGGTCAATCTAATTTCTTACCATTTGGGGACATCGTCGTGTCGTAGATCGACCCACAGATCGAACACGATGGAGGAGAAGGGGAGATCGAGTGGATGGTGTGGGTGGTTCTTGGTGCTCATAGTTTTGGCTGCAATTGGGCTCGGAATCTTCTATGCCGTAAAGCAGAAACAGCACAAATCCGGCGGCGGCGCCGCCCCTGTTCCCGGCCCTCCCGGCGCCGTCGACAAGAAATACGCCGATGCCCTCAAAATTGCAATGCAGTTTTTCGACATCCAAAAATGTACATTTACCTCTTCCCTTTGTTAGATTTCTCTTTAGATCTGTGTATAATAATTGATCACTTTTGTCTTATAATTTTACCCTTATTGATTATACTGCCTGAGCCCTGTTCTGTAGCGACGTTAATTTTATTTGTTGTGAAAGCATGTTGTAAGGAAACTATTTAAGCTTCAAATGGAAGTATGTGTTGTATAAATATTTATAAACATAGGTTGGATTTGATATTTTTGAAGGGATTAAATCCTATCAATCCCAAAAAAGAACCGAACCTAAATTAGGAGGTAATGAAGTTATTGTCAATGATTATTACAGCTGGTAAGCTGGAGAATAATCGAATCCCGTGGCGAGGGGATTCCGCGACGAAGGATGGAAACGCAGCTCAATTAGATCTTTCCAAGGGAATGTACGACGCCGGCGATCACATGAAGTTCGGATTCCCAATGGCGTTTACAGCAACAGTCCTGTCGTGGACAATACTCGAGTATGGCGATCAAATGAAGGTTGTAAATCAATTGGAACCTGCTCAAGACAACCTTAAATGGATTACAGACTACCTCGTGAAGGCGCATCCCTCCGATAATGTTCTCTACATTCAGGTCCCAGTCAACACCTCTGCGCTTTCTCATTACATTGTTATCCCCTGCTGTCTAACTGCTGTTCTTTGTCGAACAGGTTGGAAGCCCGGAAGTGGACCACGCGTGTTGGGACAGACCGGAGGATATGTCCGAGGGAAGACCGCTGACACAAGTGAATTCCTCGGCGCCTGGATCCGATGTTGCTGGCGAGACAGCAGCCGCTCTTGCATCAGCATCTCTGGTTTTCCGGACATCAGATTCTGCGTACTCGGATTCCCTATTAAAGCATGCTAAACAGCTGTTTAAATTCGCTGACGCGTATCGAAATTCTTACAGCGTCACCGTTCCTGAAGTGCAAAATTTCTATAACTCCACCGGCTTCGGCGACGAGCTTTTGTGGGCTGCCAGCTGGCTGTACCACGCGACGGGAGACAAAGCGTATTTCGAATACGTAACCGGGAAAAATGGCGACGATTTTGCGAATTGGGGAAGCCCGACTTGGTTTAGCTGGGATAATAAGCTCGCCGGAGCTCAGGTAATGTCGTAGCAAACTTTGTCGACATTTTCCAAGCCACCGAAAAGTTTACCGGAATTTTTTTTTTCTGCAGGTTCTGCTGTCAAGAGTTAGTTTTTTTGGGGCGAAACCCATCTCGACTTCCAATGTACTTCGGAAGTATAGAAGTTCGGCGGAGGCCGTAATGTGTGGTCTCTTACCAAAATCTCCGACAGCCACGACGAGCAGAACTGACAGTAATCTTCTTCCCGATTTGATAGTTCAATGTCCTTTCCTTACAAGGAAGTATGTCTGAAATCGATGGATGTTGTGTGTGTGCAGATGGTTTGATCTATATAAGTGAATGGAATTCGTTGCAACATCCCGTGGCGTCGGCGTTTTTGGCAGCGATTTACAGCGATTACATGCTGACATCTCGAACTGCGACGATATCGTGCGACGGGCGTAATTTTAGGCCTTCGGATCTCCGGAAGTTCGCGACTTCACAGGTACATTAACCTTAAGATATGTCTTGATATTTCTGGATGTAGATCGAGTCTAATGTCAAATTGTTTTCGGACATGCTCTAGGCAGACTATGTTTTGGGCGATAATCCTATGAAACTGAGTTACCTCGTTGGGTATGGTAATAAATACCCGCAGTTCGTTCATCACCGAGGAGCGTCGATTCCTGCCGATGCAACAACAGGGTGCAAAGACGGATTCAAATGGCTCGAATCAGATCAGCCGAATCCCAATATAGCTACGGGAGCGCTCGTCGGAGGGCCATTTCTCAACGAATCGTTTGTTGATTCGCGAAACAATTCTATGCAAACGGAACCGAGCACGTATAATAGCGCGCTTATCGTCGGGCTGCTTTCGAGCCTCGTCACGACATCATCGGTGGTACAATCTTTCACTTAGTACTATTATTATTTCGATTGATCATTCGACGAAACCATTGAGTGTATGTGTATGTATATGTGTATGTCTATGCCTTATTGTTTGGCTGTAAATTTTGGAAACTGTTTTGAATTACTTAGAGAAAGGGATCCGCCATTGATGAATGCGGGAAGGTCTTGTACTAAAAGATAGAACAGTAGTCGTGTATGTTGTTTTCTTGGATAATTAAGGTTGAAAAAACAATAGGAATAACTTACATATGCTTACAAGAACTCATGTTTTAATTACAGTATAAGAAGAAGAAGAGCCAATCCTATGAAAATTAGTAGGAATTAAGGTCTGTATGTACGTATTTGGTTAAACTGAGGGCAATCCATGTAGTATTTACTTTTTGGGGAGTTTTGACTTTTGGGGACTTGACTCTTGAGAGAGGAGATGTCAAAGTCAACGGGCAATGTCAATGTCTGATCTCGTGTTTGTGTAACCAAGCTGTTGCTCCATCTCCCAACTCAGGGTGGATGCGACGCCATTATGTCTGGGAACGTAATCCTTAAAATTGGAGATTTAATAAATAAATAAATAAATAAATAAAATTCAAGAAAATTCGATGAAATGGTGTAGTGTTGCCTACCTCAAGCTTGGACATGAGTTCATGGGCAGTTTGGGCAGAGACAACAATGTGGCGGGCAGCAGGTGTAATGAAGCCCTCATCCACAGCCTTGTCTATGAAACACAGCAATGAGTTGTAGTAACCATCAACATTCAGTAATCCCACCTGCAAATCAAACCAAATCAACAAAATCGCCACTTCTATATATATATATATATATACACACAATATATTGAATCTTGAAAATCTGAAGATATATATATATATATACAGGTTTGTCATGGATTCCAAGCTGTGCCCAAGTGATGACCTCTAACAGCTCCTCCAATGTTCCATATCCACCTGTACTCACACCCCTAATATTTCATTATACACATATAGAGAGAGAGAGAGAGAGAGAAAGAGTAAGAGAGAGAGAGAGGTTGTTATTACCAGGCAGGGCTATGAAGGCATCAGCATGTCTAGCCATTTCAGCCTTCCTTTGATGCATATCTGAAACTGCCTTCACTTCTCCCACAGGCTCCCCAATTATCTGAAAATCACGTTCACTTTCACTTTCACTTTCTATAATAATAATTTATTTTTAAAAATAAAAATAAAAAATCATCCTAAACAATATGCAAAATTAGATGATGTTAGATACACTACCTCTTTGGGCATAAGGGTTGTCGGAATCACTCTGCAAGAAATATATATTATTAATTCATCCACCACAACAATCATTGATATATTGATTGTGTGTGTGTATATATATATATGTATGTATGTATGTATTGTTTTCTACCCTAAGACGTGGCGGCCGCCATTGAAGACAGCTTTGGAGATCAAGCCCATCAATCCAATGCTCCCTCCACCGTACACCAAGTCGATGTTCCTCTCCACCTGTCATTTTTTAAATATTTCTGTCAACGTCTAATGTCTGGCCATTAACAAGCAAATTAATCAATAAGCAGCACTGTTTGGATCAATTAATAACACTTTATTCTTGCAAATTAATTGTATTACACATTTCACGTTAATCTTGCCCTCCCAAACACCAACCTATCTTCCAGCCCCCAAAATTATCCATAATTTCTAATTACATCCTTAATCAGAAGCTCCTGCTGCTCTTCCCCAAATTCTGTGATTAGACAACATCAATCACACACAAATTCCATTTCTTCGTCTCTCTCTCAGTCTCTCTCTCTCTCGATATATATATATATGTATGTATTATAGAGATTATTATTAATTACCAGTTGTGTTCCGAGCTGGATTGCTGCAATTTGGTAACTGGAGTTCTTGCCAGGGCTGCTGCCACAGAAGACACATATCCTCTTGAATCTTGAAGATGGGTTTGGGAGCTGTTGCACACTATCTTCCATTACTACAAAATAAACCTCGTACTCAACCTTTTCTGTTTTTTTTTTTTCCCTGGGCTTTTGATGTCTTAAACAAGAGATGTCTGAATTTTCTTGTTCTCCCTCACCCTACCTGAGCACTGATTTTTTTGTGGGAGAAATCAGAAAAAAATAGGAAAAAGGTTGTTGGAATTTAGAAATTGCAGAGAGAAGGTGAGAAAATGGGTAGAAAAGAATGAGCAGAATTGCACCCTGGCAAGTAACTTGTCTCCTATAAATACACAAAACGTGAATAGCCATCCACTCAGAACTCCACACGTGGCACCAGATGCCTCTTTAATACTTTCACTCCCAAATATTCTATAATATGTTTACAATATTTTTAAAACAAAAAACAATTAAATATATTAATTTCTAATATATATTTTATCTTTATCATATCACTCAAATAAATATACAATTTTTTTGTCAAAAATAAATATTGCATTATATTTAAATCAAATAAAGTATTTTTATTTTTTTTAAAAAAATATTTTTTTTTTCTATATTTTGATTTTTTTTTAATTTTCAGACGGTGTCCCTTTCAATCTAAAGTAGAAGCAGTGTGCTGTGTAGGGTTGGATGGTGTGCCCTAATTAGTCATATTTGTTTTCTTTTATGACTGTTCCTTCTTTGGTTCGTATGACAGAAGAATTTTTTTTTGGTGATTATATTTATTTATTTAAATAGATTTTAATGGCATTTAGGAAATTAGAGAATTATTGGAAAGATGATGATGAGACAGAGATATGTCGAAGACAAATGTTATGGGCCATAGCGATATCGTGGGATAATGGCCGCCGTACAGCTGCGACACGTGCGCCGACTGACCGGAGGCCACACCTCCGGCCGGCGTCCTACACCACCACACACTTGTCGCCTCTGCCACCAATAATTTTATATATTTTTAATTTATATTTATTTGGACCATGCCCATATGCCATGATGTTAAAATATTTGTACGATGAATTTAATTTGTTAATTAATTAATTAATTTAGAAATAATTAAATAATATAATTCTAAATTTTTATAGTTAAATAGTATAATTAAATTGCTCACTGTTATATATATATATATATTTTTTAGACATATAGTTGATTCAAGAGGTCGATGGCCTCGTTTCTACTTAGACTATAGTATATCAACAATTTAAGTAGAGAGTAAACGAACATTAATTTACTAAGCCAAATGAAGTATAATCTTCATTACTATCTCTGTGAAGAGGTCTGTTTTTTTACAATTTAAATTAAAATAAACACTATTTATTTGACACTATTTTTAATACAAATACGTATAATCTTTTTTTTTTTATATAAAATATAACATTAAAATATTATTTAAACAAAAATTTAAATCAATATCTCATTTCAAATCATAACCAAACAAACCTAAAGTATTTTAATATTAATATATAGTATAAGTCAAGATAAAAGACAAAAATACTCTATTAATATTATATAATATACAAAAATAATAATATTTATATATATATATTATAAATTGTAAAAATACTTTTAATATTAGATAGATAGTACAATCATTACTACTCCTTCCGTCCCATTAATAAGTATCCAATTACTTTTTATATTATATTGAGATATAGTATGAATAAAATTGAAATGACTAAAATAATCTTGTTAGTACGTGTGATATAAAGGTAATGACATTTGTGTAATATATTGTAAGTTGTAAAGGTATTTGTAATGTTAGGCAGATAGTACAGTTACTAAAAAAAAGAAATTGATACTTTGCTATGGGATGGACTAAAATGGAAAAATAGATACTTTGTTACGAGACCGACGGAGTATATCATATTATTACTCTATAAATATTATAAGATGAATACTTCGGTTGTAAGGATGAAAATAAAATAAAAATTTGGTTTTTTTGTAATTTTAAACTAATATCAATATTATTTATCTTTCATAATTTTAATAAAAAAATATATTATTTTATTCATCAAGTATTATATTGAAATATATTTAAATAAAAATTTAATTTCAAATTATTTTAAATCACAATTAAATAAACCGAATAATGTATTAAGGGATACATGATGGTGAATTGATTTGACTAATATTAATATACTCTCCCGTCCCGCGACCCTATTTCTTTTTTGGTACAGTTTTACAAAAATGATCTTTTTTTATTTTTGTAAATTTATCAATTTTAAACATACTTAACAAATATAAATTAATTTAATTAAATTTTTAACATCTTACGCATAGAAACCACTCAAAACCCTTTTATTTCTATCTAACAAATATTTTTTTTATTCATTTGTATTATATAAAATTTTATTGTCTACATAATGATATTCATATTGCATATATTTATTGAGATATAATTCTAAAAATATTTAAAATATCAACAATATTACACATATAAAAAATAATAAATTATTATATTAACTTATTATTAATAACTTAATAACTTACATTATCTAAGATACCGTGTTTCTAACAAAATGCGAGACGGAAGAAGTATTTTTTTTTAGTCTCAACTCAAAGTTTATTTTTATTATTATTTTCTTTCACCCAAAAGTATTATTTTCATAATATAGTAAAAACATTTTATATACAAATATGAAAATATCATAATTTTTACACAAATTATAAAAATATCTTGATTTATTTGTATTTTATATGAGCAAGAATATCAAATTATTTTCCAAATTTTTATTTAAGAAAATATAAACACCCTTCTACATGGAATGGACGAAGTATATATATATAATTGGGGTGTTGAATTCAATGCTTCTTATCCAATCAATCAATCAATCAATGGATATAATTTATATATTTATTAAAAGTTGAATTGGCTTTTTACCCTCTCAACTCAAACAGCCATAATGCAAGTGGTGGCCCTTGTCATGGACCTACATTACATACACCTATAACGAAATATATTACTATTATTATTATTAAGTTTTTATTAAATATAAGGTTTTGAAGTAGGAGTATCATGCTAGAATATTCATTATTATTATTATTATTATTATTATACGCCTCTTTAGTTGCGTGTCACTATGAAGAGTAGTACTCTTTTCGTCCTATTTCTTATATCTACTTTTTTATTTGTATTTGTTCCACTTATTTTGTTAATTTTTTTAAAAAAATAATTATACATTTTAATTTTATTTAAAAAATTTAATTTATAATTTTTTAATTTTAATTATACTAATAAGTTATTTTAATCTTAATTTATAATTATTTTTATTATACGATAATTATTTTCACTAATATATTTTTAATTATTTACTAATTACAGTAAAGCGGACAAAATATCCGGGATGAAAGAAGTATAATATATTTAATACGATCCTGCAAAAGCAAAGAATTAATTCAAAATAAACGCTACAAACTTAAAATAGTTAAGATAATATAATTTTTTCCAAAATAATTATGACAAATTATTAAGTTAATAACAATGGCATGAAAATGCCTTTACTACATTACTGGTGAGTATGGGCATTTTCTTAAAAGAAATAAATAAATTAAATTCTCACAATTGAGAATGTCTGCTGCTTCTAATCAATGCTAATTCAATAAAAGTAGAGTAGTCCCACTATTATTATTATTATTATTATTATTATTTTATTTATTATTTTTTGTAATAACGTGAGAACTACAGTCGCTACCAAAAAATGCGCACATAATTCCCCGGCCGAATTATTATTATTATTATTATTATTATTATTATTATTATTATTATTATTATTATTATTATTTGGTGTGGTAATTAATTAATTAATTAATTATATCAACATCAAATAGTCAAAAGTATATGTCTGCGCGAGAACACAAGGTTCTGATGCGCCACCGCATGCACTCACAAACATATGTATAATTAATTGTTTCCATCAATTAAATATTAGGGCAATATAGATATAAGGCTAAGCCTATTATTGGCAAATTAAATTAAATTAATTGCAGTTCTTATCTAAGTAATCACTACAAAGTAAATAAATAAATTGCGGGTGAAAGAATTTCCTTGCATGCTGCTATAATAAAAACGAATTGATGTGAAAGCCAATATTAATTTGCCGACAGCGTCTTTACTACTATAGTAGTTTTAGTTTTTTATTTATTGACATTATATTTTTTATTTCAACTATTTTTTTTTTTAAAAAAAAATGAAACATACTTTTAATATTTTAATTCTATATATATTTAATTTAAAAAGTATTTATCTATACAATAATTTACGCTAATTACACATAAATAAATCTATACTAAATAAAATTTTATTATTTATACAACGACATTAACGTAAATATATTTTATTAAAATATAAAATTTAAAATATTAAAAGTATTTTAAAATTTATTTTAAATTAATTACAACCAAGCATTTCATTCAACAATAAAATCCAACTTGCAACTAAATTTGCCATAAGTTGTCGAGATGATTATAAAATGATACGTAGTAGACAAGGAAGAGTTGATGACGCAAGCAAATACGTCATCTTATGTAAACTTCATATAAAATACATTGACCCTATAAATATCTAATATGGAAACAGATCCCAGATTTGAAAATAATAATATAAGACTTTATTTATACGTATATATATATATGATAAGTTTTAACATTATTTATTCAAAATAATTATATATATAATCACTTTAAATATATATTTCTATATATATGAAAAAAATCAAATCAAACCTCCAATTAAAAAATAAAATATAAAATCTCTAAACAGCTTATGTCTAAGCCTAAATTGCCTGTCGACATAATGAATCACGTGAGCTACGTCGTCCTCAACTATCAACTAATTAATAAATTTATATATTCATGCATCCCCATTTTCATAAATCGATCATTATATATAAAAAGAGTGACACCAAGAAGACAAGAAAACTATATATATATATATATATACTCAAAATATGATTTTATGTTTTTTAGTGATTAATTTGGTAACAATTGTGTTTGTGGCATGTGATGTGAGTGATAATATTCAACACTTAATAGATAAAAAGAGATTAGTTCTCCACTTAAATTATTTGGCTCAGGACAGTTACAGAAGCTGTTCATATTCAATAAATCAACAAACTGGTAAAAAGAAAGCATGTAATAAGGAATAGTAAATAGGTAGCACTGGAAAAGACTCCATTTTTATGTCATTGCAGATCCTAACATCCTACAAATAAGATGCAAATTAACACAAGTATGGAGCTCTTACATGTTAGAAAGAACCTGCGACCAAACGAACGCGCCATGAAATTCAAGAAATGCACCTGTGAAATTCACTGTGGCTTTTCCTCTGCTTTCCGGGGCTGCAGGAAAACACAAAGCAACGGATAAAGTAGTCGAGAAATGGAGCGCCGTGATATGATATCATAAATACTTCACATGTATCGAACCCCAATCACATTATTTCGATATCTATCAAAGAATTGAAGGCTCTAGATATTGGGACAATTCAATTACAATACATGATATGTAATTGAGCCAAACAAAAGTTTAATTACATAGCAAAAATAGCCCCGGTCATCCAAATACAAAAGGGAGTCGGAAATCTAAATTTGATAAGGCAAACAAGTTAATTCGAAAGATTCATCAAACGTTTTTAGAACTCCAAGATCAACGATCATCGGTTCTAACTTCGCAACATATGGCCAAGGTAATTGATATTCAATACTTTCCAGAACAAGATATCTATTGATCATAGTTGTTATCATAAGGCACAATCTATGGATACATAACAAGGATCATATTTTAACTGTTAAGAACATAATTGCTAAGAAACATAGCATTCGACTCTTATGATGACCATAAGAAATTAAAAGAGTAAAATGGGGATTCATATTAGTTCATAAGCACAGCTTGATGGAAATCAATAAGAGGATTCTCCAGGAATCGAAGTATGGAATGTTCTAGAAGCAATCTCGCGGACACAAAAGGCACTCAACATGTTCGACGAATTGCCCCAAAAAGAAAAAACTCAAATTGACTAAAGAGATTTCGATCAATCACATCACAATACGAAAAAAACCAAAATTAAGGAAGGCGTTACCTTGATTCCAGTAAATGGCTGCCGCAGTTCTTCTTCGGGGATGTTGACGGGCCACTTCTCACCAGCTTCGCGGAACATTTGTTCAGTCTCGAGACTCTGACCCTTCTGAAGAATTAATTGGCGGATATGCTGGGCCGCAGTGGAGGTCGCGTCGAAACTCTCCTCGACGCCATTGACGAACGTGACGGTGATCTTGGGCGGGAAATCGTCGGTGCGGCGCTTGACTTGAATCTGGCAGCTAGGGTTTGATTCCTTGGCCTTGCGCGCATTGCACTGCGCCAGGAACTCCATACACGACGCTAATCGCGGGTCCAGTGCGTTGAATTCGATCCTCACCTTCGACAGGAACTTCAACATCCTTACTCTTTCTGCATCAAACGCTAAGTTTTCACAAAATCCAGTTTTGTAAATGAGGGCTTTTAAGACCATCTGCAACCCGGCGCATAAAAAAAAAAATAATAGATATATTGAGTATCTCCGGAAGATTAATTGCCATGTGTTTCAATTTGGGACACAATATGACAATTATATATATATATATATATATATATGATATATATTGTACTTTCTCTCTTCAAAATTATAATCTTATTTGAATTAGGCATGAAATATAACGAATATTACTCCCTCCGTCCCGTAATTTGTCCATATTTTTTATTTTCGTCCATCCACGTAACTTATCCTTACTATATTTGGAAATATAATTATGTATTTTAATAGCATTTAAAATTTTAAATTTTATAATTTTTTAAATTTTAATTAAACTATTTATTTATCTTAATATTAATCTATAATTATTTTTACTAAATAATAATTATTTTTACTAATATATCTACAGTCCCATATTTTCTGGGACGGAGGAAGTAATATATATTGATAATCTGTAAAAAGTACGGAGTAAAAGACTTTATTACCATTGTGAATGCATTAGTATAAAAAGTAGTGACATTTGTGTAATAAACGAAAATATAGGAATAATTTTATGGTGATACGAGTATTTATGAAAATGAGACTATTGTTTTGGGACGAACGAAAATAGTAAATAAGACTATTATATTGGGACGAATGGAGTATATGTTTTGTTTTTTTGTAATTTATATTGAATTTAGTGTTATATTTAAATTTTGTAATATTTTTATAATTCATAATATTTTGTATTCTGCAAAATGATACCAATATTGAATATATTTTATTAATTTAAATTTTAAAATATATAAATACAAATATTATATAATTCTATTGAACAAATAATATTAATAAATTTAATTTAATTTATTAAATAAAAATATAATTATAATTTTAAAGCAATTAAATAATATAAATTATATTAAACAATAAATATATTTAGTTTATTATTAATTATACATACATAATTAATAATAAGATATTAAAAATAATTAATAAAAAATTAAAACTATAATTATACATACATAAATAATTACTACTAAAAAATAAAATTATAATTAAAAAATAATATATATATATATAATATAAAAATAAAAATTTATTAAAAATTAGGATGAGTTTCTTGAATGTGTCGCGGGTAACAAAATGCAGATACCCAACTGTTGGGTATCTCCGTTGCGGATGGTCTAACTAGACTTGCCCAGGCGATTTCGAACCGCCGGTCCAATTCGCCCGGACCCGAACCTATAACGGTTCGATTTCGATTCCCATTTTAAAAATTTGTAACCTAATCATTTTAACCTCCACGCTCTGATCAAGATCAAATTCAAATGTCACAGAGGTAAGAGCATGACACAATCAAAATAATTTTAAAAATTGAAGTATGGAATTGAAATGGCATAAATCAGAGTATACCCAACTATGTATAAGAGAAGCCACTACAAACTACAGCATCACATTACAAATTTCCCAAAAGGAAGATGATCATAACCTTCATCCAGCCTAAAAGCAAACCATAGTTTCTTGCATAAAAGAACACTTGGCACCTTTCTTGCAATCCCTTTAAGATTGGAAAAACATACACATACATACATACATCCATAGTTTCTCTGGTTTGGATCTCTTGTAATAATTGATGCCCTTTGTCACCAAACTTCTTCAACTGTTACTTGGGATGCTGATTCGAATCCAGTAAATACTCTTCTTGCAAATCTTTTTCTAAGGTTCGATAATAGAATCTGCCATGTTACGGCATTGGGCGTAAATCCACCGGCTACTTCCCTATCAAGAAACGCAAATGCTTCCTCCGGAAAACCAGCTTTACAGTAAGAATCAATCAAGATGTTGTAAGTGATGGCATCTGGACGAACACCTTCGCTTTTCAATTTCTCGAACAAGTTATAACCCTCTTGGATCCTTCGCATCCGGCAGAGGCCATTAATAAGGTTGTTGTAAGCAGCAATGTCCGGTTTCAGCCCTCTGTAAACCATTTCTTTAAGAAACTCGAGCGCCTTCTGAATCTTACCAGCTCTGCATAAATGACTAATCAGTATATTGCAACAGAGGTTGTTGGCGTGGAGACCGTTGCTCATCATTTCTTCGTAAAGTCCCATTGCCTTTTCGACAGATCCGTCTTCACAGAGCGCTTTTATGAGGCTGGTGTAAGTGAACTCATCGAGAGGGCATCCTCTGAATAGCATGTCGTCTACGAGCCTGAACGCTTCTTGCATCGCCCTTTTCTTCAGGAACGCGTGAATCAGAGTGTTGTAGGTTACGGTATTCGCGATGACACCGTCGAGGAACATATCTCGATACATGTTCATAGCCTCGTCCATTTTTCCGATCTTTGTAAGCCCGTGTATCAACGAATTAAACGTGAATACGTCAGCTTTGCATCTTCGGCTTCTCATGGTGTGAAAAAGCTCGAAGGCTTTCTGAACTTGTTCATCCTTACAGAAAGCGGAGATCAGACAGTTATATCCTACCGTATTCAGCGAAAGACCTTTACGCCACATCTCATCTACGACGCCTTCGGCTTCTTGAATCCGACCTTTCTTACAGAACCCATCGATCAGAATGGTGTAGGTGATTATGTTTGGCTCACATCCCTTCATTGACAGCTCGTCGACCGCTTGACGAGCAGAGGATAACAGCCCTCTCTTACAAAGCCCACGGATAAGAATATTGTATGTATAAACATCCGGCTGGCAACCCATGCTATCGTTCAACACAGCTTTAGCTTCTTCGAATCGATTACTGGAAACGTAACCGTTTATCAAAGTGTTGAACAGGACAATGTTTGGGTTCGGCACTTTCGTCAGGAGCGCCCGAGCTTCGTCCACTTGGCCTGTTCTGCAAAGTCCTTGCATTAAAACTCCATAGCTTATAGCAACAGGGGTAAAACCTCGAACAATCATCCTATCGACAAGTTTGGCAGCCTCACGAACACGACCAACACGGCAAAGGCCGATTATGACATCGTTGAACGTATTTACATCAGGCGAACAGCCCATGAGAAACATCTCCTCCAACAGCTTCATAGCATCATTCACTCTATTAGCAACAGATAGCGCGTGTATAAGCGTCTGATAAACTATCGAATTCGGCACACACCCGTGCTTCGTCATGTCTCTGAGAAGGGAACATCCGGAATCGACCTCGTTCATCATACAAAGTGCGTGAATAACCCTACCAAAAGTAAACACAGTAGGAGATAGACCTTTGCTCAACATCTCATAAATAACATTCGTCGCAACTTTGGGACAATTGCCGCCTACTAGAACATCCAAGACAACATTGTAAGATTTAAACGTCGGTTCACAAGAAAAGATGCTCCTCATATCGAAAAGCAGCCTTGTCGCTTGTCCGGGCAAGCCGGCGTTTCCATAATGCCTCATAATCGTAATAAAGAGAGACTCTTTAAAAACTATCCCCTCGACTTTCATATCAAACAACAGTTTATCAACAATTTTAAACTCTTTCACAGCCCCGGCTTTATCAATAAGAGTATAGTACACATCAAAAGTATGGCGATAGCCAGGTTGGCTTCCAGCCCATTGAAACAACTCCATTGATGTAGGCACATCAAGTTGGAGCTGTAGCAATTTATTCAGCTGAAAAGGGGTTATTCTATTGAGCGATTTTCTGAGCTCTTCAAGGTCAAAAGGCTTGAGCAGACTCTCCCATTCATTCTGAGATTCTGCTCCATGGCTAATATCAGCATTACAGCGTATGGGAATCAGATTCGTCGAAGATGCATAAATTGAAAGATTGATCATCTTCGGCAGAGTATTTAACATATGGAAAATGCATACCCTATGTTGAGATCGTAGAAGCATAACACTAGTTTCAGGTCACATCCATAAAACCCTAGATTCGGAGGAAGCAGCAGACCGAATAGCCTGCCCAGAAGAAAAGAGATTTCAAATTCATAAAGTGGAATGGAAGATCCAACGGTCCGAAGAATTTATTGATTCGGTGATGAAACTGCGTCCGATTAATGAATAGAACCGATTTTATGAAACATTTTACCTGAAGACAACCTCCAACCGTAGCAACCACTTTTAATCGAAATTTCTGGCGGAAGGGTGGAGACGGAAGGCCGACGAGAATACGAAGAGCTTCTCAGCGGGATGAAGAAGAAGAACAAGGCGAAGAAAAAAGAAAAGAAAGAACCATACACTGCAGTAGAACTTGGGAAAGAGAAGGAGACGGAGTAGACAGAAGGGGGCGGGGGGCGCGGGCCGGGTATCTACGGTAGGCAGTAGGGTATATTTTTTCAGTATTTTTTTGACATTTAAGAAATACTCCTCCCACATTATTTTTTTTTATGTTTTTTTAATAATATTATAATTATATATTTTAATTATATTTATAATTTTATAATTTAATATTTTTTAACTTGAATTAAATTTTTAAATTTTAATCTATAATTTATTTTATTATGTAACAATTATTTTTATTATTATATTTTTAATTAGTTGTTAATTATATTTTTTTAATTTTCTCAATATTTTTTATTTTTCCATTTTAATTTATAAATTTAAATTTATTTTACTTATTTTATATAAATATAAAATTATTTTTATTTTATGTCACATTATTATTTCTTAAAAAAAAAAGTATAAAATTATCTTTATATACATTTTAGGTCCTCTCTCTTGTGACATCTCTCACAAATAATTATAACACTTTTCTCTCTTAATATAGTGCATCTATCTCACAAATAACTGTAAAAATTATTGTGCACAATTTTATTATAAGCTCTTTTAAAATATAAAGTGTGATTGTTTTGTGAGATTTTTTAAGATAAAATTTTTTTATATAAAAGTATAAAAAATTGCGTAAAATATATAAAAATAACGAATAAGTGTAGTATATTAATTTTTTTTAAAAAAAAAGTCAATGTGGGAAAAAAATTTAAAAAGAACACTCTCATATGTCTAAACATATACCTCTATTTAGATAGGATATTTGGAGATTTTTAAAACTTTGGAAATTAAAAAATAAATAAATAATTAGTGTTTAACTTATGTTTTGTGAAAAAAAAAAATATCTGGTTTCGGTCCCACACTATTTCTATTTTTATCTGTCTCGTAATAATTGATATTTTTCTATTTTTTAGTAAAAATTATTACACAAAAATATATTTAACAAATATAAATCAACTTAATATACAATGACGATGATCAACTCAAAATCCCTTTATTTCTACCTCTCTCCTAGAAAAAATAAATATTTTATTTATATTTAAAAATATATATCTTTTATAAAATTTATTTATGTTAATTATAAATAAGCGAAAATATTTTTTTATTTACTTGTATTATAGAAAATCTTATTCTTTAAAAAATGATATTCATATTATATATATATTTTTTAATTGCTATATAATTTTTAAATATTTAAATATATATTTTAATTTTTTTAATCATATATATTAAATTTACTTTAAAATTATAAATATTATTAATTATACAAAAAATAATATAATAATATCATAACTAATTAGTGTTTGATAAGATATTTTTTAAAAAATTAATAATGCTTCCTCTTTTCCCATTTTCTCTTTCCTTCGTCGCCTCCTCCGACTCTTTACTCTCTTTCTTTCATAGCACCATAGTTTGATCTCTCATCAACAAACACATACCTTCGTTTTTACTATAATTTCTTCATATCTTTCTCACTCTAATTTGAGAAGATGAACCATCAAAAACAAATTTAAGGAGAAAAAAAGGGCTTTTTTTGGTCTGTTGGTTAAGTGGATTGATTGTGTTTGGAGGTGAAAAGTTTGAGAAGAAAGCTCAAGTTCTTTGCAACCCTAGAGATGGATCAATCACCAGTAAAGGGTTTCTTACATATAAAATGAATGTTAAAAACGTGAATGAAGTTGCAACAACCAAAGAAGCTTCGGTAACAGCTAATGCAGGAAGTTTTTGATCTTTCTACACAATGAATTCAATGGAATTGAACACTGTTTGTTAATGTGGTCCAAAAGGAACAATACTTTCTATATATTATGAAGAACACACAATGTATGTCTGAAAGATAGATTAGCTGTTATGAATGAAACCTGGGCGCTATGCCGAGGCAGGAGCAGCCGATGCGGCGGAAGTTGTCGAGCTTGTAGTAACCGGGAATCGTTGCCATTCTGCATCTCTGATTTCCATGTTTGCAAGCTTCAAACGTTGAACATCCGCAAGTAACGTCTCGTGCAGAGCTGCCGCACAAGAACAAAAACAAATTAATTCAATCTTGTCTGTCGAAATGTAATGGAAAAGAAACGAACAGAATGAATTCCTACCTCCTCTAAGCTGTGCCTGTTGTTCCATGGCTTCAACGCGGAATTTCAGCTCATTGTTCAGAGTCATTAGCTTCATGTGGTCTTTCTGAAGAAGACATGCAAATTCAGTTATCACAAACATGGCTATTACTGAATGAATTATGTAATGAAATTTGTTACTATGTATGTATGTACCTGCAGAAGTGTGATTTGTGCGGATAGAGTGGTGGCCTCGGTTTGTAGAGTCTGCACCTTGTTTTCCAATTCAAAGATGTAGCGCAGCTTCCGCTCCTTAGAACGAGCAGCTGATTGTCTATTCGCCAGTATCCTGAGACGAAACAAGCGATGTAAGAAAGCCCAATTTAGTGCACATCAATGAAACAATTTTAGCAGTAGCATACTAAACCATACCTCTTTGCCTGTTTTGGGTCCGAGATTGCGATTTCTGCAAGCCTTTCATCTGCCACAATCTTTTGCAGCTCAAAATCATTGAATTCACTCTGACCGATCTCTAAGTTGGATTTATCCAACTTTACATCGAATGAACAGTTCAGAAAGAACTGATCTTCCTGTCTACCAATATCGAAATTTCCAAAAGCACTGTCCATAGAAAGGCTTCTTGAATGCCTAAACTGGGGCGTGGGCGTAACATCTCCAACTGCACTTCTTTTGATTCCTTCCCCAGAATTCGGACAGTGCCTCGACACTGTTTCAGACTCGGAATTGCTGCTCTCACCACCGCTCATCTTTGTGTTACTACTAACTGTGTCCTTATCTTTATCCACATGATCAAAATTCATTAGCGAATCAAACAGTTCATCAGCAACAACCCCATCTGGTTTACCCTCAACAGCATCCATTCCTCGCCTCTTCAGCCCTATAGGTTTCTGTTCGCCTAAATCCATTGTTCCTGCAAGGCTTCCTACAGGTACAAGCTGAGGTGAAGACTGAATTATATCGGAGAATCCCAAGAGTACATCACTGTTAGATCGACGATGTCTAGGCCCTCTTCGAGGTGGAAGCCCATTACTACAATGGAAATGGTTTCCCCTAGGAGAAGTCAGAGCAGACACATATCCCCTTGAACTAACATCTACTTCATCAATTGACATGTTCCTAAACTCCGAGCTAGACAAAATCGATGAAGGATCACTAGGGAGTGAAGGACTTAATGGAGGCAGGCAACTATTCACAAAAATGGATTGCTGAGATGAAGACCTCGCGTGAGAACCAGCAATTCGGTTAGGGCATTTTTCTAGATTTGTATGAGCCATCAAAATGAAGAAGATTCCACAGATAAACTACCAATTCGATTAATCTCCTTGTTCGCTCGAGAAAGGCTATACAAGCCCTAACTCGTTGATCGAACAGCTCAAATACTACAATCAAAAAGCTAGTTCCAGAATCAACTCAATTTCGGGAGGAAAACTGTACCACAATTCTAAACACAAGATGGATTGATTGATAGAAACTAATTATCCAAAGAAACCCTCGCGGTGGATTCCATTTAAAATTCCCAAACCTTCAGGCATCAAATGCTGCTCATCCACACTCGCCTGCAGGCACCACTTCAACCTATCAGCATAAATAAACAAGATATTTAAGAAAAATTAAGAGGATTCAACAGAAGAACATCAAAGCTAATAGATTGATTGCTTACAAGGTGAAATTAGCAGTGCGAATGCCGGTCAGTAGCCGACGACTGCACTAGATGAAAACAGGATATCGATTCTGGAAACAATTGCTATTAAGCGGTGGAAAAAGGAGAAATTGGGCGAGTCCCGCTGGAAACGGCGATGATTACGTTGACAAATAAAAAATACAATAGGAAACAGAGGAGTGCAGAAAAAGACAAAAACTTGTTGGATTGCATAAAAACAACGCGTATTATTACAAAATTCTACTTTGACCCCACAAATTATGGAATGTCAGGTCTTTGCTTTTTGGGCTTTGCAAAGCCCATCTCCCAAGATTGATTTTTAAAAAGAATATAATTAATATTTTCATATAATTAATATTTTCTTCATTTCACTCCAACATACTTCCTCCTCCATCCCACCAAAATACTTCCTCCTCCATCCCACGTAATGTCTGCTCCAATGCTGTAGACACGGTATTTTAAAAAAATTTATTTAGTAGATAATTAAAAATATAGTAGTAAAAATATTTATTTGATAATATAAATAATTATAAATTAAAATTAAAATAATTAATTTGTTTAATTAAAATTTTAAAAAAAATAAAATTAAAAAGTTTAAAATAAGATTAAAGTGTGTAATCATTTCTTAAAAAAGAAAGTGACATGGTACGTAGGAAGGACAGAAACGGCGATATGGACATGGCATGTGGGACGGAGGGAGTACTATATTTTTATTTTAATAAAAATAATTATATATTAATACCAAAATATGTCTAAGTTTAAATTTATCATTATTTTTTACGCAAAAATATCAAAATTTCTTGCACTTATAAAACCCCAAACAACCCATTTGGACCGGAACGAAAAGAGTAAATAATAAAAAATGTATTAATAAAAATAGTTATCATATAATAAAAATAATTTTAAATTAAAATTAAAATAATTAATTTAATTAAAAAAATTTAAAAATCAAAATTCAATTAAAAAAATTCAAAATTCAAAATTCAAAATTTTAAAATGAGAATAAACAATATAATTCATTTTCTTTGGAAAAAAAAAAGTGACATTGATAAGTCTAACATAGAAAAATGAAAAGATAGACACGAACACACGGAGAAAGTAGTACATATATTCATTGATTACTCGTTCAGTCCCAATCAACAATATGTTTAAAGTAGAAAATAATTAAATATATTTAATTTCTATTTTATAAATAGCTTATCTCATTATATTATATATTACTCAAATTAATATGCATTTAATACTATCCACCTCCCTCAATTCTGTGGGAAAACAAATGTTTCACGGTGGTTGGAATATTTACAATCTTGTCAATACATGAAAAACTTCTGTTTTATTACCAACCATTTCATTTCTAAGGCATTTTCGAGCTTACAACAAAGATCAAACTAAAAACAGACAACATGCTTTACAATTATTTTCACTTACAGTGCAAGCAGCAGCTTTAACTTGCCGTCGAATCCTGACCGTTCATTTGATCGTGATGTACCGATTGGTTCCATGCCTCGCCCAATGCAGCCTGAGATCAACCGGACACGACAGATCCTGACCGTCCGCGGCCAGTCGGCTCAGCAGCTTGCTAAAAGCACTCCCGCTCATCTTCCTACCCCCAACACGGGCGTGTCGCTTGTTCGGGACAGCTGGGAGCGGATACATGGACAAGCTGTTGGTGCAGCACGCCGACTGCCAGCCACCGTTGCCCCACTTGTAACACGGCCGGAGAACTCCCGTGCACGAGCAGACGGGAACGGGCATCGTCGTTTCGTCGAAAGCCACCTGGTTCAGCCCCAGACTTTGATCCTTCCAGTTGGGCCGCAATCCGCCGAATTGCCTGCGAAGATCGTCGCTCGCATGATCATTGTCCGAGCCTGTCCTGTTGAGGTCTTCGGCTTCGCGTTTGATCTTTTTCGTCGATTTCGGAGTCTTTCTTCTGGGTACTTCTTCCATGGCAGGTTTCGCCTCCTTTCCACGCTTTGCGCGGCGGGACTTCGAGGGCTCGGGAGGAACTGGCGACGTCGAGATTGTGTCCGTCGTTTCAATCTCCATGTGGGGCGAATGATGATGAGGATTGTGCATGTGTTTTAATCCGCGTGGGATTTGGCAGCCGGGCAGGCAGGGAGAGATGCTTCCGTTGTTGTGGTTAATGGAACTTTCTCGGTACTGAAGAGTTGCGATCGCATTGTCTCTTTCGAGTATGGCATTGTTCCGTTCGGCTATGGCTGAATCTCTCTGCAGAATCGCCATATCCCTCTCGGCTAAAGCGGCTTTCTTCTCGGAAATGGCTAAGTTCCGTTCCTGAATCGCTGCATCTCTCTCCGCCATGATCGCCATTATCTGTTTCATCGATGGCTGGTGCTGCATCAACCACTGAAACAAGAGCATCTTCTTAGAAGAAAATAAAATTCGGCATTCTCATGGAGGGAAGCTTATCCAAACCATATAAGTTACCTGACCCTGGGGCGGCTTATGCCTTCCATTTTCACGATGCCCGCTATCATCCATCTACGTAAAAAAAACCTACAAGTCGCAATATAATCAACGTAGATACGCGAAAATAGTTCCCATTGATGAAACAAGAAGCCACAAAACATGTACAAAACTCAAAGCCACCATTACTATATAGCTCAAGCTTGTTAACATGGCTCATCATCAAAAACACATCGACCACAGAGGTAACTAAGATTGAACCAAGGTTGCATCGAAGTTTTTCAACTAATGTTATCAAATAAAGTTAACGATTCAATCCTAACTTAATCCACACCATAGATAAGCATTCATTTGATACACATAAACAAAAGGGAATGCAATCAAAGTCCCCATGTTCTACCACAATTCATCACCCTTCCATGAAACCATTGACATGCTTGATAAAAAAACTTAACAGCTAAAAACACAAACCTCAATCTCAGGTTTTAGAAAAATGGAATTGCAAATATGCATCAGAGAGAAATAAAACACCAAATTCCTAATTCACTCATGACAAGTCCAATTGAACCCCTAAATTGAGAATCCACCCATCAAAACACCTAAATCCATAAAAATTCAGAAAGTTCCAGAATCGACTCAATTTCAGGTAGGAAGCTGTACCAAAATTCAAAACCACGAGATATAGCTCACACGAAACTTAATTATCCACAAAAAAAACCCTTTCGGTGGATTCCAATTAAAATTCCCAAATCTTCAAGCATCAAATGCCGCTCAACCACTCTCGCCTGCAGACACCACTAAAACCTATCAGCAGAGTTAACAAATGATTGAAAAACGCAGCAGAAATCGATTGCTTACACGAAGAAATTAGCACTGCAAATGCTAGCCAGCAGTAACCGACGACCACACTAGATGAAAACCGGATATCTATTATCGAACAATTGATATGCAAGCGGTGCAAAAGCAGAAATTGAGCGACTCAATCCTCAGATCAAGGAGAGTAAGAAACTGAGTGGAAAACTGAAGAAATATCTTTGATTCAAGAACAGTGGTTGAAAAGGCCAAGGAAAGATCCTCCTGCATTTATTTACCCGTTAAAATTATAAATGGAGTAAATAAATAAAGGCCCTTTTTCGTATGTTTTTTACAAATCGCTTCTATTGTTATTTGCTGAAATTCTTCAGGGTTGGTTGGATTAGTTTAATAAAATGGCAATAAATTCTAAATGCTGGTAAATAATAATTTCATAGTAAATAAAATGGTAACAAAAAATACCCATCGAATAAAGTAAAAAAGGTTTAATGAAAATCTAATCGAGACAAAAGTTGTTTAACGATCATGTCGTATGTGATCTGGATAACTGTTTCGTCTGAAGTGAACGTTTTACTCAAATCTTATTACTCCCTCCGTAGTTGGTCTAAATCCATGTTCATTTTATTTTTTTGGATTATCATTAAAAATATTCTAGTTATTTTTTTAAGTAAAAAATTATTATATTTTTATATTTTTTTACTATAAAAATAAAAAATAACAATTATTATTCACTGTTATTAAAATTCGTACCGAATTAAATAAGTACACGTTTGCATTAGGAGGAAATACTATTTTTTTAAAAAAAAATATATTAAATTAAAACATAATTTTAATCACAACTATGTTTATTAATTTTTCCATATATATATATATAAATTGTACATTTCACTCAATAAATTAGTGCTTTATTTACATAATTGTTAAATTTTTTACTTCATAATTTACCAATAATATATTTTTTTTAATATATTAAACCAAATATCTAACTTTTTATTTTTGTAATTATCTAATACTTCAAAAATATATTCAAAATTTATATCTAAATGTAGATTAAGGCAATGTTATTTTGTAATTTTTTATATAGTCTTTTACTATTTACCGATTGTTTTTATATATATACACTGGGACTATTACCTAGGTTTAGGCTGACGATCTCGTTTTCGTGTCAAAATTATTGGGGCGTATAATCAAATTTTACATTGAAAATTTTAAAAATAAACAATTAAAGTTATAAGTTTTACAAGAACTCCACCACTAGTATAAGAATTTTTTTAAATAAATCCAAAAAAAATTGTACGGACTCGTCCCAAATCGGATAATATCGTACTAATATTGAATTGAAACCCAAATCCCTTCTTAACAATTAATATCAAAGTCTAGTTCGAATGAGTTTGTTGGTGGAATGGGGGTTGTAATGGTAACTAAGTTCCACATTAAAAAATTAAAAAAAAAAAAAACAATCAATATTATATAAGTTTTACATAAACTCCACTAATATGAAGTCTTTTATAAATACTTCAAAAACAAATTCATATAAACTTAGTCTAAAATGAACAATATTATATTAGTGTTAAGATTACCTAGTCTTAACAATTGGTATCAAAACACATACAGATTGTTTACAGATTTAAAATCAGAATACTAAAAAATTTGCATGGGAGTTAGTAACAAAAGGCTAATCGTACTTTTTATATGTTAATTAGTTATAGTGTAAGTTGTGATTATTTTTAATTATGTATTTGTTTGTTATAATTATCACGTAATTGGTTGCTCAAAGAGCAAATAAACAACTGATAGTTAGTAAATTTGTGTAGTATTTCTGAGGGATAAATTGTGTGATTTTTGTGTAGTACTTGACATTATTACAATTGTGTCTATTGCAATTTTTTACGATAAAATTGATTTTTCAAATTCACAATAAAAGATGAAAAGTATCATACATAAACAAAAGAATTGATGGTAATTTTAATAATTTATTAACTGAAGATAAAAATAAAAAATAAAGATAGATAATATTGAACTTATTTGATACTATGATTAAAAAATAGATAATCATAATTTTGCAAAACTAACTTTGGAAAATTGAATTTAAATCTCACACTTTTTTCTTAGACTTTGTGTTTACTTCCGTGGGGACTACGATGGATACTAAAGAGAAATAACTAAGAATGTGTTTTATTTGTAAAATTTTAGTTTTTGGTTTTTCTTTTACGTAGTACAATTTTGAATTGAAATAGTTTTTTTTATGTAATATAAATATTTATTTATATAATATTTTGAATGTAAAATTAAAGGTGTGTTTCTTTTGATTGAGTTTGAGAAACTTTGGTTTGGGTTTGATTTTAAAATAATGTTTTATGAGATGTTCTGTGAGAAAAAAATTGTATTTTTTTTTGGTAAACGTATAGTCCAAATAGTAAAATTTTGGATAAATAAGTGTAATAAAATAAATAAAAACATATATTTAATTTGATATTTTTTTTAAAAAAATATTATTATAGATAGTAAAATCAAAATAAAATTCACAATTAAACATAGTTTGTCTCAATTTACATAATATATTTTTATTTATTTGACACTATTTATTTTTTTTAAAAAAATATCACATCAAATTTTTATCTGACAGAACATTAAATTAAATATTTATTTTTTTATTTTTTTTTTTTGGAAATTTCAAAATTTTAAAAATCAGTGTCTAAACATAGCTATATTGTGTAATTTGTGTTTGTGTAACGTGAAAAAGACCACGATCCGCGTGAATCAGAGACCTCAAATCGCAGCCGTTGATTAGGAAATCGCCAATAAAAAACACTACCGTAGATCCACGCGTTCAGTTAAAGGGTTTCAAGTCCACGTTCTGAAACCAACACATACCTAACCCCTTCCTATATAAACTGCCTATTTCTCCTCATTGGTACTTTTACTTCAATCATAATCATATCCGCCGTCTGCGAAGATTTGCGTCGATAGACTTGAAGGTTGTTGATAATCAGGTACGATCCCCGACGTGTTGTTTTGTTTTTGTGATCTTCTTCTATGTGGTTGGATCTGATCTGTTTTCCTTTCCGTCGCCGTAGTTTCTGTGAATTTTTTCGGATTAATTGAGAGAGGCGATGGCTCGTACCAAACAAACAGCTCGTAAATCAACGGGGGGAAAGGCCCCGCGGAAGCAACTCGCTACCAAGGTTTGTGAAGCGGTTCCTGTTTCGATTGATCTCTAATTGTTTAGATTTTAATTGTTTCTGGTGAATGCACGATGCGTTCGTTCGTTTATTTTTGTTCTCTGGTATGTTGATATTTGTCTGCGTGGTTTTCATTAATTCCCGTAGGCGGCAAGGAAATCGGCTCCGACGACCGGCGGAGTGAAAAAGCCCCACCGCTACCGTCCAGGAACGGTCGCTCTTCGGTAAAAACCCTAGCCGCTATGTTTTCAATTTATTTTTAACATCCTTCGCTTTTGTATATTTCCTTCTCTATATCCTCATAAATCCAAAACCTAATCAATCTTCCATCGACTGCAACAGCGAAATCCGCAAATATCAGAAGAGCACAGAACTCCTCATCCGCAAGCTGCCGTTCCAACGTCTGGTTCGCGAAATCGCGCAGGATTTCAAGACCGATTTGAGGTTCCAAAGCCACGCTGTTCTCGCGCTCCAGGAGGCGGCGGAAGCGTATCTCGTCGGACTGTTTGAAGATACCAATTTGTGCGCAATTCACGCCAAACGTGTCACAATTATGCCGAAAGATATTCAGCTTGCGCGTCGTATCCGCGGTGAACGCGCATAATCGTGACCACACTAGCCGCCGCCTCCGCCTCCGCCTCCACCTCCACCTACGCCGCCGCCCATTCGTATTAGGTTTGGTTTGGTTTTTTGTTTTTATGTTTTTTTGGATAAAGCCGCATGAACAATTTTCTATAAATTTTGATACTTCTCATTGTAAATCCACCAAAATTTCCTTAATTTTCTATGTTTGTATTGAACATTAGGTTTAGTATTTTGTGGGTCTTTACATGAAGGCCCATTTAGCCATTAAATGGGTAATCGATCCCATGCTACTTGCATCTGTTGTTGGGCTCATTCAACGTCTTTTTTTAGCTGAAATTTACAAATCTATTTTAAATTTGGAACTTTGAAAATCAAAAGTACAAAATAGAATGCATATATAAAATATTTTAAATATGTGTATATATTTAATGTGACAATTTTTTTTTAAAAAATAAAATTATTTATATTTTAAAAAATTCCAAAATGACTTGCACAAATAGAGCCTTATTTTTCATTTAGAATATAAAATTAAAATGTCGTTTGTGAGGGATGAAGTATTTTTTATTAATAAATGTAGAATAATATATAATGTAAAAGTGAATTTATTTGTAAATGGTATTTATTGATTAGTCTGTGCGGAGGCAGTGGTCAGTGTTGGGATTTGTACAGTATTAACATTTCACGGCCGAATTGCAGAGATGGGCACTGCCAGTAAAGTGAAAATATTATTATTATTTTTTATTTTTATTTTTATTATTTTATTTTTATATGACGTGGGATATTATTATTATTATTATTATTATTTGCATAGGATAGGGATGAAATATTGGATTTATTTCAATTGAATTTCATTAGCACAATCAGTTTCACGGGCACGGGGAAATTGTTGTCGTATTTCATTAATTCCTTGTGTTTTGATACAGCCACTCCACCCTTTTAATTAATTAATTATTGCAACACAAATTAATATAATGAATATTTAATTTATTTATATGTTAGTGGAATTAAATCATCAAAGGAATCATATCAATCACAAGATTCCTGTACCAGTGAGCCAGTGACCCCTAGGTCTTTTTTTTTTTTTTTAATGATTTATTTACTTTTACATTTATTCAGAAACTAATTAATTATAATTATCTACTTCATCCATCCTAATGAAATGGATCCCTTTTTTTAAATTTAATTATTTTAGTTTGGCCTGATTATTCCTAAACCCAATATAACTTTTTTCTTTGGATTTAGTCCTCGGCCGTGATTCAGAATGACATACAATATTGTCTACATACTCGTCTCTTTCACGCAATAAACAACGCAGAAAAATTAAAATTTACTTTGAAAAAACAATTAATTAAAAAAAATGACATTTTTATTCCTTCCACCAAAATCTAGATAGGGATATCAACTATAAAGAACCACGTGACTACTTCACTTAAACTAAATATGATTGAAATATAAGATACAATATATATATCTTTAAAAATATCAATTACTACTTTATTTTTTATTTGTATTTGTAAATCGTCTGATATATTAATATTAGGTATGTATGAAACATAATTGAAAATTTCATAATTTTATAATATTCAGACTTCAATCTTACTATTATTATTAGATTTACTGTAAATTCTAAGCAAATTAAAATAAGAAAAGTAAATACAATTAAATTCGATTATTGTCGGATCCCACATACATTGTTTGTTGTTGCTGTTGCTGTATGGCTATAATAAATTCCCCTTTGTCCGTACTATGGAAGAAGAATCATGTGATCCCTCTATCTATCCATCTATATATCTACAAAAGAATAATATTAATAATAATAATAAGCCAAACCCTCCCATCTCAGCTCACATGCCGATCTGGACCCAAACGCCCTGGCTCGGGACATCCTCATACACCACGAACATCATATACCATCCCGCCGGCGCCACATTGCCGGAAACCGGTCCAATTACCCTCGTCTCGTACAAAGAATTCCCCACCGCTTTCACTCCGCCGCCGCCGTTTAGCATCACCAACCTCTGATTCATGGAGTACGAGTGCGTCGTGAATGGCGGCGCCACCAGTGTTACCTTCACCTGGATGTCGCTAACCTTCACCGCCGCCGGAATGCTGAACCGGACCGGAAATTCTTTGTTGTACCCTAATTTCGACTGCGTCGGAGGCGATAGAATCTTCGGCTGGATTTTCGACGTCGTGTACGCCGGCGAGAACGCTTCCAGTGATAATTCCGTCGGGTAGAGAACGTTCGTGAAATTGTAGTATATGTGGGGGTTGCTGCCGCCGACGAGAATCCGGCCGTCGCGGAGGAGCACCGCCGTCGAGTGGTACATGCGTGGTATGGCGGTGGGGCTCTGGACTTCGAATCTCGAACCGGCCGGTTTGTCGGGTCGGTAGAGAACCGGTGAAAGAACCGGGTCACGGCCGTATTCCCATCCCGCGGTGCCGTTGGCCGCGCCGTTTATAATCAATACGTCACCGTTTGGTAGTAGCGTCATGTCCCCCATGACCCGACCCATGGGCATGATCTCCATCTCCCATTTCGGGTTCGGGTCGTCGACTCGGATCCTACCGCATGTGTTGAGCGCCGGCGTGAATTTTCCCTTGGTCGCGCTGATAAAAGACCCCTTGGGCGCGCCGCCGCAGACCAGGACTTCAGCTCCCGAATTGTTCTTCAACGGAAGCAGGACTGCGGATCCTGTGCTCGGGTAGGATCTCGGATCCCCGCCCGGAATTTCCGGGTAGGTTTTCACTACGGCGTTCTTTGTGTAGTCATACAGAATTGCTCGATTGTTGGCGAAAATGAAGAGATTCCCGTCGGGATTGAGGAATACGAAAGGGTACAAATTATTCTCAATCTTAGGATCGTTTGTCTGAACCAGAAATGGAAAATTATACGACCTGTCGGCGGCGGATTTCTTCGGGTAGAATTCGTAATTAAATTGGCGGCGGCCGCCGACCACGATGGTCCTGCCGTCGGGAAGAATCTGATTGGTGGCGTACCACCGCCGCTGGGTGAGTCCGGGATTGATTTCGCGCCAATCGCAGGAACTATTCCGGCAGGGTGGGAAAAATCTAACGGCATGATCGCCGTCGTTGAATCCTCCGGTCTGGACGAGGGTGCCGTCAGAGTTAACGGCGCCGGAGGAGCACCACGTGTCGGTCAGGACCGTTAACGGTCGAACGCTGTTGGAAACGACGTCGTATTCGACGGAGTGGGCGGAGCAGTCGTGTCGGGTCACCTTTTCGTTTGGGTCGTCGCGACATTTTCCCGCCGGCAAGGAAATGTTCGATGTGCCGAAACCCGTACGGTCGAACATTACGACGGTGTCTGTGTGGAGGAGCTGCATGTGCATTGCGGAAATTCCGATGCTGCGCTGAAGCAATTCCCATTTTCCGGCGGGGGCGGCAGCGGCGGAGCTCCGCCGTGACAGGAGGAGCAGCGCCGGTACGACTAAGGAAATGATTTGATATAAGGTCATGTTTGGCAGTAAATATTTGCTCGTCGGCAGTGGTGGGGTTTGTCCGCTTTTAAAACACCCGGCATAAACTAGAGTTTTAATTATTTGGTCCCGGGATTTGAATTCCTGATATAATCTGCAGCGTTGATATATGTTGTCAAAGATCATAATCGTTTGTTTTGAGTTGTGGTTTTCAGATCCCGGGCTTTGGTATCTGTTGGCTATACTGAGGGTGCAGAAAGCTGACAGTAGGGTACACCACACGCAACTAAACCCTCGTGAGAACGTTTTCCTAAATCATAATTTTGGAAATTCTAATTTATGCATTATTACAGTAATTAGAGAAAATTATTATAAATTGAAAGTGGTTTTAACTTTATGAAATTATTAGTAAAATCTTTGGATTATATTTAAGCTTGTATATTTTCAATTGAAAACAATTGTATTAATCAAAATTATTATTTTTTATCTATCGGTATTTTTTCCCAATATAGTTAATATTTAAAATTAAATTCATTGAATGGTTGCATGCATGCATAGCTGTCTGAAATCTCTTCCACCTTGCAAGCCATCTTTTTGCTTAGTTGTGTTTCTATTCTCATATTTTTATATACATATATACGCTAATTTATTTTTAAGAATAATACTACAAATCAGACAATTAATTTATATACATTTTAAAACCTACTATATACATATATATATTTATTTATTCTGTTTAAAACATCATGAAATTTATTCTCATATTATTTGTATAGATATATATGCTTAAAAAATTAAAAAATTCAATGTAAACAGTATCACATTAATCATCGCAGATGTAATAATATTATGACTATTAAGATGCAACTAATTGACGTGGGCAGTCATCACCTTCCTAATAATCAAATCAAATGTGTGATTCGTGTAAGTTTTATTAAATTTCCATTAGTCATACGTATGTCTAATTCGTGCAAGAATTAGTTTTTATACATTTCTATCAACATTATCTTTAATCAAATTACTTTTGTCTTATGTATTATAATATCCAATAAAATCTATACAACATAAATATATATACATATATATATATATACACACATATTCATAAATTTGGTCGTTAAAACGACGTCGTCTGATGGAAGAATGGAAGAGCATATCCGTGGCTTAGCATTAACGCCACGTGTGCACCTGATAATATTCCTACACCAATTTAAATTTCTTAGATTCATATTATTTATTTAATTTCATGTACGAATATCTCTGAAACGAATATATGCATATGAACGTTGTCTTTTTAATTTTACCATTTATTTAATGGAGAAATTTTATTTTTTGGAACTTTGTCTGATTAAAAGCAGTAATATTAATTCATTAATTCTAACAAAATATGTGTGAATATATAGTTAATAGTTGCGTATTAATCGTTATTATTTCCATTTAAAGAAAGAATTTATTGTTAGTGGGCCGGTGGGCCTTCAGATTTGGACCTAACTCTCCTAATTAATAGGAAAAAGGCCCAAAAGTAAAAAATTTCGACAAAATTGTAGCTAAGATTATGACATTATATGTACTATTTAGTTTTCAAATACCCAAACTATATAGAAAAAAATTACAACACTCATTGCTTTGCGTGTTTGCATTGATATCGCAGCATTATTGATATTGGTTACTTAATTTATTATTATTATTATATATATATATATATATTTGTTTTAGAGATCCAATTTATTGAATTAAATAAAAATAATGTTGATGGTTTCGATTAGGCTCTTTTTTGGTGGGATTGATGTGATGCGACAGTGACAGATTTTTATTTGGTTTTACAACGTTGGATGGTATAGTTTGTGAAGAAATTTTGGGATGGCTTCTTTGCCAAACATTCTTTTGTTGTCCTTGTCCTCTTTTGGATAACTTTGTGGAGAAGCACTTTGATGTGTATATGTTGAAAAGTTAAGTTTGATTTATAATTTTTTGAAGTATATATAAATATGTGTGCTTGTGATGTAAAGAATGTGTTCGAACTAAACCAACTCAACAACAGTATTATATTGTCTAAAAGATTTGTTTTTAAACTTACTCCAAAAGACCTTATATCGGTGAAATTTATGTGAAAGTTATAAGATATCAATATTTTTTTAAATTTTTTAATATGAGACTTGGGTTTGCACCTCAACAATTTCGCTTACTATATATTCCAATTATGAGGTTAACAAGGCCCAATGACACCCAATCTATTTCGTTATCAAACGAGACTCTAATACCATTGTTGAGACTGGACTAACTATATGATATTGTTAGCTTTAGGTTGAGCTCCCACAAATTTATTTTGGGACTTATTCCAAAAGTCTAATACTAGTGTAGTTTATTTGTAATTTATAAAGTGTCTGATTTTTCTTCAAATATGAACTTGAGTTCACCCAAACAAAATAGTAGATTGAAATTCTACGGTTAATTTAATGATTTTGTTAAATTGTGCGAAGAATGGGTTGTGCTATTTTATTTAATTTGGTCATATAAAAATATGAATTGTAGATATTAAAGTTGGGCCGGAGATTTTCTTATTGGGCGCAGATGTTGGGACGCATTGGGCTAGTTGAGCCCAACTGTGGATGGAGTCCTTCTGAGGGTAAAAACGTCATTTCAGTATGTCATGTTTTGGAGATGTGGTGGTTTTTGGTAACTTCGGCGCCAAGATGTTAATTCAATCAGATGAATGTAGTAATTCATTTATGCATTTTAACCTTGATGCAGGTGGAAGATGCTGTTCTTCTTCTTCTTCTTCTTAGGGTATATCTGAATCCAAATTCCTCTGTGTTTCTTCAGGCAGATAGGTTATGGCATGTTTCAGGCACCTGTATATGTCTCTACACAACACACCACAACATAACGCAGCCTTTGTTTTTTTTATTCAAAGGCTGTATGGATTGAATAATGGTGTCGTAATCACATACGTCGTCGAAAACGTGTTTTCAAGTCGACGATATAGAAATCTGCACTCGTCATCACTGACGGATGCAAACGCTGTTTATATGAGGAGAAGATCCGCCGAATTATACCATTGTTCATCTGTATCAGTAAATCTAACTACAGAGGAGAAGATCGAGGCAAGAAGGAATTCCCCAAATTGGATTGGTCTCGCTACGAATCAACCGAAATTTGCATGAGTACCGGGCTTCGTTGGTGGTCCAAATCATCGCCAAATTCAACCTCCAAAATGGCTGAGGGAATCGCCTCATCCACCGCCGCCGACGCCACGGCGAAGAGGCGCTCCATCTGGCCATCAGTTCTCCGATGGATCCCCACCTCGACAGATCTCATTATCGCCGCCGAGAAACGCCTCCTATCTCTAGTCAAGTAACGCACTAAAATTCCTTGATACAGAAAATTTCCTAATTCCATGCCTTCATCAGTTTAGGGTTTAACCAATTTGGGGATTCTGCAGGACTCCGTATCATCAAGAGCGGGTCAACATCGGGTCGGGTCCTCCGGGTTCGAGCACCCGCTGGTTTCGCTCGGCCAGCGACGAACCAAGGTTCATCAATACGGTGACGTTTGATAGCAGCGAAGGATCGCCGACTCTGGTGATGGTGCACGGATACGGCGCATCGCAGGGCTTCTTCTTCCGTAATTTTGATGCCCTGGCTAAGCATTTCAAAGTCGTTGCAATCGATCAGCTGGGGTAACCCTAATTTATCGTTCATTTATTTACTTGTATGCATCCTGCAGCTCTCCATGCTTCAGCATTTTGATAGATTTATTGTTTTAGAAAGGAAATGGAAAATTAGAATACATCTCTAGAGATTTCATTGCATTCTCAAACATATGATAGTTTCACCCTAAATGTTTAAGCTTGTTCATCCTGAATTAGGTTTGGATTTTAATTCAAATAACATTTGATTATATGTTGTATGAGATTAAAGAATGTAATCTTCTTAATATGGAGTTCAAATACTAAAAATATATGTAGAGACCGAAAAGAAACATGCCCTCAAGGTTGGCTCATGTTTGTTATGCTATTTGTGTTGCAGTTGGGGTGGATCGAGTAGGCCCGATTTCACATGTAAAAGCACTGAAGGTTAGTTGTTTTGATATATAATATGCCTGAGGGAGGATCTAGTATGGGGTTGCAAAGTTATTCGATTTTCTTATGTTGAGCCAATCTCTCTAAATTGTTATGCAGAAACGGAGGCATGGTTCATTGATTCCTTTGAGGAATGGCGTAAGGCAAAAAATCTTAGCAACTTCATTCTACTTGGGCATTCATTTGGGGGATATGTTGCTGCAAAATATGCACTCAAGGTAGTGTAGTAGATTACGGTTTGATGTATTTTTCTCAAAGCATAAACCTATAACACAATGCAACAATTTCTTTCCCTTTGTTAAGTATCTTTGGCAATGATTCTCCCGCAGCATCCCGAGCACGTTCAGCACTTGATTTTAGTAGGGCCTGCTGGATTTTCATCTGAATCAGACATGTCCGAGCGACTAACTCAATTTAGGGCGACATGGAAAGGGGCTATTGTGAATCATCTATGGGAGTCTAATTTTACTCCCCAGAAGATAATACGGTGCTTAGTATTACCTTAACTTGGCATAATAAATTCATGGACTAAAGTTGTATTCTACTAACCATTTCCTCATACTAAATTCGGTATGCAGGGGTTTAGGTCCTTGGGGTCCAGATATAGTTCGTAAATATACAAGTGCTAGATTTGGTTCGTATTCAGAGGGAGCCTTATTGACTGATGAAGAATCTAGATTACTTACAGGTAGATTAAATTGTTTTGATTTCCATCTACTGCCCTCTAGCTGTGTTCTAATTTTGGGCTGTTTTGTTGCCTACAGATTATGCATATCATACGGTTGCAGCTAAGGCAAGCGGCGAGCTGTGCCTAAAATATATATTTGCCTTTGGAGCCTTTGCTCGGATGCCTCTTTTAAACTGGTGAGTGATGTTTTTAATCAAGAATGTCTTCTTACAATAGAAATCCATTAACCCTGTTGGCGATCTAATTTCTTACAAATTACCCGAGCATTTAGGTCAAGTGATCTATAGTTAGTGTAACAACAATGTTGGTCTACTCCTTATCGTGCAGTGCCCCGGAATGGAAGGTTCCCACCACATTCGTATACGGCTTCAATGATTGGATGAGTTACCAAGGAGCACAAGCAGCTCGTAAACATATGAAGGTTCCTTGCGAAATTATAAGGGTCCCTCGGGTATTCCTTTCTCCTCGTCTCATCTCTACAATCATACTTGTCACATACTATTTCTTCATCTTTTTCTACTAGATAGTGAAAATCATGTTTCAAAACTGATTTCAGGGCGGGCATTTCGTGTTCATAGACAACCCAACTGCTTTCCATTCAGCAATAATCTATGCGTGCCGCAAGTATTTATCGTCGTCGTCGGATCCTAAGATTAACATTCTTCCAGAAGGGCTTGAATCTGTATGAAGGGCTTTTATCTATTTGTAATTCATCTAGCATAGCTCTCTTTGTATCAGTAACACAGTAAAATTTCTTGATCCATTATTTGGTAGATGAATTTGATGACACTACTTTGGACTCATCATAAATATCAATCTGAACTGAATTGACAATACAATGAAAAAATTTCTTCTTCTTATTATTACCATACCCTACCACAAAACTGCCTATCTCTGATTCCTTTCAGAAAATTAAGGGGGTGGGTCATATCCTACTTGGCCACATCTAGTCAACTTACTGGTTAAGTCACGTGAAATAATTCTAACTCTTTTCTGCTCCTTTTCCCATAGATTTTTTATCACTTTCCCAGACTACTCTGACCACTGCTCAATGTAACGGCTACTTTTTTCTGTCACCCTGATATCCCATGTGCCCTCCTCTTTATAATTAAAAACATCTTATGGCGGGAATCTAGTTGCTAACATTTCTTGAATCAAGCTAAATATAACAATCCATAGAATTAGAACTTGTGTAACTAATAACAAGCAAGGCACTGATGAACAAATGGTGAAAGCAATCAAATAAATATACCTGATGGTTTTCTTGTTTAATTAACTTTCGTGGGGCGAAGGCGAGGGCGAAGGCAAAGTTGTGGGATTGGCCGACGAGGGACCTTCGGGGCCTAACCGGCATCCCTCAAGCATGAAAACAACATCCGACATGGAAGGCCTTTCCATGGGATCACCCATCGTGCAAAGCAACCCGACTTTGACTCCCAAGAGGAACTCTTCCCATTCGGATGACTCCGGATCAAGCTCTAGCAACCCCGGTTCGAGCAGCTCCGAGATCTGCCCTGTCTGCAACTGCCTCTTGACCCATTTGACAATGTCCTCATCTTGTGTGAACATCACAGGCCTTTTCCCTGTTAGGATCTCCAACACCAAAATCCCAAAACTATACACATCTGCCTCTTTAGTCAGTTCCCCTGTCAATGTAGCTTCCGGCGCCGAATACCCAATTGTCCCGACGGGAGTGGAAGAACTTGAAGCCTCAACAATGGCTGCTGTAAGCTTATCCAACCCAAAATCAGAAAGATGGGCTTCGAAATCAGCATCAAACAGGACATTCTGAGGCTTCACGTCTCCGTGCACTATCGATATCGAGTGCAAGAATGCCAGCCCCCGCGCCACGCCTAATGCGATCAGGTGACGCATAGGCCAGTTCAGGACATGCCCTTCTTGGTGCGAAGCCTCTTGAAGCAACGTCCCGAGATTTCCGTTCGGCATGTAGTCGTAAACAAGGAGTCGCATTTCAGGAGGAGGGCCGGCGTAGTAGCCGCGAAGAACTGTCAGGTTTCGATGCTTAACCTTGCCTAGAGACTCAGCTTCTTTTCTGAAGGTGTTCTCCGCCATGGAAGCATCGGGAAGGCGCCGTATCGCCAGCACCATTCCGTCAGCATAAGTTGCTTTGAATAGCAACCCATACTTCCCCCTGCTCAGCACATTCTCTTCATCAAACTGCTTTGTTGCTTCCACAGTTTCTGCATATGTGATCTTGTTGTTGAACATGATGAGCTTAGGTCCATCACTGTCACCACTTCTTCCACTCCCCCTTGAACCAGAACTCGAACTCCTTTTCTTCTCTCCCATCACTTTTGCCTTCAGCTTCTTGCGCCACTTCAGGAGACTGTACACATAACAAGAACAGCACAACAACAACAATACACCTCCAGCAGTTGCAACAGCTATAAAAAGAATCAGCCTCATTCTCCGATGCCTATTCTTACAGTTCTTATTCAACGGTCGCCCGCACAAGTGTTTGTTATCAGCATAGGAAGAAGGATCACTGAACAGAGAAGCCAATGCTTCTGGAATCTCGCCCTCAAGGTTATTCGACGATAGATTCAATCGCTGCAGGTTTGGGATTCGAGAGAGACTCGATGGAATAACACCGGACAAGTTATTTGATGAGACATCTAACTCTGCTAACTTTGATAACTTTGGCAATGTTTCCGGAATCTCACCTGAAATGTGATTTGAATCCAGTAAAAGACTAACCAAAGAGGTGCAGTTAGAAATGCTTTCTGGGATTTCACCAGATAATTCATTCTCTCCTAAATCAAGCCTCTGCAGATCAGACAAATGGGATATATCTGCCGGAATTTCACCACTCAAGCTGTTTCCTCTGAGCTCCAACACTTGAAGGTCAGAACAGTTGCTCAATTCCTTCAATTCCACAGGAATTGAGCCATTCACATGGTTATAAGACAATGAAAGAACACTTAATGATCTCAGAAAACCATAAGTAGCCGGAATATGACCGGAGAATGCGTTCGATGAAAGATTCAGGTACTGCAAACTGGACAAACTGCTAAATCCTTCAGGAACTTCTCCAGATAACGAATTTCCATCCAGTGCCACAACCTGCAAATTTGGCAAGCTGAATAGCTCAAAAGGCAGCTGTCCAGACAAGTTTTGCTTACTCAAATCAAGAGATGTGAGCCTCAGCAGATTTCCAATGCTGGGTGGAATAGCTCCAGAAAATCCACAGCTACTCATGTTAAGAACCTCCAAGCTTGTCCACTCACCAATATTTACCAACAGTTCATCAGAAAATCTGTTGTTGCTCAGATTCAGAGTGCTCAATTTGCTCAGCCTGATTAGGTCTGGAGGCACTGTCCCACGCAGATTATTACCACTTAAATCCAAAAATTCTAGCAAAGAAAGATTGCCTAAGCTGGAAGGAATGTTACCAGTGAACAAATTCCCAGATAGGGATAGGGTTGTCAAGCTCCTTATCTCCCCTACAAATTGTGGTATCAAACCAGAAAACTGGTTTTCCCCAAGATCAAGCACTCTTAAGAACCTGCATTTGCCAACACTCTCTGGAATTTGACCAGTGAATGAATTGTTCCCCATTCTGAGCTCCTCTAAATTTGCCAGATTCTCAACAGTTTCAGGCAAATGACCAGAGATGAAATTCCATGAAATATCTAAAACCTTCAAGGTTGAAGAAGAATTGATTACAAAATCAGGTAACGCACCATTTATCTGATTCCCGTGAAGGTTTAGGACTTCGAGTACCCCGGCGCACGTTGCACTTGCAGTGTTCTGTATTCCCGTGAGGGCATTCAAGCTTAGGTCAAGGATTTTGACTGTAGCATTTAATGGTGAGGTTTTACAAATTAAGGAGGACGAAACGACGCCGGATAGCTGATTGCGCGGCATGGAGATGACTTGAAGACTTCTTAGTGAGCCTATTGAAGATGGAATGATGCCGGAGAGCATGTTGTCGCCGGCGCTTATGTGGATGAGGGATGAACAGTTTGATATAGCGGAGGGAATAGTGCCATACAGTTGGTTATTTTCGAGGCGTAGATACTGTAACTGCTGCAACATTCCAATCGTTGGCGGAATGCCGCCGGAGAAACGGTTGGACGAGAGATTTAAGAGCTGGAGACGGTGAGTCGACGAAAAATCCGTCGGAATCTCGCCTGACAGTGAGTTAGACGCCAAGTCGAGTATCCGGAGCTTCGCAGGAATTCCGGAGGGGATCTCGCCGGAGATGAGATTCTGTGCTGCGTTGAAGACTTGGAGATTCGTGAGGCTTGAGAAAAAAGCAGGTGAAATCTCTCCGGCGAGCGAGTTGTGCTGTAAATAGACTGCGCGAAGGAGCGTGCAGTCGGAGAGCTCTCCAGGAATGGATCCGTTCAGGTTGTTCGAGTGGAGATTCAGCGTCCGCAGCAGCGTCAACTTACCAAGCTGCGAGCTCAGATGGCCGGAGAGCTGAAGACGCGGGAGCTGAAGTTCGGTCACCCTGCCGGCGTCGCAGAGGACTCCTCGCCAGTCGCAAGGCGCGGCGGAAGAGGACGAATCCCAACCATTTAGCGCGCCGCGTGGATCGTCCAAATTCTGCTTGAAAGAGAGCAGCGCCTGCACCTCGGTGTCGACCGCCGCTGCAAATGTGGAGGCGGCGATTAGAATGGCCCCCGCGGCGTAGAGGAGGAGGAGCAGCATACTACTAGCCGTTAGCATGGGAAGAACTGAAAATGCGTTGTGTGAAGATAAGTGCACAGAGGGAGCGTATTGTAGCAGCGGATACGGAAAAGCGCCATATGCTGCGCCAGTGGGGGACGTGTGTTTCTCTTATTATCAATTTATTATTATTATTATTATTTACGTTTATATATGTATTTATAAATTATAAATTTATAATAGACGTACTGCTGCTGTTCCGGAAATGAACAAAATCCCTTAATAAAAGGACAACTATGGCCATGTGGGGTCACGTGTTTTATCCTATCAATAACAACACAATTATGCAATAATAAATCCGAGAAAATTATGGAGTTAAATATTTGTGCAGTATCAGGTTTTTGTGCATATTATTATATGGACAATAAATACTAACAAAATAGGCTAGGCTGGCTGGTTGGCTGGCTGGTCTTACCATTGGCAGTTTTACAAGGTAGGAGTCAGCCTGCATTCAATTACTTTGTAATGACCATAATTAATGTTCTTTTACTTCTCACAGGAATTTGTTGCAAATTTATGTCCAAAAGTAAAAGCAACAATGCGGGGTGGGTACCTCATAGAGTAGATCGCTCCTCCTAACTTTCGATTTCCCCAATTCCAGCAAACCCTAATTTGTCGATTCTTTCCAACTTATTTTCCAATTCCCAAATCCAACTGCATGTTAGCTTCCACTGGTAAATATATATTGACAAAAACATAAAAAGATCGAACTTATACTTAGTTTATTAGTTCAAACCTGATTCAGTCGTAATTCTTCTTTGCTATCTCATATCAAGGAAGGCAGGCTGAGGCTGTGTCTTCTTTTCTTCCAGGAAGAGGCCCTGTGGCTGTCGGGCTTCTGTAAGAAACTGAGCCCGATCATCTCTTTCAGGGCGTTTCCAGGGTCCTTAAACCCAACCAATTTGGCAACAATGGCAGCACTCTCCTTGACGTGTTCCATGCTTGTGGTGTCGGTCCACAGCTTCCGGCAGAGCTGCAGCCGCCTCCGCTTAGTTTTCGGGTCAACCCCCCATTTCTGGTACAGAGCTTTCCTCTCCTTCCTGGACAACTTCCTCCGCATTTGTCTGCTCAGCATTTCCCTCTCCTGATTCAGAGCCTTTGCACTGTTCCATCAATGGTGGTTGTTATGACACTGTAGCATGTAGGACAAGACACAAAGTAATTGGTGGGGAAAGTTATACCTTGTGGCATCTGCCAAGAATTGATCGTCTTTAACTGTTCTGTTTCCATGTAGTTTGCTCTTAAGAAACGACAATCTCCTCAGCTCGACCTCCATGTATACTGTGTCCGATGGATCGCCTTTGAAGAGAAGGAAGAAGTACGTTCGATAGGATAATGGCACGTTGCATTCGGCCCATAGTTCGATTATCTCTTGCTTCTGCTTCTCGAATTTAGTATGCCAGTTGGATGAAGATCCCACATCCTGATCTTTATCAAATCTTCCCTCTGTATGATCGTCGGGTGTTCTTCTATCCTGGATGACCTGTTGGAACTGTATTTATAGACATAAAAGCTTTTGATCACTTAATTTTCACATCCAGGCTTGAAGGGATTAGATTCGACAATGGCTTACAATTGCTTGGTCAAGCAAGGGGTCCTCTCTCGCAAAATCATCTTCGAACTGTTTCGCTAAGTTGCTCATGATCTCTTTCTCCAGTTCTTCCATGCCAGAATCTTGTTGCTTGATCCTGCCTTGATCAGATCTCTTCATAATAGGCGACTCTTTTTCATTCTTGAAGTCATTCCTTGTAGAACTACTAGTTTCTTGAATTTGTCTATTTCTGCTGTTGGCCTCTGTCTCTACTTCCTTACGCGATTCGGGTTGCAGGACTTTGACGCCTTCTTTAGATGTTGTGATGTGTTCTTCTTTTTCATTCTTGCAGTCAGTGCTCGGAGCACTGCGGAAATATTCTTCTAGCGTGATATTTGAAGGAGCTGATTGAATTTTTGCATCATTCTGTGATACCTTTTCATTATCTTTTTCCAACAAGGAACAGCTTATATTGCCTGATACATTGACACTTGGATCGGATATATCTTCCTCGATTCGACACTGAGAGTTCTTCCCTACATGCAAAAATCATTGTTAGTAATACAAGTTTGGGGGAAGAAAGCTTTCTCTAGATCAAGCAACTGCGTAACAACCTGAAGTCTTATCATCCTCGTGTGCTGAAGACATGCTTGCAGAAGTATTTCTCTTGGTGAAATCAAATTCTATACACTGAAACTCAGGTAATTTAACTTCGAGCTCCTTATCAGAAATGAAGTTCTCCCAGCCAGGATCAGGCGGGGACTGTGGACCAAAATACTTATCAATGTACAGTCTTGGAGACGTGTCATCTGATAGAAAAATCATGGAGAACTGATCTTCGATTCGACTAGAACTTGTGTTTTCAAGGTTTTCGGAAAATTGAGATGTCCTAGATGAAACATCGGAATGAAAAGGATCGATTGTATCTGATGCTTCAGAAGCTGAACATTCATCTGCCCATAAACCTTTCTCATGGTTATGAAAATCAGTCTGAAGAGTTAGAAGTTTTAAAAAATTAGCACTTTGGTCATATACAACTTCAGCATAAAGATATATTTGAGAAATATGTATGCATACCATAGAAACTGATCTTGAATGCAACATGTCTTCACCACTTAATTGAACCAGGTCACGTTGTCGAGTTAGTTGCCTAATCTCTTCAGTAAGCTGAACGATAGAACGTAAAGACATATGTATAAGAGGCATGATGTCAAGATTCATACATCTGTCAAGATGGAAGACATCAAATCAAATAACCTTTTCGACAAGTTCTTTCTCTTTCAGGGTGGAAGCAGAATCGCCTGAGGCGACAAGCGAACTCAACGTCTTCACCTCATTCTCAAGTCTCGCTATTTCTCTTCGCAGCTGCTTCACTAGAGCTTTCTCTGGAGTAATGACATTAACATGAGCATTGGTACTAATTTTCCTGGCACAATTGGCAAATACAAGTGTGCTTTTTGATTGCTCGACATGACAGTGAGCAGGGCTCAATGTGCAAATAATGGCAGTTCTGCTATTTCCTCCCAACGAATTCTGTAATATGCGTGTCAGCTTCGAGTCTCTAAATGGAACGTGCCCGTTTCTTCCTTTACTGCAGAAACACGACTAAAACATGATGACTCAATCTGTACAAAATTGTGACAGTCTCCATGATTAATTGCTGAGAGTAAATAAGAGAGTTCTGGAAAAGTTTATGGAAATGGAATGAGGAGAACTACCTTAATTTTCGAATTACTGTCCCGAGCGTCAGCAAACTGCGGTTAATGTGGGAGCCTTCTTTTTCCCTCTTGCCAGCAGCACCTGTTTGAGAAGAACGTTCACTTCCAGCAAGATCAACAAAATTCTGTTCAAGAAAACATAATACACTTACTGTCCTTATTTTACTGTATTAAGTCTATCATATTTGCAGGAGAATTCATCTGAAAAACATTTTAGATAAAAGACTCGTATATGTATCTCCTATAAGTCCATATCAAAATGTTCGGTACCACTGAAGCCATGAGACTGCTTGCATCTTCATTGCCGAAGTATCTGCGAGTTTCACTTTCAACAGTCTGCATGAATATCAATGATATACAGAGTCAACAAATAAGAGTAAATTGGGACTCAGGAAAGAAGTTTGTTCAAGAATATGTACCAAGCAAAGAATTTGGTGAGATCTAGAGCTCACTTCATTAAGATTGGTTTCCCCAACTATCCTTTGAGCTGCAGTTATATGTGTATATATATATATATATATATATATCAGCTCAGTTATTGTAGATATGGATCCAACTGATGTTACTCACAAGCACCATTCTAGTACCTTGACAGAAGGACAGGAGCTCTTTTAGATGGCTGAAGTCCTTCACTTCCACCTCAGTAAGTCTCTCGACAACAGTTCCTCTCTACAACAATCCCACTCAAATAATAGTTTCTGTAAGAATGGAAGGCTATAGTTGGGGTTCAATATTTACCACTGGATCATCAAGAAGTCGACGTGGAGCTGCATCTGAGCTGAGAAGGTCTCTTACAATCTCATTGTATATCTCCAATGCAGAAAATTTTAGCACATACTCTCTTTCCAGATGCTGAACATGAGATAAGTTAAGACTCATTCAGGTAACACAGAACGAATGAAACATAGTAAATTTTCATGATTCTACGGACATTCTTTATGTAGTCGTATATGTCTGCAACTGCATATTCTGTAATTCCTGACATTGTATAAGTTTTTCCACTACTTGTCTGCCCATACGCAAAAATACTTGCTGGAGAGCAAACATATTCAAGTCTTGGTTAGATTGTATAGTTGCTAATACGATGAATCAAAAGGCCTACACAGAGGACCTTAGTGCTCACAGTTTAATCCACTCAATACCGAAAGGGCAACCTTCTTGGCAGCTTCTTCATACACATGTTTTGTAGGAATCTCCGGCCCAAACACTCTATCTGCCATCAATAAAGCAGTTACTGAAAAATAGATGCAAGATAACATATTGATGCTACTATTAATAAAAAAACATTTCCATACCAAATGTATAAACAGTGGGCAATATTGATCGATCCTGAGTGCTGCTCTTGAACATGACAGTTGTGTTATTTATGCATTGCCAATCAGATACATCATTTCTTGCAAGTTCCTTCTCATTCAAAGGCCTCAATCTTACTGAGACAAAAAAATTGTCCTTATGCATATCCCAGTCGTCTGAAGAATCCCCACTGGTTGATCCCATTTCTTATTGAGTTCTTTTACTACAAGAAAAATCAACCCCAAGCTGAAGCTTCAGAGGTACACTTTTAATAGAGACAGATGCTTAGATATTAATTAAAAAAATATAAAGCTTATAGCCATCTTTAAGTTGTCTTGAAGAAACAAACTATCATTCAAAACAAATGAATAGGTAATGATACCGTAGCAAAGCACTTTAACATAAGGAATTCTTCTAGTTTAACCAATACTTCATTCCCTCATTCATCATCTACCAAGCCAACACATGCAAGGCATTCAAATGTAATATTTATGTATCGCAATCTATGTAATGTATAACAGATTTTTGTTGACAATTAAAATATTCAGAAGATCTACGTCATTCAATGTCAAATCATCAAGCAAAATGGATGGTACAAGCAATGCTCCCAAACACTACGTAACGAATAAATCTATTAAAAGCATTATGAAACGTTATGAAGCTGCGTGCAAACTCTGTCATTAGCTTACCAAAAAGCAGATCGACAATCGACAAGCAATAAAATTGATTCAGAAAATCCTAGAAAATTTTCCTTGAAATCAATAATGCTGATCGCAAGCTGAAACCATCTGTGGCTTCTTCATCTCAACGATCTCCTCAAAGAGGAGCCAATTAAAAAACGAAATTCAAGGGAGGATATTAACGTTCCATCTCTGCCCCAACATCACGGAATATTTTCCTTTAGAACATATATGTATTGATAAATATATACTAACAATATAATATGATGTATATCTATATTATACTACTACTAGATAATGTATGTCCACGTTTTCGTTAGGGTGTGTTTGTTTGGAGGTTTGGATTTTGAGTTTGAGATTTTAATAGTAAAATTTTTAAATTTAAATAGTCTTATGATGAGATATAAATAAATGTTTATGTGATATTTTAAATGTAAAATTTATTTTTAGTATAATATTAAAAATGAAAAATAGGTATTTTTTAATATGTATATATATGGTGGCAAAATATCTTATTAAATATTATTTTAATATTAAATTCTTTTAACTCAAAAAATTAAATTTGAATTTTATTCTTAAAATTTTTTAATTTGAACTCGTAAATATAAGTTATAAGTCAAACATCTCAATTTTATTATTATTATTTTTTTATATAAAATATTATTTTAATAGAGTAAAAATTTCATAAAAAACACCCTTGTTTCACATTTAAACGAAATAATCTAAACAAACGCACGCTTTCGTAATATAAACGGTAAAAAATAGATATGTTGCGGTTGCGGTTGCGGTTGCGGTGCAAAAAGAAGCGCTAAGATTCAGTGACGTTTCTAAATCCAGAAACGCGATTTAGCCAATAATGAGATCCACTAAGCTTTCAATCAGTAATAATATTAATTGGGGCAAACACACAAATAAATAAACCAAAAGAAATGTCGAGTCCTGCAGAAAATCAGAAGCTTCAGCCTTCAGTCTTCCCCCACCCCCACCCCACCACTGCCTTCCATCATCACCCCCACTAAAAAGATTTCGAGAAATAGGAAAAAAACACATGGTAAAGCTAAACAACGGATCAATGGCGAAGGAATCTCGAGTGCACACCCATGTTGCTTCCTGTTTTCTCCTAATATTCCCAGATCCCAATCCTTTCCAACGCACTAGGTGCTCTTCTGGACTCCAAATCGCTTGCAATCGCTTGAATATTTCCTGTTTATCTTGAATCTCTGTTTTGTACTGGATTTTGGAGCTTGAGTAGCCTGTCATTGTTAATGTCCGATTGTTTTGGGGATTTTGGAGTTCCGATTGTTTTGCGCTGATAAGTTAGGGTTTGGAAGGCTCAGATTTGATTTTATAGAGCTTCGATTTTGAGCCGCATTGCCGATTCAAAGACGTGAAGCAATCCGAAGAGGCGCAGGGCGAAATCGAAGATGACGAGTCGAGGCAGCAGATCGGAGAAAGTGAGGAAGATATTCCAACAATTCGATACGAACAGAGACGGCGGTTTGAACCGCGAAGAAATGGCGGCTCTGGTGGTGGCCGTAAACCCTAGGGTTAAATTCAGCGAAGAGCAAATCAGCGCAATTCTCGATGAAATTTTTCGGACGTACGGCGAATTCATCGACGGCGAGAAAGGCCTCACGTTCGACGGCCTCCTCCGCACCTACGACGACGGAGCCGGCGACGTCGACCGGGACTTCGACGCCCTCGGCCTGGACCTCAAACACAAGAACGGAATCTCGCCGGCCTCCGACGATGAGGCGGCGATGGCGACGACGGCGGGGGCGTCGTCTTCGTTTGTCGTAATGGAGCCCCAAAAGAAGCAGCGAACCGCTGCGTGGGCTGCTTCCCCAAACCACGGCATTGTTTTCGACGATACATGGAAGCTCGTCGATGATCTCGAGCTTTTAATCAAAAGGCTGAAAGGAAAGCAGCTCAAGGATGGGAAGATTAAGAACGACAATTCAGAAGTGTTCTCCGATCCTGGATGGTCGAGGGAGTTTGGCCCGGCGAGTGAGGCTTTGGATAAGAGAATCATCTGGGACGAATCCGGGGCCGATTTCGCAGCATTTGTGAAAGAGTTAGGTGTCCTGAGGTCTCGAGCTGATAGGTCGCGGTCGAGAGCCGAGGCTTTCGATGGCCAAATGGCGATCGGGCGAGTCTTATACGAGCATTATTTGTTCAATGAGGCATTGATTAGTTTCAAGAGGGCGTGCGAATTAATGCCATTTGATGTGAAGCCGCATTTTAGAGCCGGAAATTGTTTATACGTTGTGGGGAGGTATGGCGAAGCCAAGGCCGAGTTCTTGCTGGCGCTGGATGCCGCGGAATCTGGTGGCAATCAGTGGGCGTATTTGTTGCCCCAAATTCATGTGAATTTAGGGATTTCTCTTGAAGGAGAAGGGATGATTCTGAGTGCTTGCGAGCATTACAGAGAGGCTGCGATATTATGCCCGACTCATTTCCGAGCTTTGAAGCTTTTAGGCAGCGCGTTATTCGGCGTCGGGGAATGCAAGGCAGCTGTGAAGGCTCTAGAGGAGGCGATTTACATGAAGAACGATTACGCTGACGCACATTGTGATTTGGCTTCTGCTTTGCACGCAATGGGCGACGACGAAAGCGCTGTAAAGGAGTTTCAAAAGGCGATCGATTTAAAACCTCGCCATGTCGATGCTCTGTACAATCTCGGAGGGCTGTATATGACCATGGGTAGGTATCAGAGGGCTTCCGAGATGTATACTCGGGTTTTGAGCATTTGGCCGAACCATTGGAGAGCGCAGCTGAACAAGGCTGTCTCTTTGTTAGGCGCTACGGAGACTGATGAAGCTAGGAAAGCGTTGAAAGAAGCTTTTAAAATGACGAACCGGGTCGAGCTGCACGATGCCATGGCGCACTTGAAGCAGCTGCAGAAGAAGAAGTTGAGTAATGGCGAGGTGGCTTTTGTTACTGTCGAGCCGTTGAAGTTCAAGATTGTCGGCGACAGAACGACACCGAGGCCCGCGCTAGCTATCGCCCTCGACATTAGAGCTTTTCAGAGGGTCACGAGATTGAATCGATGTGAGGTTGAACTGATAAAGAAAGAATTAAATGACGGAAACATCCCGATGACGTATTCGGCGAGTGGGATACCCGAAAAATCGATACGCAAGGCTTCGTTGGAAGAGATTCTTCGGAAGCTACTTAGTTTCTTGAAGCCCGAGAGCTTCATCGGAGCCATCAGGGCGATAAATCAGAAAATACTCTGCGTAATGGATGCCTCCGACTCTGGCCGGGTCGATCTAGGCATGTTCTGCGCCGTTCTTGCCCCTCTTTGCAGCGGCCCTTTAGAGAGGCGAAAGCAGGTCGTATACGACGCCCTCTTATCCCGACCGGTAAACGAAGGAAATACGCGGATAAACAAGGCCGACACCATAAAGTACCTCAAACTGTTGAGGGCAATCTACATCCCAACCGACAGCGAAAGTGAAACAATGCCGGAAATCCACGGCGAAGGAGATAACATTAACACCCCGATTTCGATGGCTGAGTTTGCGACAATGTTCGATGATCCGGAATGCGGCTTCGGCATCATGCCTACGTTAGCGAAGCTCGAGACAGGGGACCGGATTCGTCACGGGAGCCATGTCTGCGCGACGTGCCGGTACCCGATTATCGGGTCCCGATTCAAGGAGATGAAAGGGCAGTTCAGCTTGTGCAGCCAATGCTACTCGGAAGGGAAAGTTCCCTCATCTTGCAAGCAGGATGAATACAAATTCAAAGAATATGTGCACGAAGCAGAAGCTGTGAAGGACAAATGTTTGTGGTTTGGATCCAATTCTAAAGAATCATCCATCTAATTTGTTTATTTCTTACATCCCAACTCATTCTAATCGTTTTATGTTATATTTGTTCAGTGTGGATTGAATTATTTGTTATATTCTGTATATAATTTGGATAACCGTTTTGTCAACGCTGGATTGGATATGTCAACGCTGATGAACTGTTAATATGCAAAAGGAAAATGGAGGGGTTAATTGATTTCCATGGCGTTGACCAAAGTCAAAATTGATTGGATGGGGGGGGTTTTTAAACAAATTCAAACCTCTGAACATACTTTATTGCGTGCCTTTCGAATTTGAAAAACCTCACGTTCTCTTTTCTTCACTTTCGCTCCTTCTCTCAGACTGAGATGGAAACCATCCGAAAGCAAGCTACGAAGCTCAGGGAACAAGTAGCAAAGCAGCAGCAAGTATGCCACTTTCCGTTATTAATTCTCTGTTGCGCACACACAGTACGCTGTAGCTTAGAGAGTGTGTGTAAGCCCCAATTTTGGGGTTTTTAGGGTGTACTTTGGGTTGTGATTCGTGAAAGTGAAAGTTGCTGTGATGCAATTTTATGAGAAAATATTTGAACAGATTCCCCGAAAACATTCCGGAATGTATTTGAATATCTTGCTCGCATCTGTTATAAGTTAGGCTGTTGGAGAAGAACAAAGAGTGACATGGGAAAAAGAAGGTTTTGGTTAATTCTACGTATCACGTTGAATGGAAACGTACCTTACATATAAATGCTTTGTTGAAATGTTTGTGCTCAGACGGGTTTCTGCATCGAGAAGTATTTGATATTCTAACGTTTGAATTACCTTCTTGTAAATCTTCAGTCTAATATGATCTGTTTTAGTAAATTTTCTAATTGTCATTTGATGGGTTTTCCAATAGGCTGTTCTGAAGCAATTTTCTGGTGGATCAGATAATATCACGCCTGATGAAACTGAATTCCAACAGCATAAAAAATTAGAGAAGCTGTACATATCTACGCATGCTGCCAAGGTTATCGACAACGCCCTTTCTTGGGAGACTTATGTGACTATCCTCATTTGCTCATCTACTTGCACTTCTTTTGTTCATTCATTTATTATTTTTTGGTTTCCTACCAGCACTTTCAAAGAGATGTAGCTCGAGGCGTAGAGGGCTATATTTTAACTGGATCGAAGCAGGTTGAAATTGGTAAGTTGCTTATATTTTTCTTCCTTCTGCTTAGTTTTAGTTCTCATTGAGTTAGTTCTTTGCAGGTACTAAGTTGTCAGATGATAACCAGAAGTATGGATCTGAAAACACATGCACTAGCGGCAATCGTTTGTCGAGAGTGGCCTTATGTTATAGTAGAGCACGGATTCAAATAGAAAAACAGCATGACAATCTTCTCAGAGTGCTTGGAACACAGGTTGGAACAAGTGTATTATGGTAAATACTAACATATAATTCTGGTTGGGGTTAGAGGTGCAAACTTCTCATAATCCAACAAAAATGATAGAGCAACTGAAAGATGTGTGGCTTGAAATCAGGAACACAAAATGGGAACATGATATAATGTAGAAAGTATAACTCCTTCAGCCACAGTCGATTTGCCGTTCTTATTCTTATTGTGATTTTCTACTGATTCATAGCATAATCAACATCATCAGTGTGATAGATCTCATATTCTAATTGATAGTTTATGTCCATAGAAGACAAAAGCAGTCCTTCCTAAATAATTTTTTTAGTTATATCTAACCTTTCGATTGTTGAGAGCTCAAGAATTAATTGAGTTACAATTCTGATATCCAGGATTCATTAAGCGAATTAAGATGTGAAATTCTGTTTGGTTAACTTACTTTCCTACAATAGTTTCCATTCTGTGACTAAAAGTTGTTAGTATACGATGCCTTTTCAACAACCATTTATATTTTCAGTTTTTTATATTGATTGAAATAGTTGCCTCTTGATGCATGTTAGGAAGCCTGCTTTATTTCATTACATCCTAATGCAGGTTTCAGATCCATTGAAGGCAATGGTTATGGGAACCCCATTAGAAGATGCTCGACATATTGCACAGAAATATGATAGAGCGAAGCAAGAAGTTGAAGCTCAGGTGATAGTCAAATCTGAATGATAACATGTGTAGCATAATGAACTTCATCATTCTATTATTTTTTTGTAGAATTAGGAGATCTTAGATTAAATTGTGGTTACCATTCTAAGATACCAGACTTCAATCATGCAATAATGAATTAATTTACACACAAAATACAACATAGTTATGTATTTATTCCCTTTTATATCTTTGGACCCAGACAGGTCATTGATATTGCCAGGCGGCAAGCAAGAGTTAAAGAAACAAAAGTTAATTCAGATAACATATTAAAGCTGGAAGCTGCAGAAACAAAGCTTCATGAGCTTAAGTCAAATATGGTTTCCTTAGGTAAAGAAGCAGCTGCCGGAATGGCGGCTGTTGAGCATCAACAGCAAAGATTGACTCTTCATCGACTAATAGCTATGGTAATTTGCTACGTTTAATACTATTTGTCCAAAATCTAATGCATCTCTCTGTTCATATAGAAGTTTTTACTTTACATTGTCTTACTAAAGGTTGAAGCTGAGAAAGATTATCATCAGAATGTACTTCAGATACTCGATCAGCTAGAGGGGCAGGTGCAATATATATTAAATTTCCCTTTTGAATCAAGATAAGATTTAATTTATGAATTATGATACAGGTATTTACATTGATGATTAATGTTCTTGTTTCGTGTACAGATGTTGGCCGAGCGTCAACCCACCGAAGCTCCAACTCCAGCTGCAAACAATACGATGTCCCCTCAACATGCATACGCTGGTACTGAAGATTTGTCCACGTCTCGCTCATACAAAGGATTTGCTGACAATATGGGTTACTTCTTGGGGGAGGTATTTGATACTTAATTGTCAACAGTTTTTATAAGTTGTTAACTTGTAAATAATGGTCTTTTACTCCATGTTGAAGGTTATTCATGCATACCAAGCTGAAACCGATGTGGAACTGACTTTAGCAGTTGGTGATTATGTTGTTGTTAGAAAGGTATGTTCCATCATCTTCTACTCTGTTCCTTCTATCTTGAGCCATATATCGCCTGCTAATGCATTGTCTGCTTTTAAAGGTGAGCAATAACGGTTGGGCCGAAGGTGAATGCAAAGGAAAGGCAGGGTGGTTCCCTTTTGGATACATCGAGAGGCGGGAGCGCATTCCTGCAAGCAAAGTGGCTGAAGTTTTTTGATCTCGAATTATGGTATGTAAATTTTATGCCCCGACATTGATTGCTTTACATGCCTTTGGCTTCAGAACACATCACATGCCATGCTGATCCTTTGTTAGACTAATATCTAGGAAGAATTGTGGCTAATGAAATTATATGTCATCTGTAGTTACTAATTTTACTCAATTTCTATTGTTGTTTTTGATTTTATGCTAGATGATGATTAACAAAGTGACAAGAGTTAACTTTTTGGAGATTTCCCTGTTCATTGGCTGGTGGGTCGAATATTGCTTGTCTAATAAAGAAAGTTCCAAACAAGGTCTCATTAGTTTAATTAAGAATGACAAGAAATCAGGATACAATAAAACCCTTGATTTATTATTATAGCTGGTTGAGATATACACAGACAAAAAGATAGAAGTTGCGATGGTAAACATAAATCTAGATCACACACTAAAAGCAGGAAACCTTTGGGAAATGGGATGGGAGAACCAGACACGAGGAAATGGGGTGCTGCTTAAATTTAATATTACAAAATTCTTGATCTGTTCGAGGCATTTGGAGATGGGATAGTCTGAGGAACAGCAAAACAGTTGTCTTGATCCCTTTTTCTTGTAGATCTGCTGTTGCTATTATTGGTAAATTCTTTGAATGACTGTTCCCCTAATCCACCCGGATTTTGTTGGGGCACCCAAATTTCCATTTTCCCAGTGGGAAAATATCCACTCGTATAGCTGGAATTGGTTGCCCAGTCACTATCCCAGAGTGGGAGCAATTCATTTTCTCCATCCTGAAAAGAAATTTGGTTTTTGTATTGGTTTGTGATTTTCATTGAAATCTGAGTATGTAAGAAAGTTGCAGCAGACCTTGAAGATGTAGGAAGAGTCTAGAAACTCATCAAAATGCCATCCGGGTTCTGTGAAAGTGCCGCTGAAACTCTTCTCGCTTTCACCTGTTGTACCCTTCGCAGTGGATGGTGTACTTACTGTACAGACAGGTTCACTGCTGTTGCTTAAACCCGAGGTTGCCGATTCCGGCGAGGACGGCGGCGCGGCATACAGCGAAGTCGTCGGAGAAAGTTTCACGCCGGCGAGGAGAAACCTGGCGTGCTTCCGTGTGTGCTCATTAGCTCGGTGTATTGCGCCGTCGCACTCTCTGCACATAATCGCCCTGTCCTGTTGGCAGAACAGAAAAGCCTTCCTCTCCTAGCAATGAAAAATTCAGAAGAATCAATCAACAGAAGAACAGATGAAGAAGACGACGATGAGAGTTAGGTTTGAAAAATGTCACCTGGCAAATATCACAGACCGGAGCTTGTTTCGGCGACGGCGAGTGTATCAACGTGAACCGGTGGTGTTTTCCGGCGAGCTTGTTCGCGTGGTGGACGCGGCGGTCGCAGGCGGCGCAGAGAGCGGCTTCATCGGCGACGCAGAACACCGCCGCTCCATCGCGGCCGCAGACATCGCACTGGATCTTCATCCGAATACCTAATTGGGAAAGAAATGGAAAATGGGGGAAGTAAGGACGTGTTTGTGTTGAATTTATTAAATTACTGAATTACTACATTTGCACATAGCATATAGCATTTGTTTATTATTAGTTGAAATTGGAAAGCTGATGGCCGGCCAAACAGGCGGTGCCACGTCGATGGTTGGAACAGTTGATAATAATTTTCTGCGATTAGTTTAATGACTAACAATTAATCAGAGGCTGTCTTTTTTATTTTTATTTAAATGTAATTATTTATAGATATTATGGTTAGATATTTAGATTATTTAATAATCTTTCCCAGTTGAGTTGAGATAAATATCTGTATGTGATTCTGGTGTGGGTACGGTATGGGCCAACAGTTATGAATTTATTCTTGTCAGTGCAATTAATCTCATCTTATTTAAATATTATTATATGTACTACATACATAGGTGTATAAGAATGAAATAATGTGTAGTGACCACGTGAATCATATCGAATTGCTAAAACAAACCTTAAATTAATATGTATGTATGTATGTCTGTAGCACCATTTTAATTTGTTTTTGGATACAGAGTAATTTGTACATTAACATTATATAATTGTAAATTAACTTTATATATATACATATATTTTTTTAAATATACTCCTAGTGTATTTAAAATATATATATATATATATATATGGGTAGTTAACTTTAAAATTATATTATACTTCCTCCGTCCCACACAATTGACACTATTTTCATTTTTATCTGTCATGTTATACTTAACATATTTCTATTTTTGGTAAAAATTATTAAATCAAAATATATTTAATAAATATAAATCAATTTAATTAACTACACGACATACAATATCATAAATGAAGTAGACTCACTCAAAACCCCTTTATTTGTATCTCTCCTCAAAAAAATAATTATTTTTATCTATATTTAAAACTATACATCTTTTATAAAATTGATTTATGTTAATTATAAATAAACAAAAATATTTTTTAATTACTTGTATAATAGAAAATTTTATTCTTTACAAATGATATCCATATTGCATATATTTTTAAATGGCTATATAATTATTAAATATTTAAACATATATTTTAATTTTTTTAATCATATATATATTAAATTTATCTTAAAAATATAAATATTAATAATTATAAAAAATAATATCATGATACCATAACTAATTAAATATTTTTACCGTATCTCTAATCAAAGGTTCAATTCAGGTGTGGGATGGAGGGAGTATAATTTATCCTATCAAAATTCTTTATATAAAATGTGTTTCTTATTATTTAATGGTCAATGAATATAATTAGTTAAGAGTTTAAATATATTTACGTATTTTTTAATAATCAGCATCATAATTGTAACTATTAAAGAAGAATAAGAGAAATATGTTAGTGATTAGTAACTAATAAATAAATTAAGTATAAAATTAATTTCTTTTATTGCAGTTTTTCTACTTATATTGCTGATTCTAGACAATAAACACGTGATTAGGCGGGATTAATTAAGGAGCAGGGAATTAGAGCCCATATGACCAACGTTTTAGGACCCAATAGGATTTGAGCTAGGGCCCAAAATAGGTGTATATGATATAATATTGCAATTATATATATATATATATATATATGACTAGTAATTTCAATTTTATTTTATTTTATTTTATTTTTTGTCGAGCCTAGTTTGCAAGGTTCGTCCGAGGTTTACCGGTGCATATTTTTGGATAGCGGCTGCGGATTCCTATGTTATAAAAAAAAATTATTTTTTTGTAATTTAATTCGTAATACTTTTAATAAAAATATAGTACTATTATTATTTTTTTTAAAAAATATTAAAATAATATTCTAATAAAAATTTCAAATTAAATGAAAGAAACAAACTCATAAGGTTTGTTTGGTTTTGATTTAAATTTTTGTTTAAATGATATTTTGATATAAAATTTTTCTATAGAAAATATTGATTTTATTGAGAGTGTATTTGTTTGGGGGTTTGAATTTTTAGTTGAGATTTGAATAGTAAAAATTTTGAAGTGAAATAGTTGTATAATGTGATATAAATAGGTATTGATGTGATATTTTGAATGTAAAAATAATTTTTAGTATAATATAAAAAATAAAAAATAGATATTTAATTTGATAGTTTGGAGAAAAAAATTGGATAAATAGTTGATTTCAGGGAAAAATCCCCCAAACAAACAAACCCCGAATGCATGAAGACTAAATAGTGATAATTGTAATTCGGGGATGAAACCAAATAAACTAAATATAAATTTAATTAAAATTTGAATATAATATATTAGATAAATTATATTTTTTGGCTTGAATATCTTTTTATCCGAATTTTAATTTAAATAATATTTATTTTATTGAAAACTATGTAAATTGAATATTAATTAATTCTAATTTCGAGCCAAAATCATATTAATCAATATGAAGAGATTTGAACTCATAATTCCATAACATTCATGTTCTTTTTCTTTTCAAATGTATGATCTATATGTTATTAGCTAAATTATTAATTAATTTCTACAAAAGTATTTATTTATTTATACTTGTGGATATTATAATCATACAATATGTTTTGTTGACTTTTTTTTTATGACGTGGGATGCGATCTGAAAGTGCGCAATGGGTAAATCCTTGGCCGAACTTAATATCATGCAAACTAAGCTCGACAGACAAGTCACACCAGGCAAACAAACTTTAGAATATATGGAATTTTATTACAAGCTAGTATTGAAAACGTGGAGTGTTAATTAACAATTATTTAATTACTATAATGAAAATAAAAGATCGATATCAAAATTTTATTAGGAAAATATCAACACAAATCATATATAGTTAAATCAAAACTAGTTCAAATTTTTTAAATCATTTTTGTAATAAAATCTTCAATCCTTTTACTATTTTTCATAACAATTATGCCATAAACATATAGATAGGTACATAGATAAAGCAAATAGTTGTTTAGTATGTCTTAGCAACTTCAAGTAGCTGCAAAAGACCTAATTAAGTTGTCAATTTCTCATACAACGTAAAATTAAAACAACCAACAAGTGAACATTATTGATGATAACCATGTAGTAATCGAACATAGTGTTGGCCGGTTCGGCTAATCGAGCAAAGCAAATGTTGTCAGGTCGGAGGCGCCACTCTGCATGGCGGCACTGTGGTGGTGGTGGTGGTGGTGGTCGGGTGGAAGATGAAGTGCCACAATCCGAGGCCCGACTCCATTTGGAAATCCAAGAACTGAATTATAGTCGCCATCATTTTCGACTAATCCATACTGTGGATCCTCTTGTCTTGCCTCCTATCACAACAACATTAAAAAATTTTAATATAAAAAATAAATAATTTTTATCTTTTTGATAAATTATTCAAGATAAAAAATAAAATAAAAAAAATCTAAGAAAATTTTTCTTACAAATTGAAGCAGGAGGTTTCTGTGTATCTCTTCAACATTCCTTAACTGTAATATATATATATATATATATACATAATATGGAAACTATAAGATTAAATTATGAACATGACATTTATTTAAAGAAAAAAAAAAGGGATTTAAAGGGTGTGTATGTATGTATGTACCTTTTTCCTTCCGGTATCAATCTGGTTGCTAATAACTTTGTACTATTATTACAAGAAAAAAATAAAAACTAAAGATTAGTTTTTGATTCAGACATGGAGTTGTTGGAAGGCAAATTAATTAATTAACCTAATTTTGTAAAATGCTGAGTTTTGTTTACTTTGTAGAAACTTTTATTTTATTTGATTTTATTTTTCATCATAAAAATAGCTCATCAATTTCTGACTCTCAAAAGTTTCCTCATAGATTTTCCAGAACAAGAAATCATGAAGCATGTCTATGTCTGATTTAATTATTGCAGTAGCAATAGCTTAACCCTAATTTCGACCACAAATCTAGAGACACGTATACCAACAAACCCTAGATATAATAAATTATAATTAAATTGATGTTCTTGGCATACAAAAATTAAATCCCAGTAAAGAAATTTCAAACCTTTCTTTCACGAATCAGCCTGAGGGAATTATCGATATCTTCAATTAAATTGACCATCTGTTCATACCCCAGATCGTTCAAGCTCTCTCCCATTCTTTGCCTGAAAAGATCAGATCCAAAATACTTAATTTATTTTAGAAGAAGAGAGAATTAAATAGATCAAAAACCTAATTTTGAAATCAGCTAATTACCTAATTTCCCTTCGCAGATTCCTGTTGATCTCCTTCATCTTCTTCAAGTGTTCTTGCATTTTCTGCATAAATTCAAATTTCTCATATATATATATATATATAATAAGATAAAATAAAACAAAAAGCTAATCAACAAGAAAATAAAAGAAATGATTTTAAGTTAAAACCTCATAGTGAGTATTCCAGATATCGATTCCAGTAGCCTGTTGATACTGATCAAACATCTGTTTAGTCCTAAAACAAAATAAAAATTGACAGACAGAAAAATTAAAAATTACAGACTAATATATCGAAAAAAAAAAAACTTGATTAAATTTGTGTAAGTAAAGAAGTTGTTGTTGATACGTGGTGGAGGGGCTGATGTATTCGTGAAGTTTCTGAGTGCTGGAAATCATGATAATGGAGACCTTGGCGTCGCAAAGTACAGTGAGTTCATGAGCTTTCTTGAAGAGGCCATTTCTTCTCTTGGAGTAGGTGACCTGCCTGTTTGTCTGATTCTCGATCCTCCTGATCTGGATCTTCCCTCGAGCCATTGATTCTGCTTCTCCCCCCTCCGTCTTGGCGTCTTCTTCGATCTGATCTGAACCAGATCAGATACACTTGAATAATTAATCTGTGTTTTATCTTTTCGACCTTTTGTTTTCCAATTAATGTTGTGTGTGTGTGTGTGTTAGGAATTGGGATTGTGGAGATGTTGAAGGAAGAAAATGTAGGGTTTGTTTGTGAGGTTGGGGGTAGAGTTTCGAGGGACTATACGTTTGCAGAAAATGGAAAGCATTGCCAAACTGGTGAAAAAAGGTGTCCACCAGTTTGTAAAGTTGTTCGAAAAATGGACCACTCGGGACTAATTCTCAGTCCCTGAAATTTCCAACTTTCTTATTAATTCATCACGTACTATGTTTTTTATTTATATATATATATATATGTATAGCTATGGTGTATGAAGTGGTGAACTAAAGTCATCTTCTGTAAACCCTAATTAGGATAAGCTCGCAGAGCCTCTGCTTGTTAGGGTTTTGTGGGAATCGATCCACACCCTTCATCGCGTGTGATCGACGGTGTGGATTAATCGGAAGTGGGGGTGGTTTTTCCGGCCCATTTATGATTGTTGGGCCCAAATAGAGAGGCCCATTAAGGTCTGTAATAACATGGTGATGTAATTCCACCAATGGGACGGCGGGATTGAGTAATACGGGTCGGATCCACAAATTACGGGTCGGATCCAAGAAATCGCGCAGACCAACCGGCAGGAGGTGCCAAGAAATCGACACAATCGCAGAGAAATTCTCAGATCTCATAAGTATAACTGGGCTGGGATCTCGAATTGCGATTGGGGTTTGGAATTTTTTCTTTTTTTAAGAACTGGATTGGCGTCTGCGAATTTTGTTTTGATTGATTGTAGCGGGAGAAGGGGATTGGGGAAATGTTGACCAAGTTTGAGACGAAGAGCAATAGAGTGAAAGGATTGAGCTTCCACAGCAAGCGGCCATGGATCCTGGCGAGTCTTCACAGCGGCGTGATCCAGCTCTGGGACTATCGGATGGGCACTCTCATTGATCGATTCGATGAGCACGACGGCCCCGTTCGGGGTGTTCATTTTCACAAGTCGCAGCCGCTCTTCGTTTCGGGAGGTGTGATTTGTTCTGCCGATTTATTTTTTGGGAATTATTGTTCTTGCAATGTGATCTCTGCTAGGTTTAGTGTTATTGGATGTTTTGAGATGTGTTTGCCAGTTTTTAGGTTTTGGATCTCTTCGTTTATCTTTCAATTGCTGGTGTTGGTGGATTTTTGGAAATTGGATCCTCAGCAGTGTTGATTTCTGTTTCCTTCATTTAGTGATTTACAGTTTGCAAGTTTGTGCTACTGAAATTGAACCAAACTGTGGTTAGATTTGATCCTGCTTGCAGGCTTGGATTCCCTCATGGTGGTGATCTAAGTTTGTATTTGTTAAATTTACATTTCTAGCAATTAATCAATTCCAGGAAGTGGGAATTTGGTTTTCGAAAGGCTATGATCTAGTGAATACTGCTAACTGCTGTTATCGAATGTTCTTATGTTTCTGTTGATTTATTGCTGGTTTAGGTTAACAAGTTTAACCACTATGCTATCTTATGTTTGTGATCGGAATTGTGTTAGTTGTAAGGGTGTGGAATTTAATGTAACGATTTTGCCTTTTTTTTAACATTTTGGAAGAAAGGGGAATAGATGAAAAGCTATTGGTTTATTACTATGGAAGGAAATTTTTGTGAGTTTGATTCATAATGGATTTGGTATTGTTTGATACTAAGTCGCGTTCTTTCTGGTTCTTGCGGAAACTGATTTATCCAGGTGATGATTACAAAATCAAGGTGTGGAACTATAAATTGCACCGATGTTTATTTACACTTCTTGGTCATCTTGATTATATTCGGACGGTTCAGTTCCATCACGAGTCTCCCTGGATAGTAAGTGCAAGTGATGATCAGACGATTAGAATTTGGAATTGGCAATCACGTACTTGCATTTCTGTCTTAACGGGGCACAATCATTATGTTATGTCTGCTTCATTTCACCCGAAAGAAGACTTGGTTGTGTCTGCTTCGCTGGATCAGACTGTCCGTGTCTGGGACATTGGTTCGCTGAAAAAGAAAACAGTATCCCCTGCTGATGATATTCTGCGATTGTCTCAATTGAACTCGGATCTCTTTGGTGGGGTTGATGCTGTTGTGAAGTATGTCTTGGAGGGCCACGACCGGGGGGTTAACTGGGCTTCTTTTCATCCGACACTTCCTCTAATTGTTTCTGGAGCTGATGACCGCCAAGTGAAAATTTGGCGTATGAACGGTATGCTGCTTTTAATTCTTGTTCTTTTTAATATCAGTTAATCTATATATCGATTATTTATCTTCTCTCTTGGGTGTGTTTGTTTGAAGGTTTGGATTTTGGGTTGGAATTTAAATAGTAAAAAATTTGAATTTGAATAGTTGTACGATGTGATATAAATAATAATTGAAATGATATTTTGAATGTAAAATTGATTTTTAGTATAATACTCTCTCCGTCTGGCTCTAAGGGTTTCATTTATCTTTCGCGTCATTAATAGAATTATTGTAAAATACTAATAGAAACATTTTTGCCATTCTTTCTTATTTTGTACTAGGTTTTCATATAATAATTAATATTTAAAATCAACACGTAAAAAGTAAAATGATACCCTTAGAGCCAGAGCCAGATGGAGGTAGTATAAAAAATAAAAAATAAGTGTCTGATTTGATATTTTTGAGGGGAAATTTTTGTAGAAATGTAGAAATCCCACAAAATCTTTCAAACAAACACACCCTTAAAAGATCGTATTAAATATATGTATATAGCATTTGAATGATACTTCCTTTTGTCAATTTTATATTGTTCTTAGGCTTTGTATGTGCTTGAAGTTTCTTAGAATTTGTTTAGCCGAAAAGTTGTAAGTTTTTTGTCTTGTCATTTTCACAAACTACGGTTTTTGACTAAATATGTTGTCTTCTAAATAGGTAAACCCAATATCGAAGGTTCCTTTCCTAAATTTTGTTGTAATGATATTTTTTCTTTTTTGGTTGGAAAACCTGGATTCTTGCTATTTTGATGGTTGATTTCCGACTAAATTGTCTCAGATACAAAGGCTTGGGAGGTGGACACATTGAGAGGACATATGAACAACGTTTCATCCGTCTTGTTTCACGCAAAGCAGGACATTATTGTATCGAACTCAGAAGATAAGAGCATCAGAGTTTGGGATGCTACTAAGCGAACCGGATTGCAGACTTTCCGCAGGGAGCACGACAGGTTCTGGATCCTTTCAGCACACCCTGAGATGAATCTATTGGCTGCTGGTCATGACAGCGGCATGATTGTTTTCAAGCTGGAGAGAGAACGGCCGGCATTTTGTGTCAGTGGCGATTCAGTCTTCTATGTGAAAGACCGGTTTCTTCGTGTATTTGAGTTTCCAACTCAAAAAGACACTCAACTCGTACCTGTCCGTCGCCCGGGCTCCAATGGTCTGAATCAAGGACTCCGAACACTTTCTTACAGCCCTTCTGAAAATGCTGTTTTAGTTTGTTCTGAGGCTGACGGCGGTTCTTACGAACTCTACACCATTCCCAAAGATAGCTACGGCAGAGGCGACGCAGAGGCTAAAAAGGGCTCAGGAGCTTCAGCAATTTTTGTGGCACGGAATCGATTTGCTGTTCTAGAGAAGACGAGCAACCAAGCACTCGTAAAGAATCTGAAAAATGAAATCGTGAAGAAGAGCCTTCTCCCAATTGCTACCGACGCTATATTCTACGCGGGAACTGGAAATCTGCTTTGTCGAGCTGAGGACAGGGTCGTCATTTTCGATCTCCAGCAAAGGATCATCCTCGGGGATCTTCAGACCCCTTTTGTAAGATACGTAGTTTGGTCTCATGACATGGAAAGCGTTGCCTTACTGAGCAAGCATTCAATTGTCATTGCGGATAAAAAGCTCGTGCACCGGAGCACAATTCACGAGACTATTCGTGTCAAGAGTGGCGCGTGGGATGATAACGGCGTTTTTATCTACACCACGTTGACGCACATCAAATACTGTCTTCCGAACGGGGATAACGGAATCGTCAAGACTCTGGATGTTCCCGTATATATTACAAAAATATATGGGAACACGATCTTTTGCCTGGATAGGGACGGGAAGAACCTTCCTATTATTATCGACGCAACTGAGTATATCTTCAAGCTATCGTTACTGAGGAAGAGATACGATCAAGTCATGGCGATGATTAAAAATGCAGACTTATGCGGGCAGGCTATGATCGCGTATCTGCAGCAGAAGGGCTTCCCTCAAGTCGCGCTGCACTTTGTGAAGGATGAACGAACTCGCTTCAACTTAGCTCTTGAAAGCGGTAACATCGAGAAAGCCCTTGAATGTGCTAAGAAAATCGACGACAATGATTACTGGTACAGGCTAGGCGTGGAGGCTCTCCGGCAGGGGAATACGGGGATAGTCGAATATGCGTATCAGAAAACGAAGAACTTCGAGAGGCTCTCGTTTCATTACCTGATAACCGGTAATCTCGACAAATTGTCGAAGATGATGAAGATTGCCGAGGTGAAAAATGACATTATGGGACAGTTTCATGACGCACTCTATCTTGGCGATGTCCGCGAGCGCGTAAAGATTCTTGAGAATTCCGGCCACTTACCCCTGGCTTATATCACGGCTGCTATCCACGGCCTTAACGATATCTCCGATCGATTGGCTGCTGAACTCGGCGATAATGTTCCGTCTGTGCCGGAGGGGAGGAAAGCTTCTCTGTTGATTCCTCCAACTCCGGTGCTCTGCGCCGGAGATTGGCCGTTGCTGATGGTAAGTAAAGGGATATTCGAGGGCACCCTTGATGACACCGGAAAAGGAGAGCACGAGTATTACGAAGAGGCTGCCGACGCCGACTGGGGAGAGTCGTTGGATATCGGTGAAGTTGACACCTTGCAGAACGGCGATATCGGTATACCTGTGGGCGATGTCGACGTGCCCGACGAGAACGATGAGGAGGGTGGGTGGGATCTCGAGGATCTCGACCTGCCGCCGGATTCCGAAACGCCAAAGACATCGACGAAAACGAGCTCAGCCGTGTTCGCCGTTCCCACCCCGGGTATGCCCGTCAGTCAGATTTGGGTTCAAAAATCGTCTCTCGCTGCCGAACATGCCGCAGCCGGAAACTTCGACACGGCGATGCGTTTGCTGACTCGTCAGCTGGGTATACGCAACTTCGTGCCGTTGAAGACGCAGTTCATCGATCTGCACCTCGGCAGCCACAGTTACTTGGCTGCCTTCACGTCTGCGCCGGTGATCTCATTAGCGGTCGAGAGAGGTTGGACCGAGTCAACGAGCCCGAACGTGCGAGGTCCGCCGTCGCTCGTCTACAACTTCTCGCAGCTGGAGGAGAAAGTCAAGGCCGGATACAAGGCGACGACTGCCGGAAAATTCTCCGATGCCCTTAAACACTTCCTGTCGATTCTTCACACCGTTCCGCTTATCGTCGTCGAGACGCGCCGGGAGGTCGATGAAGTCAAAGAACTGATCGTCATCGCGAAAGAATACGTCCTCGGATTGCAGATGGAGCTGAAGCGACGGGAACTGAAAGACGATCCCGATCGCCAGCAGGAGCTCGCGGCGTACTTCACCCATTGTAACCTCCAGCTTCCCCACACGAGGCTCGTCTTGAAGAATGCCATGGTCGCCTGCTTCAACGCGAAGAACCTCAGCACGGCGGCCAATTTTGCACGGAGGCTTTTGGAGACGAATCCGAGCAACGAGAATCAGGCAAAGACGGCTCGGCAAGTCCTGCAGGCTGCGGAGAAGAATATGAAGGACGCGACCCAACTGAACTACGATTTCAGAAACCCATTCGTCGTATGCGGGGCGACGTATGTCCCGATTTACCGTGGCCAGAAAGACGTTACGTGCCCCTACTGCACCACGCATTTTGTCCCGGCCCAGCAAGGGCAGCTCTGCGCCGTGTGCGATCTGGCGGTGATCGGATCCGATGCTTCGGGATTGCTCTGCTCTCCATCCCAGATAAGATGATCGATTCGATTTGATTCGATTCGATTCGGGTTTGTGATACACTAGTTGTCTGTTTGTTTTTGTGTTTGTGGCTCTCAATTGCAGATGAGTTTGGGACGACGACGCCATGGATGGATCAAGGGTAAGAATTCATCCGTACAGAAGTACTTGCTTCAATTCTTCTTCATTGACACATACTAATCTTATCCTTATGATTTTCTACAGTTTTTTGTTGTGACAAATTAAGTTGTGTTAAGATTTTAATCCAAACTGGCTTGGTTGGATATATATATATATATATATTGATATTGTGGGAAATTATGTTCCCTTTTTGCATATGTGACACTGTTTTGGACTATAGTTGTTATGTTTTCTTGCAGGTGCATGTAATAGACATTATTATCATTTTCCTACACATATATCACAATACTTGTCGATGACACTTGCTATCATTGTTTATATTTTACAAGTTACATAATATGATTACAGGGCTTGTTCTCTTAAGGGTTTTTATTTTATTTTATTTATTTTTTATTTTTTTTATCGGATCTTAAGGGTTCTTTCTTGCGGAGAAGATTCTTTGCTCTCAAAAAGAAGGGGAAAGAACTTTTCGATGAAGCTCTTCTCTTTAGGCTATCGATTGGAAAGGAGAAGAAATGCCTTGAAAATGGAACAATCTCGTGAACATGAACAGGGATGCAGTCGAGGTTCTGGAAGAAATGGATGGCAAGATAAGTCCCATATATGATGCCACAATTTCAAAGGTACGGACACTGTGCTTTCAAATGTCGAAATGCCAAAAGTAATGTTGAGAAGGCAAACCTTGCCATTGCTGAAGAGGATGTAAAGTTCACACAACTATTAATGACTCATGAAGAAGATCCAAATGCAGCAACCAACAATCAATCATATCACAGGTAATAAGGGTATTTTCTACAATATTAAGCCGACCATAGGTCAAAGTTATATTTGGAGATAAATCAAATATTGCGGTCTTGATCCAATTAAAGAATGATACACATTAATTCATTTTGGTTGCCTATTATGTTTCAAACTTGAAAACAAATATTCTTAGTTTGGGTATTGAAGTGAGACTTTGACATCCACTTGAAGGATGGTGGTCATATGAATAACTAAATTTGAAGTGAAATATTGCTGCAAAGATTGCAATGACCAAAAAAAAAAAAAAACCATATGTTCCTCAACTTTCGAAGTGACCATCCTTTGTGTTTGAAAACTTTTGTCCAAGATGAGATGTGGCGATGACACTTAAGGTTCGGACATTTCAATTTAAAAGATTTAGAGCTGTTTTCACGGGAAATGGTAAAAGATTGCCACTCATCTCACATTCAAAACAAATATGTGAAAGATGTGTCTTGGCAAACCAATCTCGAAAAAAAATAAATCCCCCCACATTGGCATCGCCAAGGGCAAAAAAACGGCTAACATTCGTGCATACTAACATATGTGGGTTGATCTCACCCAAATAATTTGGTAAGATAAATATGACATAAGTGTAACTCACGATTGCACAAGAAAGATACGGGTAAAGAAAAATCGAAAAGTTTTGCCACATAAGTGTGGCATTCCAATCAAGGCTATTCACTCAGATTGGGAAGGACCTTCAATGATATAAATGTTCATAATATTTGATAAGATAAGTTATACTAGACGAAACAGGTAGATTTGAAGACATAAAAAATTTGAACTCATGATCTATACTCCGTACTAGACCATATCCATTATGGGACTTGAATGAGTTAGTGTCTGAGCTAGTATGTTGGAGCCAAAGACATCCTTATTCAATAAAATTCTTAGTTTATTACATTTGAGTCTCATTGTATCTACATTTTTAAAAAAATATAATATTAATCAATACACTTTTTTTTGTTTTTTTTTAATATATATTTTTATCTTCATAATTATATATGTTGACTTATTAAATCATGCCTCTTTGTTAATGTCACATATTTTTTTATCTTATTTATTGAATAATTGTGAAATATTCTCGGCATGCTAAAATTATGTCACTATTTTTTTACTCTTCATTAAACTTTTGTCTATTCTATTTATACTTGGTGAATATTGTCCCCCGTATTGATAAATAATTTTATTAACTTACAATGTTATTATTCATATTTAACAAATAATTAATTTATTATTATCTTTTCTATTTATTCTACCATTTTTTGTTTTTATCAACTTCAATTTTAAATAGTTTTCACAATTTTCTCATTTTATTTTTATCAACCTCATTTTTATATTAAAATATTATTATTTTTTAATTTTTGTGTCCAACCAAAATTACATAAAATTTTCGGAATGAGTAGTATTAAATGAAATTATATTTTGATAATGTATTAATTGACCATAATTCTTGTACGAAAATTCATAGAATGAATAACATTTCGTGTGCACATATATCCGTACATGTATGCATGTACGTATGTTTATATGTTTGGCAGCATCTTTAAGGGAATATCATTACAATTATGCATCGTTTTCAGAAAGATTTTGATGACTCTTTTTTTCCCCCACAATTATTTATTTATGATCATTATAATGAATTTAATTAATTATATATATATATATATAGCTAACACCCTCGAAAATTCCTTCCTTCCTTACTGGGTGTGTTGTTGTCCAAACCCTAGCTACGACATTAAAGATGGCCTTAACAAGCTAAGCTTAGGTTAGGGTTGTCAAAAGTAGTTCGAAAGCCATGTGAGGTGATCTTCCCCTTCCACCACCCATAAAATAAAATAAAATAAAATAAAAAACCAATAAATTATATATATAATTAAGATATCCTTATAGAAAGCAAACCCTAAGCTGGGCCTGTGCCTGTTTGTCTCTACATGTCTAAACATACACAGAATCACTCAAAAAGAAACACAGGAGAGAATTTCATTCCATATGGTCTCCACCTACATATATATATATATATATGTAAAAATGATTAATTAATTAATTAATATATATATATATCTATGTCCTGTTAATTCCTCTCAATCTTCACGAAGAAGATGAAATGTCGATCCAATGGTCGACCAAAGGGCCCCCAAGAATTCTCCTTTTGTTTCCAATTAATTAAATCCCAAAACACACAGTAAATACTACTAAAGCATATATATATATATATAATTTAATTTATTTTATTTATGCAGTGAAAAGACGTTCTTGGTTTTATTGCACTGCAGAATTTAAACAAATAAAGGCAGAAAAAAGCCTTCAACGGTAGGTCAACGCCATTCGACGCACGGCTCGAGATACATACGACTCTACTGTTCATTCAATTCTTCCCATTTCCCTCCTCCTTTTATTCATCTAATACTAATAATAGTAATTAAATAATAATATATTCCAATAACATTTATTATAAAAAGAAAATATATGAACATAATTCTTGCAATCAAATTAATGAATTTATATTTTAGGGTTTTACCATCGTTTCTTGATTTGATAGAACCTGGAAGAATTTAAAAGGCATGCATGAATATGGATCCATTTCATTTAAATTTGATTTGATGTGTCTGATTAGACTTGGGATTGATCGTCTTCGTCTTCGAACCATTTGCCAAACTCTCCAGTTTGAAAAGTTGATTATTATAATTAATAAATGATATGATGATGATAATAATGATAATCAGTACTCACTGATCTGATTGATTGACTGACTGAAGTGTATGCAGTTAGGACAAAACTGTAGCTGTGTATATATATATATGTAATCACATTAAAAAATATATATATATAATTACAAACCCTACAAATTAATTCTTCTTAACGTCATCAAATCGATTAATTTATATACACCATTTTAATTAAAATTAATTCAATCTAGATTGCTAATTAATCAATTAAGGACGTCCGTACATGACGAACTGGCTGCTGGCTCTAACTAGCTTGCTAGAATACATATACGGTCCCAATTTTCAAGAAATAAATAAATAGGGATTAATTAAGTTACAACGACACGACGGCCAGTGATTTGATTATATCGTCCATCAATAATCATCGATATATATATATATATATCGCACGTGCGTATCTCACGTGCCTGTCATCTCAGTGTAAGAACTCGGTTTGGTCCATATTATTATTCCATTTCATGCCCGACTGGACACACTACTGTATAAATTGTGTTCTTTCTTTTCTTTTTAATTTATTATTAAAAAAAATAATTATATTTTAAATTATTTGCATATTTTATTACATTTACATCTCCCCTTCGCTGAAAGAAGTCTTGTCAAAGCTTTTCTTGCTGCTGCTGAGCAACAGTGGTAATAATAATGGAATTAATAATAATAATAATAATAATAATAATAATAATAATAATAATAATAATGTCTTGATTTGTAGAGAGAGAATTAATTTGGGAAATGAAAAGACGACGTGTGAGAGAGAAACAAAATGAAGAAAAAACCCGAAACAAAATGTCAATAATATTTACTGAATTTTAAAAATACAAAATTATTTTTATTGTAATTATTATTAATTGAAAATGGAAAGAATTAGACAAGAGAGTACGAGATAGAGTTTTTATAGACTCGAGGAGCCTTTTTAGATTTTCCCAAAAGCCGAAAAGAACTGTGCCACTAATCTCACCCGACTGTGAGGCTTGTGATCATATTGTCAGCCTTAACTATCGCTACCTGATTGGTCCGTGACGGAAGATTTCCACCGACGTGGTGGGCTCTGGCGTCAACAGACGGCTAAGATTATCTGGTACGCGTGCGTCGTGAGCCGTTGGATCAGGATTATTCAATGGCCAGGATGCGTTCTCTTGATGTCCTTTTTTCTTCTTATTAGATTTGAACTGTAAGAGAACTGTAGGTAGACCAAGTGGTCGATCTCAGATTTTAATTTCTTGAGGTACAAAAACATCGATTGTAATACCCTTCCACCACTGAGTTAATATTATTCCAAAAGTGAGTGTGTGTGTGAGAGAGAGAAAAAAGAAAGAAAGAGCTAGAGAGAGAAAGCTTGAGCAAGAGAGAGAGAGAGAGAGTGATGGAGGGATGTCTTGCCCTGTGGTTGCAGAGGCTGATGGCGGCGTTTGCAGGGCTGTGACTTTAATGCAATCCAGAACCAAGACAGCTACAGAAGAAGAATTCAATTTTCGAGTGATCAGATCAGTCAAGAACATATATACATACATACATACATATAGAGAGAGAGAGAGAGAGAGAGAGAGAGACAACGAATTTCATTACATCAGTGATCAGTGTCTCTCTCTACACGGCCGGGTCGGGCATTCTTTCGATCTTAAACCTAAAAGAAATTCCTACACGGTGAAAAAAGCTGCAGTTTTTACACAAGGCAAAGTGTGTCAGTGTTCATTTCAGAATTTAATTTAATTTTGCAGCACAAAACGCTCTACAAATTAAATTCACTTTATAGTTTGACTAGTAAGTAGTAAGTATATTGCAATTACTTCTTCTTCTTCTTCTTCCACAGCTTCAAATTTAATTTGATTTTAATTTTAATTTTAATTTAATTCCAAATTGCTGCAGGTTTGAAGAGACAGACCCAAACCCTAACACGCACTGATTTGGGGATTTCTCCGAACACTGTTACTTCCCTATGGATTTTCTCCCAACTTTGAGCTCCCAGTCGTCAGCTGCTTGTAGGGGTCAAACATGTCCGGATTTTTCTCACTAGGTGGTAAAGATCATCATCATCATCACCATCATCATCACCATCAAGATCAGCAACACCATCTGACTGAATCTAGCAGCAACCTGTTCCAGCTGTCGAAAAACGTGGAAGTCTACAACAAGGGTTTTGAACTATGGCAGCAGTACTATCAGCTGCATCAACAACAAAGGATTCAGACACAGCACCACAGTTTCCAAGATTTGAATTTTTCTGCGGGTCCCAGTAGCGACGAGCAGATCAATAACAGCAGGATCATCGGCGGCGGCGGCGGCGGCGGTGGTGGTGGTGGTTGTGGCTTTGGGGATGAGCATTCGAATTATTATTACAGATCGTCAGGGATTAGGGTAATGAATCAGGCCGGTGGAGGAGGTTCAGGTTCGTACGATGGATTCAATTGCCAAGACTGCGGCAACCGGGCAAAGAAAGATTGTGTCCATATGAGGTGCAGGACTTGCTGTAAGAATCGAGGGTTTCAATGCCAAACTCACGTGAAGAGCACGTGGGTGCCGGCGGCAAAGCGCCGGGAGCGCCAGAGCCAGCATGATGAAACACAGCTGACCATCGGAGAAGAAAACCCTAAGCGAATGACTGCCGCCGGAAGCGGCGGCGGCGGCGGTGGCGGTGGCGGTGGTGGTACGTCATCAATTCGGCTTTTTACCTTTCTTTATTTTCTCTCGTTACTGTTTCTGAGTAAATCTGACGCCATTAAAGTTATAATTCTACAAAAATTTCTAATCCCCCAATTTACGATTAGGGTTTGAAGTGGGACAGTTCCCACCGGAATTACATTCTCCGGCGGATTTCACCCTCGTGAGAGTGAGTTCAATCGACGGCGCCGAGGAGCATTTGGCTTATCAGACAGCTGTAAACATCGGAGGGCATGTGTTCAAGGGAATTCTCTACGATCGAGGTCCTGAGAGCCGCTACCCAGGCGGCGGAGGCGGCGGAGAGAGCTCCTCCGGCGGTGGCGGAGGATCACAGCAACAGCCGCTAGATCCAACGGCGAGCTCAACCTCCGGCGTCGCCACCAGCACCGTAAATCCCTCGATCATGGACCCTTCAATTTATCCACCTCATCATCAGCTCGGCGGTTTCATGGCGGGTACGCAATTCTTCTTGCCACCTAGGCCCTGATGAAAGAAATTTACCAGTCTACCATTTTCAGACAATTCTTTTCTTAGCCATTATCCATTATTAATCTAACATAAGATAAGATAAGATCAGATCCACATTCGTCTTCGTTTTGTATTTAGGAGTAAGTATTCTTCAATTCGAACTTTAATTAATTAAATATTTGTGTTATGATTTCTTGCTCCTCCTTCGTCGTCTGCTAACAAGAAATATCAACATCGTCGTCGTTATTGGAAAATTAATTATCTGAGTGCTCTTTTTATGACTGTGCGGATATATGTTTCGACATGCTTTTTTGGTATCTTTAATTTCTGGCTTTCTGCTGGGTTTGGTACTCGATGCAGCATTGCTGTCTTCTCTTCTCATCTTTCTTTTCCCTCGTTTCTTGCAGAAGATATGGTAGAGAAATTAATACCTATATATATATATATATATATATAATTTTTTTTTGGTTCCCCACAACATTTTTGGTAATATACAGATGGTTTTAATTAGCTGTTGGAATTCTTGCAAGACCCTGTTTAAATTTGCGTTTATATAACCCTATTTAAAAGGGCTTATTATATGATATTTAAATTTATCAAATTCCTTAGAAGTATTTTGTAAATTAAACAGTGGAAATAAATCTATTATTGTATGATGATTTTATCATTTTCAGCAAGGAAACTCAAACCCTTACACAAAATTAATCCGAATTTCATCAAGAAAGTATTTAGGTTTGATCATAAAACTAAGGTCTTTTTTTCATAGAAATTTTTTATATAGAATTGAAGAACCCTAACTCATATAATTAAACACCCAAAAAATTTATCAAAACTAGTACCCTAAAGATCAACTTCAATTTGAATATATATACTAGTTGCCAATTAAGGTTCCTATAAGTTAAATAACATCATTTGAGCTGCTCCACAGTCTTATTGATCATCCAAACATGTATTAACACAAAATCAACAAATTAAGCACCCTACATATACATACATATATATACATAGGTGAGTGTGTTTGTTTTCATATAAAACACAGAAATTATACATAGATCATGTTGGCCAACAGCTGTGCATGCTACAAATACTCAAAACTAGAGTATCTGTGATCACACATCATCCAAAAAATGCACAAGTTGGGTGAAAAGTTGAAGCCCTTTCTCCACCATTTTTGGTACCACAATCCTTGTAATACAAATGACACCCAAAATGGAAAACCAGGCAAAAACAGGCATAATTCATCACCCACTTGGAGTAGCTACAATTATATGCATATATATTCAGTGGGGTTGCTTTCTTATCACTTTCAAAGACCAAGCACAAGGCATAATTATGAACCCAAGATTACAAAGGAAACCTAACCCTACACACACACACACACACACATATATATACATATAACTTATGTCTGTATCTGTATGTGTGCATTCAATTTGAGCTAAACAAAATAATGTTTGCTTGATACTCACTCTGTTGGGAAAACCCTAAATTTGCAGAATAGCTATAGGGGGTTTGGTGGAATGTTGTGATGTTTGTAGTGAAAATGGAAAGAACACACACACCCATACATAGGGTTTGTAGGGTTATGGAAGATGAGATATATAGGGTGAGGGCAAGAATGAAGGCGCATGCTTCATTATTTTACACTGCCTACAAATAATGTGGTCCAAATATCCACTTTCTTCCCATATTCTCACTTCCTTAAGGATTTTTTTGGGTTTTATTTGGTCCTTTTCTTGTTTGTCAATGTCAGTTTTCTTGTTGGGGTTTTGTTTTTTTCTTTCTTGAAATAAATTCAGGCTGCATGCGTTGGATTTTACTTGCAATTTTATTCGTGTTTGGTTCATTCATTCAAATTATTATTTTATTTCTGGAACTTGGAATTATTCAATTTTTTATTTTAAAAAAAAAAACAATTTTGGGCAAAAATGTACAATAGCAGTTACTAAGGCCATTATGGGCCTTGGGAACTTGGTGGGGCTTGATAAGCCCAACAATACCCCATTCTTGATAATATGAGAGCCGACCCGACCCGGATATCCAGTCCAGACCATATTTAAGCTGCTGTGCCGGTCGACGAATGCTAACGGCAGCGCTAACGTCACCGTCGACGGATCAGTTTGGCCTCCGCCGCCGCGTTTCGAATACTCACCAAAGCTGTGGTCTTCCTCGATCTCTAAAATCCGACAATTCGTCCGCAATTTATGTAATCGTTCTACTCTTAGCTTGGGGGTGTCCTGTGTTTGTGATTTCCATGTGGAGTGAGTATATCGCTGTGCATATGAACAATTTGGGGTTGTTGAGCATGAATTGTGAAATTTTTAGGGATATGATTTCTGAATTTTTAATTCTGATGATATGTGTTGTCAATTTACACTGGAAATGCGTGTTGATGTGGCTGTTGACTTACCCAATTGTTAGTGTGTTACTCTCTCAACGAGTTAGGGATTTTGTTCCATTTCGTGCTCTCTCCGAGACAATGCAAGATAATAAATTATAGAAACGATTGGGAATTGGCTTACATTTTTATCTTTTCCCCTTTCCTAGTTCTTTCTTTGCAGCTTTGGCGAAGTATGATGTTAATTGTTTGTTGATCTAAATATTTGTAGTTCTAAAACTATACATCCCATTAGATATTCCTTTAAAACTACAATGCTGATGCTATGATTGTAATTTTTTAACCCAGACTTCACTGTCGAAAACCATTGAAGCATAAGATATACTTTACACACCTAAGAAATCAACACATCCATTTCTTGATTCCCCCAACCCAAAACCTATCTATCCATACTATTCCAACTCTCTCAATGTTCAATACTCTCTCATTGTTCTTCCATGGAGACTACCAGAATATTCCACACACCACAACCACTCACTCTCACTATAGAGTTTGTTCTAACAAATTTAGATTTTCATCCATTGGAAATTTCCTTTCTGTTAGATACAGCATCACATGGACCACCTTTAGCAACACAAAATAGTTTCTGGATCAGCAACCAAATGGGCCTTCATAATATTTGGACTCAAATCGCGAATGCCCAAATCTTCTATTGATGCTCATCTACCGCCCGGACAAATATCAACCAAAATCCAATTAAGAAAATAACTAGTAACACATCCCAACACACTCTCTTCTCCTCATCGTTGGCCTTTCAATTCCATTTTGAGTGTTCACAGATTTTGTTCTAGATTGTTTGTGTTTCTTAAGGAGCCTCACTTTCTGTTATGCTATCACATATTTATAGACTATTTGCTCCACAGGTCTGCATAACAATGCTATAAATCCTAAATTTTGAGGTGGCCTTTGGTTCGTGTACATGATCGTGTAACCGGATATTATATTGACTTATTAGGAAAGGCTTTGATATTGCACGAAAACCTCTGGGGTTGCTTATTTAAAGCTTTTTGTTACATAACCTCACAAAGCAGTACTTCTTGAAATTTCCATTGTGAAGGCATGCCATTAGATAGATCCTTCTTAATGAACTTCCTCTGAGCTATCCTTCTAGTCTGTTTGCCATGGGCGACTTTGTGCCCAACTGACGTAAAAAACTGATTTATTTTTTTCATTAATTACTATGAAATGTGAGTGGGATGGTCTTTCTTGTTCTGAGGTCTTCTCATTGTAGATAAATCTTGTTGCATTCATGCTTGCAAGGTTTCTTTTCACATCATGGTTGCAGAATTTAGTCCTAAGAATTAGTTCTAAGTTAATTCTCTTCTTATCTTCCTTCACTTACTCACTCCTACAATGATATCCTTTATTAGTTAGTCTTATTGCGGTATAAATTGGCAATTCTTGAAGTAATATTGTTCTTGCAGGAAAAGAGAAAAGCTACTCCTGACAAGGGATCAGAAGTGAAAGGAACAAGAAGGGACTGTGGGGAACTTGGAAGTTATTAATATTTATGAAGCAGTAAGTAGCCTAAATGGACCCTGAAGCTGTTATTTCAAGAAAATGATCCACCTGTGGTATGCCATTGCTTAAATATCTAGTTTGTGGAAAGGCCCGAAGAACATGGATTTAGATACTGTAATTCGTGATTCATTCTTTTTCTATTTATAATGTTTACTGAATATCTTGTTGGTTTAGATTGGCTGCTTGTCCCTCAATTTCTTCATTGAAAATGTGCTTCTTGTAGTAAATGGTCAATTCTTGTTGGTATGCAGTTTAATTCCAATAGATATCGGATGCGATATTTTGTATAGAAAATAGTGTTTTGATGTAATATTCTAAATGAAAAATTATGCATTTGATTCGATTTTTTAAAAATATATATTGTTGATCAATAGTACAGAAAATTATTTGAACATTTGTAAACAAAGTGATTTCTTATCTTTCTTTTCAGCAATTTTCGAAAGTTTCATGCTTTTGATTTACTCTCCTCATAAATCGACAGGAACAAGATCCCGAGTTCCTTTGTATTCTTTAACTTGATTGTTTAATGCATTGGCTTTATCGATGATTACTTGACGAAAATTGTATTACTTTGTCCAAATTCTACAAACTGTGTTGCTTCAGAAAAATGGATTTGGCCTTCTTGCCAAGTTCTTGTAACATATTTTGTTTTTCATGATAGTGATGTATTTACTCCAAACTGATCTTTTTTTTCTTTTGAGTGTCCTAAAGCCAATGTGAAATCAATTAATTTGCAGCATCAAAATATGGACTAATTTTGGGGCTTTTATTTGACCAAATCACACATCATTTGCCATCATAATCCCAATAAATTTATTAGTAGACATTCTCTGCCATGCCCATATTTGATTCATCACTACAATGTTCACTCCATTGGGGACACAATTTGATTGACATTCTTACATCCATTTTCTTGCCACACCAAAATATGTAATAATTCAAGAAACAAATACCCCACCACTTTTCTTTTCTTTTCTTTTCTTTTCTTAATGAATAAAATCAAAATATTTAATTCATCTTTTGGGAGAATAAAATCATTGATTTTCATCTAAAGTGTAAATGGCCAGAACTACAAATGCTAGATTGTGTCTAGCCATAATTGATCCATCAAATGTAACTGTGTTGGCATGGCATGTGTCTGCACATGTCCTGTTCATTGACAATTAAAAATTTAAAGATTTAACAACAAACAGTTAATAATAATCAAAATCAAATTAAACATCATCATTAGCATAAATTTAAATATCCTGTGAGTGTGTCAGACTATTTTTTTTCTTGGTCAATTATTATCCACATTAGAAGGCTATGATTAGTTAAAATATTCCTTCCCCAATTTTGAGACAGTAATCTCTCTTTTCTTCTGTAAGATTGCTTTTTTGTCTGCTACAGAATATCCTAAAAATCATCACTTTTTTTCTTTTTTTTTCTTTTTTTTTTAATTTAAATTCCTAAAAAATCATCACCCATGTATAGCAAATAAAAGTAGCAAAAAACAAATCAAATTAATTTTCTTATCCAAGAATTAACCTTTGTTGGAGAAGCATGCCATTATTGAATTTATAAATTAGAGAATAAATAATAGTACATTATTATACATATATGAGATTGGAGTGGCCATCCAAAATAAAAAATTATTCCATTATTCTTTTATAAAATGCTTTGGTGGAATATAAGATTTTTTAATTTTATATTGCCATTCATGTCCAAAAAAATACTTAGAGATATGAAAGTTGAAAACAATTATTTTGTAACAACTTAGACATTATAATACTCGAAGTTCATTTATTTCTCATTTATTGTACTTATATAATATGTTCGTTTCATTTAGCAGCCTTTCAAATATTAAACCCTTAATTAATAATTTAAAAAAATACAATATTGAAACTTTGTTTTAGGATTTGAAAAAATGGTAGTATCACTTGCTAATGAATTTATTTAGCATACAATATAATGTGGACTTACATTGGATAGTACGGTCAAATAAATAAAATAATATACTTATACATATAGTTCATTACAAAAATGATGTAGATGTATGTAAGGATATACCATTGGCCCCATGCCTATTATATAAATAAATAAATTATCATTAGTATAATTATGAAAAATGGTACATAACGTGAAAAATGGACACTAATGGGTAATAATTACATGAGCAAATATGCAATATTTCATGTTTTAGTGTCTTTTGGGTTAAAGTAGACATGCAATATGAAATTGAATGTGTCCAATAAGTATGCATGCAACTTGAAGCCTATTTAGTAACATTAATAAGTAAATTAAATTTTATGATTTTCAAAATAGTACTACCTCCGTCCCACATACCGTGTCTGCTACACTGTAGACACGGTATTTTAGGAGGGGTATAATTAATAGATAATTAAGAATGTATTAGTGAAAATAATTATCCTATAATATAAATAATTCTAAATTAAGATTAAGATAACTAATTAGTTTAATTAAATTTTTTTTAAAAAAAATTAAAAAGTTTAAAATGAGATTAAAGTGTGTAATCATTTTTCAAAAAAAAAGAAAGTGACATATTATGTAGGACGGACAAAAACGGCAACGTGGACATAGTATCTGGGACGGAGGAAGTAATAAATAAATAACACTGAAAAAATATGTTCCAATATTGAAAACATTCAGTGAGAAATTATGTGTATTTGGATGTGGTAGGGCATATTATTACATATATCAAATATTTAAATTCGGGATTATGAATGTATTATTATGCAGAGAAAATGAATATTGTATCTTTTAATATATATTTTTTTATATTATATTTGAGAAAGTATATTTAAAAAAAAAAATTATATTGAATTATAAATCTTTTTTTTTTATTGAATAAAATATATATTATATTTTTTTGATAAAGATGTAAAACAAAATAGTACACCCTATAACAAACTCATCATATATCAATACAAAGTTAGATGGAACATATATAAATGTGTAAATGTAATAATTTAGCATTAATCATGCATTCAATACCAGTGAGTGTATGTGTGTGTGTGTGATGTTTACATTAGAACAACCAATAGCTTAGAGATGAATAATAATAATAAAAAAAATAATAAAATTAAAAGGGCCAATATATGCAATTAATGCATGGGTGGGTGATAAGTATTAGGGTTGGCAGCGAGGTCTCATTTCTCATGCATGCATGGGGGCCTGGGGGTGCCCACCCCCACCCCTGGTCTGGGCTGGTCTGGTGTATCTCTGGATTACGCCTCACCACCAAACCCTCACTCAATCAATCAATTATTAATATCAGTATTTAATGCTTAACTGGATCTTTTTTCTATGTATTTATTGTGTTTTTCGATCTAAATACATAACATTTATTCTCTTTATTAGTAAATATTTACATTATTAGTACCACCGATACGAATATACTAAAATTTATATTTATTTTTGTTAATATAGTTGCATCAAATTAAAATAAACCGACAATATAAATCTTTATATATAAAAAATACCACGAACCAATATTAAAATGTAAAATAAAATTTCATTCCAACCTATATGAAAATAAATTAACGAGTACCTTAATATTAATGGTGGATGTATTATGGAACATCAAATTAAAATAATAAATACTACTATTTAATTTGATAATTTAAAGTTAAAAAATAGTAAATTTAAATACAAATATTAAAGAAATACACTGTGATCACGCTCCCATCATTGATTAATTCATTTTTTCATAAATAACATTTTCAGGTTTATCGGCTCATCTAGCATGACTTGTCTTATTAGCTTTAATTTGCAGACTATTTATTAAATTAAGTCGAAAACTAAAAAAAAACATATCTACCTATTAATTTTCAAGTCATAAAAATATTTATATATATATATATATGTAACATCACTTTAACTATATATATATATATATACATATACATAAGAGAGTGTGGAGGGGAGACAGAGACAGCCCAAAACATGTCTACGACTATACCCCACCTTTTGATTTTTAACCCCACCTCCACCCCCACCCCACCCCATGCATGCCTTCCTCCACCACCTCTTCTCATATCCTCTCGATCTATTTATATATTAAGCTGATCTCCCAAACATTGCACAATCATCGATACACCATCACTTAGTTAATTCCTCAAATTCAATTTATCCATCCTTCCATCCGACCCATCAATGGCGGATGCCGGCGGTGGCTCTGCGGCGGCGGGGGGAGGCAAGATGAAGATGATCCCAGAGAAGTTTCAGCTGCACTTGGCTATGCTGGCCTTGCAATTCGGCTACGCAGGCTTCCACGTCATCTCCAGGACTGCCCTCAACATGGGCATCAGCAAGATTGTCTTCCCTGTCTACAGAAACATTCTTGCCTTCGTTCTTCTCGCCCCCTTCGCCTTCTTCCTTGAAAAGTACTCCTAATTTACTAATTAGGGTTTTCTTTTAATTCATTCATTACATTAATTTATAATCATACATTTATTCACAGGAAAGAAAGACCTTCTCTCACTTGGAACTTCCTCATCCAATTCTTCCTGCTTGCAGTCGTCGGGTACGCTGAATTAAATTAAATCAAATACCATCATAACTAATCATATGTACTGTATTTCATGATTATTCTTATTATTAATTATTATTACATGTTGAACAATTATAGGATTACTGCAAACCAAGGATTCTACCTGTTGGGATTGGACAACACTTCCCCAACTTTCGCTTCTGCAATACAAAACTCAGTTCCTGCCATTACATTCCTCATGGCACTCATTCTCAGGCATTAAATATATATTGCACTAATTACTCTGTATTTACAGTAATCTTAATTAACTCCCCAAAACTTTCGGTAATTACATTTCGACCCTTCAATTGCACTCTCAGGCTGGAAAGGGTGAGGCTGGACCGGAGGGACGGGATCTCGAAGGTCGCGGGGACACTTTTCTGCGTGGTGGGGGCGTCCGTCATCACGCTGTATAAAGGACCAACTATCTACAGCCCGGAGCCGCCGCTGCGAATTCCGGCGGCGGCGGTGGTGGGAAAGCTGGGAGATGCCAAGGGGAAGAACTGGACCTTGGGGTGCATATACTTGATCGGGCACTGTCTTTCGTGGTCCAGCTGGCTCGTGCTCCAGGCCCCGGTTCTTAAGAAGTACCCGGCCCGGCTTTCCGTGACTTCTTACCAGTGCTTCTTCGGGGTCCTTCAGTTTTTACTCATCGCGGCTTTCCTGGAGCGGGACTCCCAGGCCTGGCTCATCCACTCTGGTACCGAGCTGTTCAGCGTTTTCTACGCTGTAAGTTGAACTTATAAACTGTATATAATTCTTGAGGACTCCCGGGAGCCAGGCGAGCTCCGGGAGCTTCCAAGACTCAATTTAATAAAGGAAAGTGGTTCCTTCTCTTACAGCACAGTCACAGACACCAACACGTGTGTGTGTGCGTTGTACCCTGAGGAAATAATATCCAAGATAATCGGATCCGGTCTGGTCTGGTCTGGTCTGATGATTTGATGTAAATTGTGCAGGGAATAGTGGCATCTGGGATTGCATTCGCTGTACAGATATGGTGCATTGACAGAGGTGGCCCTGTGTTCGTTGCTGTGTACCAGCCTGTCCAGACACTTGTTGTCGCCATTACCGCTTCTGTTTTCCTTGGAGAGGAGTTCTACCTCGGAGGGTATTCTTGTCTTTTCACTTTCTTGCCCCCAATCCTTACATGCATCCCCTGCCTGGTTTGCATTATACTGTATATATTAACTTGATATGTATATATATATATGTACAGGATCATCGGCGCCGCGCTGATCATAGCAGGGTTGTACCTTGTGCTTTGGGGGAAGAACCAGGAAGGCAAACGGACGGCGTCGGAGAAGGCGCTGATGATCCAGTCCTCCGCGGACCACTGCGCCGCGGCGCAGATCAAGCCGTCCATCTCCCAGCCACTTCTATCTCAGTCAAATGAAATTGTTTGACCAATAAGATGTTTGACTTTGACTGAATATGTTGTCCTCTATTATTGTTATTATTGAAATATATATACAGTAGAGGAATCTTAGCTATGGTTATATTGAATGGCTTGGAGTGTTTATGATATATATATATATATATATTTCTTTGTTTTTCAGTAGGGTTTTTGTTATTTTAATTATCAATATTTTAAAATTCCAAATTAGTGGCTTAATTAGCAGAGTGGGGACAATGGAGGGCTTGATTGATTTTATGATGCTGTGACATGAATACCAAATTTAATTAATGGAAGATTTTATGTATTTATGATCGATGTGTGGTCCAATTATTTAAATATGTCCTGTGGTAACAAAAGTAATTTAACAATAAAAAATGCAGGGGAGAGAAATGTCTCTTGAAATGTAAAGTATGTTGAAATAGTTTTGAGTGTAATTTATATATTTTATTGAAATATAATATTAAAATTATTTGAATACATATTTTAAATTTTTTTAAATTATTAAATAACTAATCTTCACATATTATAATAGTTTCTTAGTTTTAACATTTTTATTTATGAAGATAATGTCTTTTTATTAAAATTAGTAAAGAAAAAAAAAACATAAAATCACACACAAAGCCCAATAAACGAAGGAGAGATGCTGGACCGGCCGAACCGGATCCCCAATTCTAGCGAAGAAGTTACAGAACCCTAAACTGGTTATTGTTCGCTGTGATCTGGAAAGACTGATGTTTGTTCTTCGCAAGGGAAATATTTCATTCTGCTATGTGTTCAATTGCTTTGGTAGCTGGTAAGTCTTCTTATCGCTTGTTCGCAGCGTCTTCGCTGATTTAAGTAGCCATGAGTTTATGGAAATGTGTTTGGTGCTTTTGCCTATCGGATTCGAACAGCAGGATTGTGGCAACTAAAGAGTTTGATCTTGAGAAGGAATAAGATATTCCATCCCCTGTAGATTGGAGGGAAAAAACGAGACGATTACTGATATTGATGTAGTAATTTTCTTCGTTCTCTAATGATATATGAATGAATTGCTCAAATAGACCATCTTCGGAGTGTCAGGCCTATGTGGCATGGTTGAATTGAGATCATAGAGCTATACAGTTTGGTTTCGAGACAATTTTGCTAGCTTCCATTATCCAAAGCTGTTTTCCTTCACCTAAAATCTCCTGTTCTTAGTATTCCTCTGTATTGTATTTGTAGTCCTTAGTTACCTTCCTTGTTCTTCCTCCTTTTGATGATTTAGTGTCGTCTGTTTTGAAGGTTCTGGATCTCTCTATCAGCTTGTGTGCTGCAAGGATCATTGTTCTTGCTGTCCATCTGATTATGGCTATATGGTTCAAGGTTTGTCTACATACTTGCAATCATCATCTTCTAGGAATTTTGTTTATTAGTCTTTCCTGACATTGTTCTGTAGAGATGATGAAAACTTTGTCTTCGGCTTTTACAGCATCGCTTGCTAAAATCCTAGCAAAACTCAAATTTCTCCCCTCTTCCTAGCAATCACAGCATATATCATTGCTGTCACCAAATGGGAATCTAAATTTGAGAAGCCATTTTCAAAGAAAAGCTTCTGTAGGTAATCTTGTGTTATTTTATCCCTATACTACCCAACAATCTTGTGTTATTTCTACTAAATTTTATGCTATGTCTTTTATGGCTAGACAAGTTCATATAATATAAGCTCTATATCGAACTGAACTAACATTTACAGGACTTCCTCTCTGTTTCTACAATGATCATTGCTCTCTCTCTTTGCTCCAAAATTTATGCATTTGTTAGCTAACCAAGAAAATTGTAGGCTGAACTGTATTCATGGCTCCATAAATTAGCTTGAGCACAAAGGGAAAACAATCTTGCGTTGCAAAACCATATTTAATAGAAATTTTAGCAGCATATTAATCCAAATATTCAGTCAATCTCTAGCTAAGCATATCATAGCAAAACCCTTGAATCTTAAAGCAGCAGCTATTTGGCATGATCATCCAATCTTATTTAAGAGATTTATCCATTAGGCATCAAAATTATCATGCTGTGTATTATCTTGCAACTATACCAAGTTTTATACATCATCATTTTCATTAACCAAACAAACAATACCTATCTTGTCTGTGTCTGTCTTCTCCGCAGGCTTTGCTATGAAGATGGAAACACATCCTTCACTGCAGATGCAGCCGTCAAGTAATTTAGTGTGTTCTTTAAGGTTTCCTTTTCCCTCTTCAATCTCAGTGCAGTGTCCTCCAGCTCCAGCAATGCCTGCTGCTCTCTGGGCGCCCCTTCAAAAGTGCTCCCGACGAAGAAGGAGAACGGCGTCGGAAACAGGTTCCGGCGAAGGTCCTGGACCTCCTTCTCTGGCTTCCCGTTCAGCCGGTTCGACAGCCGGATCACATCCTTCATGTACAATTCAACCTCGTTCGCCAGCGCGTCCAGATCCTCCACCTCGCCGCCGGACGGCCGGTCCTCCAGCCAGTTCACCTCCGCCACCAGGTAGGGTTTGGTACGGACGATTCTCGTCACGCGGAAACGCTCCTGCCCCTTGCAGATCAGGAAGAAACGGTCGTCGACGAGGCGTTCGTGCTTGACGACCTCGCCGACGCAGCCGACGTCGGCAGTTCCGGTCGCCGCGTCGGCGTAGATGACACCGAACCGGAGATCGGTCTGGAGGAGGGTGTGCATCATCATCCGGTACCGGAATTCGAAAATCTGAAGGGGGAGAATTGCGCCGGGGAAGAGTACGAGCGGGAGAGGGAAGAGAGGGAGCTCCACGACGTCGTCCGATTTGGGCGAATTCGCGTGGTGCTTCTCGGAGAACGACGACGCGGAGCAGCACAATGAATTAGGGCTCCGCCGCCGCTGGTGGCGGCCGCGGGCAGTTGGGAAGCAGTTTCCGGCGGGTTTAACACAGTTGGCCGGATTTAAGTGGGATTTGGGCGAAATTAAGGAAGAAGATGAAGAAGACGAAGCTGGAGAATGCAAAATCTGAGGCAACGCCATTAGAGGAGCTCCGAAAGTGCAGCTAGGTCGAAGAGAATTGGGAAAAGGGTGAATGAGGGGCAACAAGAAACCGAAAAGGACCGAAGGGCATCTGGTAGTAGGAACTTTGTGGAGGCAGGTGAACGAAGGGCTTCACTCAGAGCTCCACTCCATGGAAATTGAACTGATTAAGCTTAATACAGCCTGTGGATAATGCGAGATTTTGCCATGGGTCTGCAGGCTGTGGTTTTAGGCATGACACGTGGCATTCTGTTTATCAGCTGCATTTGCGCCACGTGTGTGGCGTTGCTGGGCTCCGGGACTTCAACTCCGGGGGACTACTGAAGTAATTATTTTTGCCCTCTTCGTCATCGTCTCGACTAGTTGTAAGCCATGTTTAAATGATACAAATAGATCGATTAATATGACCTACGTTTACGGACAAAAAAAAGAACAAAAACTTTCACGGTTAAAAATTATATAAATGGTTTAGAATAACAATTTCAAAGCCCAAAGCTGATTTTGGGGTCACTGGGCTGATGTAAAGCCCAAATAAAAGTCAAAAGCAATTCCATAGTTTCCAGAACCTTCGTGAGCTGCTGAAACTATGTAGAAGTTAGACTCCTATGCAAGTCCCACGTGTGTTTATGGCGTCACTGCTTATTCCATGTTCTTGGGTTTATCGAATCAACTTCGTGATAATCTCCATCGTCTATATAAGGCATGTCGCTAGTCGAGGTCGCCGCAACAATCTGCAATTTGAGTATTCTTGTTTAGGAAGAAAGGGGAGACGAAAATGGCGGTTTCGGAGGAGGGGCAAGTGATCAGCTGCCATTCGGCGGACGAGTGGAAGCATCAGTTTGACAAAGGCGTCAGCGATAAGAAACTGGTGTGTTGCATTTTTGGATTTGGATTTATTTATTTATTAAACTTGGCTTTTTTCCATGGTTTGATTGATTGGCATAATAAGTTCTAGGGTTTTAAAAAAGTATGATTCCTTTTTCTTACCTCAGGTGGTGATAGATTTCACTGCTTCGTGGTGTGGGCCGTGCCGTTTCATTGCTCCAATTTTTGCTGAAATTGCCAAAAAGACACCCCATGTTGTATTCTTGAAAGTGGATGTCGATGAGCTTAAGGTATATACATATATATATATATATATACATATGTGTGTGTATTTTATCAGATTGAAATTCTTTTTCCTGGTATTCATCTAATTGGCCTCGCTTTAGGAAATTTCTAAGCAATTCAAAATAGAAGCAATGCCCACATTTGTGTTCATAAAGGGAGGGGAAGAAGTGGACAGGCTTGTTGGTGCTAAGAAGGAAGATCTGCAAGCCAAAGTTGCCCAACATGGTGCTATCAATGTTTAAGGTTTTCTGAAGATGTAACTACCTTCCTGCTTGTGCTTGTAATAATCATACCTCATGTGGTGAATATATATATATACATATATATGTGTGTGTGTGCTCTGTTTTATATGGACAATATTAGTTATGAGCAATGTAGTATCCTCTGGTAATTTTGATTGCTGGAAGCTCCATTATTTGTTATGTGTATCATCAGTTCTGTACTATGAAGTTATCCTGTAATAACTCATTGTTTAGTTAAGCATTATTGGTCAGAAGATGCCTCGTTGCACCCTCTTCACAATAATCATGTAATATTACTGCAATAAATAAAGAATGTTTGCACAAAGGTTTCGCCTGTCTTGAATGAAATATTTACCATGTGTTATTTAATGGCTCTGTATATTGGTATTGTTTAACATCTACGAGTGGTATAAAGATGCATTGAAGCTGTAAGAATATTTGCTACGAGGAATGGATTGGAGATCAATGGAGAGGACATCCTACATAATTCATTAGCAACACTTTATTTCGGTTCAATTCATCTGCTTCTAATTCTGTCAGGTTTAGTGTGAGAATACATTGCAGGAACCTATTTTGTCTTGAGCTGTTTTCAGCTGTTATTTCTTCTTTCCATGTCTTTGGCAATGTTTTGATTCCAGGTCTCCTGTAAAGAAGTTCCTATGTTCCCTCTTTGCTGTGATAAGAAGAAAATCGGGGACGGTATCAATTCCTGAAGTTGTCTGAATCAGTGGGAAATTACAGGCTGGATTACTCTGGAACTGAATATTTGGATATCATACCGATGAACATATGGGCTTTCATAAAATATGTGATCTTCTCGGAATCAGGTTCCCTTCCTTTTAATGCTTTCCCTCCAAAGTGGAACCCAGAATTTCTCCAAGAGAATGAATTGCTTCTGTTACAGAGGTATGTTTATTATAAATAGTTCTTGGCTTCTTGCAGGATGTTCAGCTGCCCTTGTATTTGTTTCGTCGCAAATCATTTTGACCTAGATGGTACTTGCAAGCAAATTTTAGTTCAAGTATTTACTCATCGAATTGTGGAGTGAATGATGGTTGTTGTTGTCTGCAGAGTCTAGACAGTTTCAGCACCCATACGACACTGGTTGGGCCATGGGGAGGCCATGATGGATCCTATTGGGATGACGGCGTGCACTCCACAATAAGACAGCTGGAGATATCTCATGGAACTGCAGTGGATTCGATCCGGATTGAATATGACAGCAATGGTAGATCAGTCTGGTCCGAAAAACATGGGGGCAATGGAGGGTTTACAACCAACAAGGTAATAACTAATTTCATATATAATGTTTCATATGTGATGATGTTGGATAATTTTAGTGCAATCCGATTGGGATGAATTATGTCAGCTTATTAGCAGACGTAAATTTCCTGCACAAATTAATTTATGTGCAGAAAATTAATTTAGAATTAATTCATTGGAATTTATAAACAGGATGTGTGACTTGGAATTAGATCTGAATGCATATTTGGAATCAGATCATATTGATAATCTAGAATTAAATTCAGATTGAAAATTAATTCTAACTTATTGTGTTTATATGCATTTTCTTATATATCATTTTTTTTTTTAATTTTACTCTTGGTTTTGCTCAAATGAGACGTTACAGGTTATTCCCTAAATTTGAAATACAATTTTCAAAAAGTATTTTTAAACATGAATCCGATACAAATATCTAAACCAAACTCTTCTTACCCTACCGATTTAAATTTCCCCCACAGAAGAGAATGGAGTTATTTCTCATGAAGGGATTTTGGGTTTCCACTGTGTATCAGATCAAGCTCGACTATCCGGACGAGTTTCTAACATCAATGCGCGGACATTACGGGAGCATGCATGAATGGGGAAACGGACCAGTGATTATCCGATCACTTACCTTCGAGAGCAACAAAAGGACGTATGGTCCTTATGGAGCTGAGCACGGGGCATATTTTACAGTTCCTCGAATGTCAGGCAAGATTGTCGGATTTCTTGGCAAGTCCGGCTCGTTCCTGGATGCCATTGGGTTGTATGTCGAGCCTATCCAGAGCCATGTAGTTTCGAACTCCATATTCCGGTCTCAGCAATTTTCTGCTCAAGGAACTAACGAGAGGTACGAGTACTCGATGATCCAGGGAAGTCTTGGCCCCGACTACGATCTCATTGTCGCTGTCAGACAAAAGGATGCGTGGAGAAGTCATCAACCAAATGATCCGCCGAAGCATACTTCTAATGACTTTAGTCTTTCGGATTTAAACAACGAGGTAACATAAATATCTTTTCTTGCATTCGACTATTTACTTGAGTGTAGTAAAAAAAAAATTCAGATTGTTACCACTGCTCCCAAGAACGAAAAAGGCGTAGTGATGAGCTACGGACCCTGGGGTGGATCGGGAGGCAGTATGTTCGACGATGGAATCTATGATGGCATACGACAAATTAGGATATCCCGCAACGTGGGAATTGTCTCGATCAGAGTTTGCTACGATCAAAACGGACAATCTGTTTGGGGAAGCAGGAATGGCGGCAAAGGAGCATTCAAATCCGATAAGGTAAATCGAAAGCGAAAACACGTTTAATTTTGAGTACTACTGCAGCTTTTATGGTAATGATAGAGTTCTTGAAATGCAGATTATCTTAGACTATCCATCGGAAGTATTGACGCACGTTACAGGCTACTACGGGCCAACGATTATCATGGGGCCGAATGTGATCAAATCACTTTGTTTCCACACGACGAAGGGATACTACGGTCCCTATGGAGAAGAAGAAGGCGAATTCTTTTCGACAAAGTTGAAAGAAGGATCGATGGTGGTAGGATTCCATGGCCGGACAGGACTGTTTCTTGACTCGATCGGCGTCCATGTTCTTGAAATCAAAGGGAAGCCTACTTCTAGTACTTCAGCAGCTGTAGTTTCTCCGACATCAAATCCCCAAATGTCTGCGCCAAGTCCCTTCCCAAAATCCGGCAAGCAAATCGCAGTTTCAGCTAACAAAGCAGAGAATTACCAGTGGCCTTTCAAAATTGGAAAAAAGGCGCAAACAGAGGAGGTACTTACAATGCAAGATCTAGACATGTTTATAAGTTGTAAGTACATGCTTTTAAAGTCTTGGAAATCTTTGCCAGGTTAACCAGAGGCTGGTGAAAGATCCGGCCCCCTATGGGCCGGGGCCGTGGGGGGGCGAAGGTGGGAAGCCATGGGACGACGGAGTCTTCACCGGGATCAAACAGATCATCCTGACTAAAACAGATGCCGTCAGCTGTATCGAAATAGAGTACGATCGAAGCGGGCAGTCTGTTTGGTCAGTGAAGCATGGCGGCGCCACCGGAGAAACTGCACACCGGGTAAGGCTGGCAAATGAATCAGATCGGGTTCGGGTCAACTATAAACAGGACAAAAATTCTTGACCTGAACCTGACCCTTAAAATCTTTAAATTTTAATTTAAAATTACAATTTTTAGTAACAAAAATTCCAATGGATAATATATACTTCCTCCGTTCCGAAATAATAGTTTCATTATGTCGTCTTAAAAAAATAGTTTCATTTCTATTTTTAGTAACCAGGTCTCCAAATTTTTACAAAATTATTTTTATTTTTCACAATAATTACATAAAAATTAAGGGCATTTTGATCTTTTAAAAATAAACGTCTACACCCACCATCAGTATAATAGTATAATTTCCACATGTCTCTATTGTTTTTGGATGGAGGAAGTATATATATTAAAGCAAAAACTATTTATTCATATAATAAAAACGATATTCAAAAGTAAAAAAAGTAAAAATTTTGGACTTAAACTTGACCCATTTAATTATATGGGTTATACGGATTTGATCCAATTATTAATTGGGTCAAAAATTTCAACCCAAATTCAATTATTTCAAGTAGGTTAATTTTTGTCATCCGGATAATAAACTTGAAACTCAAACACAACCCACCATACGTACAGACAGCTTATTATAACTTCTTTCCATTTTTCCAGATAAAATTGGACTACCCTCATGAAGTGTTGACGTGCATTAGCGGATACTATGGCCCTGTCAAGAATGATCAAGGAAAAGGGGCAAGAGTGATCCAGTCCTTGAGCTTCCACAGCAGCAGGAAGACATACGGCCCGTTCGGGGAACAACTGGGGACGTACTTTGAGTCGGGCACGACTCAGGGGAAGGTTGTCGGGTTTCACGGGAGGAGCAGCGTGTATCTAGATGCGATTGGAGTGCATATGCAGCATTGGTTGGGGACTCACAGATCATATAAACCCCAATCTATTATGAAGATTTTCTCTAAAGATCCTTAAACTTGACATCTGTTTGAGGTAAACTTCTTCCTTCACTTGTTACTGCCTGGTTTTTCTTTTGTTGTCATTTTGAGACCATTTCTAAATCACTGGACTTGATATACTTGTGGTACGATTTTTGAAAAAATACACATGTTCTAGCGTTATTTGAAGGTGTGTGGTGCATGCAAATAAATAAAGGATATGTATTTTTACTGGCTTAACTTTTAGTTTTAGATGAAATGGTCATTCAGATAATCTCAAATTAGAGTCTGTCACGATCTACAACAATTGGAGTCATTTATAATTATGTAACTGAAATCTGTCACAAATTAATTTTAGTCTTCTGGCGGGCACCCTGGGTAACTAGTAGGAGAATATGTGTGTCAGGTCAGCGACTCTTGACGGATGCAGTGAAGTTTTATTTATTTATTTATTTATTTTTAAAATTGTTTTTTTTATAAAAAAAATCCAGCTAGGCGTTGATTTGGCAGGCATTCGTGTCATTCAGCAAGTTACGCGGGTGCCATGCAGTATTTTTTTGAAATACGAAAAGTTTTCACTCACTTAGACTAGTTTGCAACAAATTTTAGTTACGGAACTAAAATAATAAAATAGTTTAATTACGAAAAAAATCAATTTACGTATAAATAATTGATACGGGTGTGTATATATATATATATAAGAACTGAGTTCTGAATAGCACACGATGAACTGATAGAAAACACATCATTAAAATGATGTTATGTATTATATTGTATTATAGTATTAATATAAATTGTATGTTAGTACTGATAATATAGCATATTGTTAATAGTGTATTAAATTTAGCATAGTAAGGGCAGCCTTAACGAATGGAATATTGAAGTAAATATAAGATAAAATTAATTATAATTTTTATTCTCATAAATATGGTAGGTTATTGCCTATTGGCATAACTTCATGCAGTGCTGCTACTATATATATATATATATATCAAATCGAATTAAAGAAGGAGCACAACCGCTGCAAAGGCGGGAGGCCATGGTCGGGCGGGGGAGAGTCGAAACTCGGCGATGGTGGAGACTACTGTTCAAACAAAACTGGACGGTGTGAATCTGATGCCACAGGTAATTGAGAGAAACATCTCGTTTATTCTCGTAATCTCAATCGATAATAGATACACTTCCATACAATTCGAGCCCTAACTAATTTAGGCATTTAGAATCCCTAAATCCTCAGGTATGAACAACATACACAGTGAATTGCCATTAGAACAGTTAATAAGTGTATCGTTTAGTATGATTATGTGGATGAGTATGCCCGAATGGGTCCCCTCCGCCCCCTGCATTATTGCCTCTCATTATTATATGTGACAGCCATTCAATGATTGTTGCTGACCAGCAAAGTCTCTTTGTTTCTTCAGATAGAATTTTAACTTTAATTGAATTGATATTGTTACCTTATCCTGGTAGATGATGGTAAATGAAAAATAAATTTTACTGGTTTATAGCGTAGAGGAAGACGATGAAATATGAAAGGCGGTTAAACTAGTAATCCTGAACCTAGTGGCCCCAGAAAAGTACAAACAGGAAGCAAGTTTTTTATACATTAGAAATCTGATAATCTGAATAAACAGTAGCAAAAAAAAAATAAAAATAGTATAGATGAAGATGAGACATCCCACAAGTTATTCCATTCTGAAATGATAACCACTATTCTATATGGACAAGCATAGTTTGGCCATTATCTTGATTCCAGAATCCTATCTGAAATCAATAATCAAACATTTCAGCAGAAGCCATAATTGGGTGTTGATTAGGACCCATCAAGTTCCAGGGATCATTCATGAAACTATCTGTAAATCCTTGGCTCTGAAACTCCTCAGCCTCCACCATGCAGCAGCTTCCGGCGGCGCCGCCTCCGGCAGCAGCCATGGAGGAGGAGCTGTTGATTATATTCAAAATTTCACTCAGGGATTGGAGCCTCTGTGTGAGCTCCATCTCTTGAGCCTTCAAGACTGAATTTTCTGCCTCCACTTTGACAGTCTGCTCTGTGGTGACATTAATCCTGCTCAACATCTGCTTATTTTTTTCAGTAAGCTGAGCAACCTGTCCCATAAGATCTTCCATATGCTTCTGCTTCCTCATCCTGGACCGCCTCGCAGATTCCCGGTTGGATTCCATTCTCTTTCTCTTCTTCTGATCAACCACTTGCTTCATGTTCTTAGTATTCTCTGAACCAGAGTTTTGAATCAATGGTGAACCTGAAGATGTCCCGCTTGAATACGCCATATTTATTTGCTTCAGACAATAGGGTAGCTACACACCTAATCAAATACTAGGATCAAATAGTTCTCTTAAGACAGACTGCTATTTGGTAGGGGATGTGTATATTATATATATATTAATATATTAGCTTGAAGACTTAGACTGAGGATGATGATTACGAGAAAACGTAGAACCAGTAGAGGAACACAACTGAGAATGATTGAGCAAGATGAATCCTCCTCCTCCTCAATGAGGAGTTTATCATAAAACCAGAAAGAATGACTTCACTTAGTACAGGAGACATGTGTCCCTAACATTAAAAACAAACATCTGCTGCATCAAATAAACAGCACCCCTCCCCAACTATGAACTCAAAACCTGGACAAGAAACAGCAGGAATAACAGAGGTGCTGGAGAGGAAAAACCCAAAACCTGTAGGGAAAGATTGAAGGGAAAAGAGGAAGAGATTCTAAAAATAGGAGAAGGGGTGGGATTTATAGTGGGGAAAGAACACTAGTGGAAGTAGACAAGAAACAATTTTTATTTAATGGGTGAGAAAGATAGGGAAAAAAAGTGAAGGGGTTTTGGAATTAATGTGGTGAATGAGGAGTTTGTGGGTAGTGGAGAATGATAAGAGGTGTGGGGTGGAGAAAGGATCAGTAGAACTGTCCAAATCCAGGACCAGGTAGATAGATGTTCCAATCAATGTATGTACTACTGTCACAATTACCATGGTTAAAAATCTTCAAGAAAGGACCGGACCTTGCTTGCTTGAGATTCTGGGGACTCTTTTTATTCCTGGTAACCTAACCACTCCTGGATTCTATCTTCTTGTTTTTATCTATCTCATACATACTTTAATGTCTTCATCACTGCAATCTTCTAATATCTGCCTTTTATTTTTCTTTTACTATTTTACTGCTGCTGGTAATTCTCATATTTCTTTAGCCCATGGTATTTAAAAGCTGGTTTTATTCACTTAGATGATTGTTCATGGAAAGCCCTGGATTTTGTTTGCCTTCACCTTTTCTTTTGGCTTTATATTGGCGTGATTACCACTTTCTGAGCCCATAAATTCAGCACCTTTTCATGGTAAATTCAGCAACTTTTTATAGGTTTGCTCGGTGGTAGTTTGAAATTGATTTGAAATAGGGTGAATGATTTAAATTTTTGTTTAGATGTAATGTTTACGAAGAAAATTAATATATTTTTATTGATAATAATATTAATTTTGATTTGAAATTATAATCAAACACACCCTAAGTCCGTGTTTATACATATGTACTTAATATATTGTATAAGTACAGTAAACCTATGAACACATAAATCTTCTGAATAAGTAACATATTTAATATTATGCTAACCATTTATATAGAGATCTACAGATAACATATTCAATAACAAAAAATATTATATAAATATAATAATTTAATAATAAAATTATTATTGATCAAGAATTACGCAATTACATATGCAAGTTGTACTTCTGACATCTATGCTTAATATATAGAATTGAAGAAATTGTACTCAACAATTTGTACTTCTTAAATCAGTATGTAATAATAATAATAATAATAAAAATAATAATAAATTTTGATGTTGCAGGTAAGTCTTGGATTTTATGCCCCTGACTTATTACCCCATACTTTCATTTAAATATTGATTTACTTTTGCCATTTTGAGCTGGTTCTCATTATTTAATATAATAAAATTGTTACAAATAATAATTGTAATAATACATTTTTTATAGATAATCCACCTTTTTAATTACGACACATTCTTGATGTTTATTTATTTGATTAATGATTTTGGCATTATCAGGCGCCTGCATGATTCCATGTGATTCTACAACACACTAGTTGAATTTGAACATCTTCAACTGAACCATTATATATATATTAAAAAATAATATTAAATAAAATAATTGAATTCAATTTGTTTTGATTGAGAATGGGACTTTAGTAGGCGGTTGTTTAATTTAAAAATGAATAAGAGTCTCCGAATATCTGCGTTTATGATAAGTTTTATTATTAATAATCACCATGTGCTTACTGCTTTACCCATTATATTTTATGTTTTATTACTTTTAATATTTATCAAGAATCATTAGTACAAAATTTCTGGCAAAAAGTCACCGATTCATGGCTGTCCTTATGAATATGCTGGGTATAGATAATGAAAAAAAATGTATACATGTTTATAAGAGTATAAGAGCATTATGATTTGTCTATTAGATATACATATATATACCCAATTAATTTAATTTTATAATCTTTTATTTATTATAATTTTAAATTTAATTACTTAGATCTATCAATAGTTAGATTGTAACAATAACTCCAGTAAAATTAACAATTGTCTCAAGTAGACAAATGTTTCGGCTTTGACTCAATCAGCACATATAATCAAAGACAGATATTTTTATGTATATTTTATTTAGCACAATACAATATTGTGTTATATAAAAATATGTACAGTGGAATTTTATATTTGGGTTGAGTTTTGTAAATATATATATATATATATTGTGATGAAATCAATAATATATTGTACTATATGAAATTATATCATGTGCATGTTCTACATAAAATTATATCATTTGCTAGCAAGTATGTGTTGTTTATTTTAAATATGTATTGATTTGACCAAATCAGAATGGAAGTGTAGGTAAGTAACATAATTCAAGATTAAGTCTCAATTAAAGTAACCCAAAGGTAATAATGCAAATCGATAATCAAGAGGTGATTTGAGTGGAGTATTAGGACAATGGTGGGTGCCTAACTCCAACCACTAAGAATTTGTTCCCTCTCGTTAACCATTTGACATCGACGACTCTAATAAAATAATTAAAACTAATATAATGCTCGATTCTTGTCCATTGTACAATGAATCCGTACATCCCTTAGGATGTGACTCACAATCCTAATTAGTACAACTTTAGAAAATTTTTCTTCAATTAGGAGTGAATCGAAGATATTTAACTTGAGTTTTTCATTTTATTTTATTTTTCTATAAGATAATTACTTGGAGGTATTTTAAATTTGTATTGAGAATTTGTGTAATATTTTATTAATGATATAGTTATAAATTCAGATTATGAAATTTTGATTTTAAAAAACTATAGATTAACTTGGTTGTAATGTCCATGAATGGAGAATTTGATTGTAAATTTGAGAGATAGGTTTGGAATGTGAATAATAAAGTTTTAAAATATTTTGAACAGTAAAATTAATTTTTAATATAATATATATATAAGAATTTGTTTGATGGGAATATTCTTCATGAATAATAAAATCAACGAACAAACACATACTAATTTAATTTTACAGACTTCGATTTGAGTTTTAACGGTTTTTCACCAACATTTTTTTAATGAAACATTTTCTATAAATATTATAATATATATATAATACCAATATAATATATATTCCATTTACTCATAAAAATTAATAATTTAACACAAAATATATTTTATATATTATCATCACAAATTTTCATAATTAACATAAAAATAAATTCATTTAAACAAATACAAAATGAACAAATCCATTTTGAAACTGCTCATTATTGGAGAGGTAAAAACTTAAACACGCTTTATAGACACAAATAATGTTATAGCGTCCCTAGAATATTACACCAACTATTTATAGGTCTTACCATTATTGTGTCCCACAAAAGACTACTTATTAGTTTGATTTTAATTGCTTGTACGAATACAACACCACCAAGTACCAATGCAACCTACAATATTCTAAAAATCATCATCAAAACAATATAGAAATAAATTAATAATAATAATAACAACAAAAGCCACCAGTTCCTTTCTCACAGCTGAATCAATAATAATATTTTGTTGCATTGTGAATACACAACACACACAGACAAAAGTTCCCCACAGTCGTTTTCAGGGCCCCAACCGATCCCTGCAACTTCTTTATTATTTTTTTTAATTATTATTTGTTTAATTTTTTTCACTCAGGATCATTCGTCAACTTGATTTTGCTACTTTACATCTATCATTCATTACAAACTGCAACAAAAATAAAATTAGGCAAAATTGGTGATATTGGCGTAAAATTTTTCAAGTATTGCACAGAATTTCTTAAAATTACAAAACTCCTTTTGTTTTTAAACTTATGACATATAAACCCTTTAGCGCGAATTGTGACTCCTTCTTGTTTTCAAAAAATATTACATAGAAATCCTTCTATAAAAAGAGAATTTTATGCGATATTTTTTACACACAAGAAAGCATTATGTGAGTTATAAACAATTTTGACAAAGTTCTCATCAACTTGTCCTAATTTCAAACATCCTACAACATTCACCAAGACCACTTTAGAACTAGCACACAAAAGTTCGATGCAGCGCTAAACTAAAAACAATAGTAACAATAATAATAATAAACAGTCGACAAGAAGGCATAATAAATACACTCATACCACAAAAAATACAACACATGGTTCTTCATGTAGGAATAGCTAATTTACAGAAACATGTCCACAGCATGCAAGTAGGCAGCAACCACATTCCCTATGTACAGATTATGAAGGTGCTCGGATATTAAAAGCTCTCGAGCTAATTAACTAAATCGTAGCACATTATCTGCCCAGATTTTCGATATATTACTTTCTCAGGATTCTTGCAATAGATAGCAAGGCAAGGAAAGGTTAATGCAGATATTCTAATGCTTTGAAATTTAAACACTTATTTTGAGGAGGCTTAAGATTACATACCAGCATCCATATTTGCTGCTGCACCAGCTTCCGGGTGGTAGTGCAGTATCTCAACCCACATCATCTCCCTGATCACGTCTTCTTCTAAATCCTCATCTATGTCGAGGTTGATTGGAACCTGTGCTGGAGGGTCACAAGCTGGATCGTACAGAGGAGATATGTACGGATGCTGAAGTGCTTCTGTTATGCTAATCCTCTTCGAAGGGTCAAAGATGAGCATCTTTTGAAGTAGATCGATTGCCAGAGGATGGGCATGAGGGTAAAGGCGAGCAAAGGAGGTTCCGAGGGAGTAGGGTAAAGTTTTGATGTATTTCTTTGCCTTTGGATTATCAATAAATTCAATGTCGCTTTCTGTTTGGCTACCAAGGATGTTGATGATTAATTTAAGCTGGTTGAGGCTCTCGGTGCCAGGAAAGATCGGCTTCCTACCAAGAAGTTCGGCAAAGATGCAACCAACAGACCAGACATCAATGGATGTTCCATAGTTGTCGCAGCAGAGGAGAAGCTCTGGTGCTCGATACCAGCGAGTGACCACATACTCAGTCATGAATTGGCCCTTGCTGTTGTTGATCCGCGCAAGCCCGAAATCGCATATTTTGAGATCACAGTTTGCATTGATGAGTAAATTCCCGGGCTTCAAATCGCGGTGAAGAATGTTTGCTGAGTGTAGATACTTCAGACCTCTTAGTAACTGCAGTTATAAAAATTACAAAAAAAAAAAAAAAAAAAACAATTACATTTAGTACAAGAAGGGGTGTGGCAGCATTGTAACCAGGTCCTTATGTTTAAAGCTACAGTTAAGGAAGCTAAGAATTGCTAATAAACCATTTCTAAAGCATGCATTACAACTAATTGGGTAATCGTATCCGAACATATCCAACATATTTCAGATAGATCATTGCTTGATAAAAGAATATTTACTTAGTGTTATCATTATTTTCTGTTCCTCATTTATCAATAATAACTCAATGCAAAACACTAACTGGAAGACAAGTGACCTAATTCATATATCATAATAAAAAGAAAGTAGGGACGTGCAATGGCAGTTCAAACTCATAAATATGTAGTTGAAATGGTAGGCCAAGAATTATACCTGGAAAAGGAAATACTGGCAATGGTCATTTGAAAGAGCCTGAGAAGATTTAATGATCTGATGCAAATCAGTATCCATAAGCTCATAAACCAAGTAGACGTCGTTGAAACTTCCCTTGTGAATAGGGAGCATGACATCTTTCAGTGCTATCACATTTTCATGCCTAATATGCCGCAGAAGCTTTAGCTCACGCAAGGTTCTCAGAGCATCAATACGATTCTCAAAGGCATTGTGTATCTTCTTGATAGCAACCTTTTCATTGGTTTCCTGATTGATAGAAGAACACACGATCCCATAGGCTCCTCGACCAATAGGCTTTATAGGCACGTATTTAGTATCAATCTCAAAAAGGGCTTGCCACATGGAGAAGTAATGCTTTCCTCTAGATTTAACCCCATTTGGGGGTTCCACAGGAGTCGCCATACTATTAGAATCATCAGATAGAATTAGAACTTTGCATAGTTCGTCATCAACATTCTGGTCAGTTCCTAAATTACTTCAGAAGTAATATGCTCTGATAAACTAATGAAGGATCACTAGTGAAGAACATATGAAGCATTCATATCACCAGACTCATTAAAATGTTACATGCATATACATTTGTAAAAAGGCCAGAAAGAATATATATATATATATATATCGATTTGAAAAATTATACTAGCTGGAAAGATTAGTGATACCGTGGATTCTTCCTTGGGGAAGTTCCATGGACACAAATATGAAGGCCTTCAATGTAATACTTTTCAAGTAATATTCCAAAATCACTACGTAAGGTAAAATCAACGAAGCTTTCAGTGCTTTTATTAAAAATCAGAAAAAGGTATAGAGTAATTTCTAACATTTCAAACCAACTATCTGCAATTAAATGATAAAGTGAAGTGGATCAGAAACGTATGATCTATTCAAAGCTAAGCAACTAAGGCAGACATAATTTAAATGTCCTAAGTTTTGAAACACACGAGGTGTTAAAGAACAATTAATCGGTAAAAACTGGTAGCTCGACTTTTACTCGAGGTAATTTAAAATCGAGTAGAATGAAAATGAGTGAAAAATCATGGAGGAAAGAAAGGAGAAAGTGACAGGGGGAGCGAGCGAGAAGAAAGTCAAGTACAAACAATAATGCGCAAAGTACGAAGTTTCCGTCAAGGAAAACGATCGGCAAACGCAAACTGAACAATTTTATCCCAAAAATAACGAGAATTAATCAAAGTCGCACATACTTCCGCACAAAATTCTCCGGCAATATCCTCAAACTGCTTCACGGAGCTCGAAACTCTTCATTCCTGCCTCCAATTTCCACTCTCTCACTCAAATTCACCCCTAAATCGATCCACAAACACCACCGCAACCTCCGATTCCCAAAAATTCAGCCGCGCTTGCCTCAATAGTCAATCCTGAAGCGAACACACCTCACCTGCCTGAATTCCACCGAATCGAATCAGATGGATCTACTAAGACCACGACCACAAATGATCCATGCTTTCGTCGCTTCCTTAACTGGAAATCCACAAACAACAAAGGATAATATTAAAAATCGAACTGGTATATCTTCCCAAGGAGGGGATATTTCACACGAGCAGGGAGCATACTGTATGATTCGTCATGCAGTCGCCATCACGAACAAGGCAGTCTTGTCTCTTTTAATGTCATTTGGGCCTTCGTGTTGTTATGGGCCAGCCCATTAATAACAGGCCCACAATATTATTGGTTCCGTACGACGGAAAATCTCTAGCTGAGATATTACGACGGCGTTTTAATAACGAAACGGCGCCGTATTGGTGGGGCAGTCGGCTTTTTGTGCATGATTGTTTGGCCCACTAATTATTTCAATAATGATTGCGTTATTTAATTTTTATAAAATCGACAGGACAGCGCTGCTTACTCTTTTTAATTAATACAATCATTAATAATTTATTGCCAATTTATTGGCAGTGCCATGTTAAAGGCTTCAAGCGTGAGCTGATAATATGAATTAGACCCATAGGCTAATCTGCTATTTGTTGGGCTTTAAAATGTTGGCCTGTTGGGCTCTTGATCCATTTTAAATATAAATTCGGGTCAAAATATTGGATTTGTTTGTGAAACAATTTTTTTTTAATTGCTAGTATTTTTTATATTAGTAATATAGTATTTTTTATATTTTATATCGAAAATATTTTAAATTAAAATATTAAAAAAACAAATTCATTGTATATATTTTTTTAAATTTATTTTATTATATAATTTACTGTCCATTAAAATTAGTTAATTTGGATCTAACACCAAAATTCAAAAAATAAAATAGTTTTATTAAAATAATAATAAAAGTAAAAAAAAATAAATTGAGATATTCTCAAAAATTTAGTAAAAAATTAAAATATATAAGAATGAAATATAATAAAAGTAATGGGATATTAAATATTGAATAAAAGATAATAATTAAATATTTATTAGTTAATAATGCCAAAATTAGTAAATAAACAAATTTAGTAAACAAACTAAAAAATGAAATACATTATCTCACTTTAAATTTACAATATTTTAAGTATTGAGATTTTCATTAACAGAGCTAGAACGCAGGAAAGGGACCGACTAATCACATTTTTTGAATTGAAAAAATAAATAATTAAAATATAAAATATTATTTTTTATATTATTAATATAATTTTATTTTTTATTTTTTTATGTTAATATAAAAAATATATTTATAAGTATTGAGATTTTCATTAACAGAGTTAGAACGCAGGAAATGGACTGATCGACACTTTTTTTAATTAAAAAAATAAATAATTAAAATATAAAAATTTATTTTTATATTATCAATATCATTTTTATTTATGTAATATCAAAAATATATTTATTCAAAACACAAAATGAATGTAGTCATAAATGTTAGCATACAAAAATAGTCTTCTAGGCACAAACAAATCTTTAACATCTAATGCATAGCGGGTCAGGCCCAACCCGACCCGGGAGGCTTCTGGTTAAAAATTGACGGTAAAATGTATTGTTCGTAAAATCCATGGTCGTTATCTGGACCATCTCTTAGCTCCTTATCCACATTCTAGTGTCACCACGTGGCGCGCATCCTGTAGTCTAGGGATCATCGATCGCCGCCGGCAATAATAATGGTCTCCTGAGCTGACGTCACCGCTCCTTACGAAATGACAGAAATGCCCTCCTCTCTCTATTGGATCATAGTCTTGATCAGTCAGCTGCCGCTAATAATTGTCACTCCTCAACTGATCATCGAAGAATCTCTTATCTTCTGCGCCTATCTTACCCTCTTTCAGCTTTCCTTTATCCGTTCATCTCTTGTCGGTCGCTCATTATCCTCTCCTACCTCATCCATCTTCCCAATTGCTCCTGTTCAATTGCTGCTTTCTCGATTCTCTATATAATCGCCGTACATATTTTTCTAGGGTTCTTAATTTGGGGATTTTATTTTCTCTTGTGGCTGAATTGGAGTACTCTTCTGATTGTTAAAGTTCTTCCGGAAGGATTGAGAGTTGATTTCAAGGTGCGCGATCCTCATCGTGTAATTTCAAGCAGAATGTGTAGACGATTACGTTGATTTGGTCTTTGCCTTTTGCGAAATTGATGGATTGTGGTTTCAGTTTCTGTACTTGATGTTCTGTTCTTCGTTCTATAGATTTAAGCATACAACTTTCAATTGAGGTTGAATTTCAATGGTTTTTGCAGTTCCGTAATTTTCGTTTTTGGTTTTTAGTGCATATTTGACTACAACTCTGACATGCTAATCAAAATATCTCGGAAAGATGACAAATTAAAACTGTGTATTGTACAGTATCAGTTTTTGGACTTATCTGAATCCTTTCTCAACTTGTTTCATGAAGGAATTGAGATTGAAATGGCTTCTCTGCAAGGACCTGTTGTTTCCCCTGTAGTCCGAGCAAAACGGATTGCGCCATGTCTGCTTGTTAATTCATCTCTGCTCGCCCGAAAGGGGCTTAGCTATGGCAAGAGCAATAATACACTTCATCGACATACCGAAAGGAAATTCAGAAAAATTCATTGTAGTTTCAGCTCATCTTCGGATGGCAGTGGTAGCATGGCTGGGAATTCCAACGAGAACGATGCTAGTTATGTTAATTCAAGCGTCGTCGAAGCTGGTAAGCGAATTTCTTTTGTATTAGGCTTCCCAGGATACTTTCGACACGACGATTGATTCATTTGTGTCAAAAATAACAATGTAGTGTATATAGCCGTCGTCTTGGTATGTGTTAAATGACCAGACTTACAAATTCTGCATATGGACGATGATGAATGGGTTGCGGTGGGACTTCGAATATCGGCTATATTAAATGATTTGTTACTTAAAAACTTAAGTTTAAAGGGATTTGCATGATTTATTTATTATGAAGTTAACCAATATTGAATTTTTCGATTTGGGCTTGCAGGCTAGATGTGTGCATTTTGAATAATTATAGTCTTTTTGATCGAAGTAGAAAGTGGTCCGGAAGGCTTCACGATCAAGATGAGGCTCTGGCTCTGATACATTGTTAAATGATCGTTTTTATCTTTAATCTTAAGGGATACACAAGATTTATTTATCATGAAGTTAACAAATATTGAAGTTTTTTATTTGGGCTTGCGGGCTAGATGTGTGCATTTTGAGTAATTATAATTCTTCTTGATCATATAGTCGAAGTCAAAAGTGGCCCCGAAGGCTTCACGATCAAGATGAGAGACGGTAGGCATTTGAGGTGCGTACATAACAATCCTACGGGCAGTCATAGGCCCGATTACGCCCCACATCCTGCCATTGTACTGAAGATGGAAGACGGGACAGGGTTGCTTCTCCCGATAATTGTTTGTATGCCTACATTGCCTTTGCTACATCCTGAATCGTTGTTGAAGATGTTTAGTTTTCAGTCTATCTTAACTCACGTTGCTTTCGCTGCAGTGGAGATGCCGAGTGCCTTGCTCATGGCTGCTGTTCGAAACGTCCAAATCGTATGTTTCATTTTCTTGTTCTGATTCATTTCTGATTCGATATATTTGTTGTTAGAGCTGATTCGTCGACTGCCTTTCAGGCTAGGCCTACTATATACCAAGTGGTCCGGGATATGGTCGACCGGATGGGCTATGTGGTGAGTTTTCGCGACACACACAAAGCTACGCTACAATGGCTGCAGCTAACGTATTATCATGTCTCTGCGCAATCCTCTTCAGGTGAAACTCGTGCGCGTCACCAAGAGGGTGCACGAAGCATATTTCGCCGAGCTGCAACTCGTAAAGGTAAATCGAACTCACCCTTACGATTCATCAACTCTAGTCGCGACATTTTTTTCGCTGATGAAAATTTTCGCCTGATTTAAGTCTGACAACGAAGCGGAGTGCATCAGCTTAGATATGCGCCCTTCGGACGCGATCAACATTGCCGTGAGATGCAAGGTCGATTCTGCGATTCATCTCTGTAATTTTCGTGGTTGCTGTTTAGAACTTTGTTTAGAACTTATTGAGAGCATTTTGTCGTCTTCAGGTGCCGATACAAGTCAATAAGTACTTGGCCTACACTGACGGTATGCGAATTATAGAGTCAGCGGCGAAGGTGTCCGTGCACGTCTCTTCTTCCGGTCATCTGATCTCCGAATTGGACAGGTGAGATCGATCGATCGATCGATGACTACCACATGGAAAATTCGATTTGCTTGAAACTAGAATGCTTAGTTAAATATTTGTAATTTTACGCAGACCTACCGGCCAGCCGTGCACGGAAGCAATGGAATTCGATTTGATGCGCAACATGGTGATTGCCGTCGGAGAGGAGCGTTATCAAGACGCAGGTAATTAAAATTGTTACGATGATCATCGATGGATCCATTACAATCCACGGCTGCTGATTCATTGGGTGTTCGATGCAGCTCTATGGAGGGACAAACTGATGCAGTTCCGGTCCAAAAGGAATTGGACATGACATGACATGACGACCGTGTCTGTTTCGATCGAGCCGTGAAGGTTGTTCTGGTCGTTGTTGTCGTCGTTGTCGTCGTCTTTTCTTTGTTCATGTGGAGGTTGCAAGCATTGATATAGCTATGTACATAGGGCAGCATTGGTCAGTTGTTTCCAGTAACTTAGGTTGTCGGGGAAGAAGATGAATGCTCGTACGGTATATAGTAGTCGGCCATAGCCTTTGCATCTGTATAGCTACTCTTAACTCATACATAAGTTGCTTTATATAAGTTTCTTTCATCTGAATTTTGTTCCTGCATCTTCTCATAAAACAACATTTATACAGTAGGATAGGATGTGTTTTTTACTCTCTATATTTTTTTGTTTATTTATATAATATTAAATAATTATTTAAATTCATTATTTTGTGTATTAAAAATTTTAAACTAAAAAATTCAAATTTACGAGGACAAACATAAGTTTAATCCACGTGCTTTTTAAATTTAATTTATTATTAAAAATTTTAAAAATAAAATGTTATGATTATTTTTTAATAGTAAATGAATATTTTGGAATGATATGGATGAAAAAGAAAATAATAATTTGAACCGACAAATATATAATAGGTGTTGATGTCGATTTTCAACAATAAAAAGTAAAATTCGAAAATAAAGGTTATATTCGAATTTGATAAAATAAATGAATTCTTAGACACCGTACAATACATAAATAAAATAGAAACTAAATACTAAAAAGTAAATGGTGATCTTCAAAAACAATTCTCTTGAATTTGATGTCATTGAAGACAGGTTTTTCAGACTCGAATCCTTAAATAACCCCTTAAAAAAATGGTTTGAACCGTCGTCTAGTCGATTACAGCAATCCAACCGCCCACAAGGTCCTCCTCTGTCGACACGTGTGTTAACCGACTCACCAACCGCTCGCCAGTTACAGCACTCAACTGGCTCGGCCGACCGCCTCTGAACACCTTACCGCCTTAAATGGGCGGCTGGCCCGACCGGCTACTCAGCCACTCAAAATAACCCCCGACTCCTTAGACGGACTGCATGCCAACCGAACTAACTGGTCGCTAGACCAAACGACTCATTGGTCGCCCAGTGACCACCATCTGATCCCTTCAATCGGCTGAACAACCATTCGTCCAAACGATTCATTGGTAGCCCAATCAAGCGACCAACTGACCGCCCTTCAAGCGACTGACCTACTGTTTGACCAAGTGACCGGCAAATCGATCAGGTGTTAACAGGTCGCTTAATTAAGCGCCCGCCCAACCAACAGACCCTTTATTCGCCCGACCAATTAACATACTTTTCCTTTCGTCCGACCTCCGCATCGGCCGTCTCATCCTTCTTCGCCCGACTTCCTCTTTTGACCGACCTCCGTATCGATCATCTCTTCGCCCAACTTCATTTCACCCGACCTATATGCCGTCTGACCTGGATGCATATTATTTCCTCCTTGTCTAATCTTATCTTGTCCGACCTGTCCGAACTTATCATGTCCGACCTACGTGCCCGACCTTATCATGTCCGACCTCAGAGTCCGACCTTATCATGTCCGACCTCCGTGCCCGATCTTATCACGTCCGATCTCGGTGCCCGACCATATCTTCTCCAACCTCCGTGTCTGCTGAATCATCCTTTTTTGACTTTTGGGTCGTTTGGCTTATATTCAGATCCATCGAGAATCCTACTGTCATTATTATTATTATTATTATTATTATTATTTTTTGTACTCAAGAATAGGAATACAATGTCAAATACCAGCTGCACGGGTCAACCCGGATCCTTGTAGATTGGGCCGGCCCGGAATTCAGTTCGGGTCTAGTCATCCTTTCTCCTTTCTCTCTTCTCGGATAGATTTGCCCAAACGGATCAAACCGCTGATTACAGTTTGTCAAAATATCAAATCGAAATCGAATCTTTCGAATGACGATTTCAATTACGATTTGACGATTTCGATTACGATTTATAAATCGTCGATTTCGATTTCATTTTTAATATTTTTCTTTTCTATTTTTTTCTAAAAATTTGAATTTTATTTAAAAATAATTAAATTTTATTTTAATTTTATTTAGATATATTTATTATTTATTTATTATATAAAAATCGTATATATAAATAATTAATTAAATTTTTACAATATCAAAATAATTAAAATAATAAATATAGTAAATAATTAAATTATAAAAATATTGTAATAGATAATAAAATAATTTAAATTATATATAATTATATAATAAAAAATAAAAAAATAAAAAATATTAATAGTATTTTATTTTTTAATATTATTAATAATTATTTATATTTATTAATATTATTATTGTTATATTTTAAATTTTAATTATAAATACAATAATATTATTATAAAATACACACAATGTAACCCTAATGCCTAGTCAATACAATTAGTCATCCACATCCACACTTATGGATGGGCAAAAAAATCGAATCGAATCGTCGAACCGTTGAACCGAATTGAATTGAACCGAATTTTTGCTTAACCGAGCAAATTCGGTTCGAATATAAATACTGCATATTTGATATTTGTTCGGTTCGGTTTGGTTTCGGTTTTTTCATATTTTTTTCGGTTTGGTTAACCTAACCGAATATATTTATGTATTTATAATATTATATTTTAAAATTTATACTAATAATTATATATGGTTTGGTTTCGGTTCGAATATTTAAAATATTTGCAAATATTTTTTATTTAATTAGAATTTTAATATTTTTTATATATTATATCTTAATTTCGGTTCCGTTCGAATTATTTGCAAATACTACAAATATTTTCGATTAATCGAAATTTTCGGTTCGAATACGGTTCACGATTTCGGGTATTTGTTCAATTCGGTTAAGATTTCAAATACCTGCATATTTGCAAATAACTGAATCGTACCTAACCCTATCCACACTCCACGGACGCGCCGCTACCGCCCTCACACACATATTCTCTCTTCCTTTGGACGCAGCAGTCGCGCCTGCGCCTGCACCCGCACAGGTTCTTCCTCTTCCTTCCTTCTTCCTCCCATTTCTTTCATTTTTTCTTCCAACCTGGGTCTTTCTTCTCCTGTCCTCCTTTCTTCTTCTTCTGCGCGCCTTGCCCCAGCCATAGTGAGAGATTAAATAATAATAAATAAAAAAAACCAAATCGTCGGTTCAAACCGTAAACCGGGTTTGCGGTTTGAAAAAATCCTAAATCGAAACGACGATTTCGTTTCGATTTGTGCCGGTTTCGATTTGAACCGTAATCGGCGGTTCGAACCTTCGAAACCGAATGAGCAAGTCTATTCTCGCGGATAAAAACCTCTTTGAAATAGGTTTTTCGCGCCGACGCGCCATCTTTTTTCCTCTTAATTTCTCGAAACTAAAATCTCTGGACAGCATCAACCTCCGATCCTGCAACTGGAAAGGTAAGGCTTTACTTGTATAACCAGTCCATCGACGTGCTTGTCGATTTAATGTTTTCATATAAAAACGATAGGAAATGATGTGAAGTGGTGCGGTTAATGAGGTCTAATTGCGTAATTCTAGGTTTTTTTCCCCCTAATTTTCATCGAAGTATATAGATCTGTTGACGTGTGCAATTTTTAAATCCGAATTTGTTGAATCGCAGAGGTTTTAGACCACGCATTTTCGGATTTGTTAGTATGGAGAACTTGGGGTTCTGTCTGTTTGTTCAACGTCGTTTCTATATAAATTCGACGATGCATTTTGGGAGTGAAATTGAAGTTGTCTCGTATTTTTGTCTCACAGGCTGATCTTTTAACAGTATTAGATGATTTTGCAACGTTGTTGTTGACAGAACATGTCAGAATTTATTCTATGAATTCTAGGATGGCCATTTGTCACCCCACCGAAATGCTGCTTGCTATATCCTGCAGAAAGGAAAGGTCTCCATTGATTGATATTCTTCTTATCCTTTACATGTGATTTTTTATGCTAATTGTTTTAATAGTTTTTAGCTGACAGTCTTTTCTTGCTTGATTGATCAAATTGTGCCTTTAGTTAGTCAGTTACATTATGGCTGTTTGAGTTCAGAGGATTAATCTCTTATCATATTGTATTCAGGCTGCCTTAGGTTCTTCTCAGAGTTGTAGGTTCAGTTCAGCAGCTTCAGGATCGGTAATTGCACGATCATTTGAAACTCTAAAGTTCTTCACAACACATAGAGCCTGCAGAAGATATTTAGTAATGGGCAATGATAATGTTGACTGCCTTTCGGATAACAACACAGATACTCCTCCACTGTCAAGGAGTAGTTATCAAGTTGTAGTTGCTGCAACGCCGGATATGGGCATAGGGAAAGATGGTAAATTACCTTGGAGATTACCCGGCGACATGAAATTTTTTAAAGAGGTCACAGCAACTACATCAGATCCAAGTAAGAAGAATGCCGTGATGATGGGAAGGAAAACTTGGGAAAGCATTCCTCCTCAATTTCGACCTTTGCCTGGTCGCCTCAATGTTGTGCTCTCTCGTTCGAGAGGTTTTGATTCTGCTGCTTCGAAGAATGTTGTTTCATGCGGGAGCATATCATTAGCTTTAAAGTTATTGTCGGAACCTCCCTACAACATCTTCATAGAAAAGGTTTTCTTGATAGGAGGGGGTGAGATTTTAAGGTAAGTATCATGATTTTTTCATGTGCTCATTTATTTTTTGCTTTAGATTTCTTATATCGAGCATTTGCAATTAGGAAGAGAAGCATAACCATAGTATGGATGCAGGGAAGGATTCAATGCTCCAGAATGTGATGCAATCCACATAACTGAGATTAAGACTCCTATTGTATGCGACACTTTTATTCCACCTATTGACAATTCAGTTTATCAACCATGGTATTTATCAGCCCCCATCGAGGAAAATGACATCAGGTATTGTTTTGCAACATATGTCCGGATTAAGGCCTACACCGAAGGACCTGAGAATTCAGGTGTTGTGAGTAGCACAACACAATTAAAAAGAATCACACTCTCGGATTTCACATTCCTGCCCAAATTTATTTTTGACAAGCATGAAGAGTTTCAATACTTGAGACTCGTCGAAGATATTATATCAAATGGGAATGTAAAGGATGATCGTACAGGGACTGGTACACTTTCAAAATTTGGCTGCCAGGTAAATTATAAACTGGTAGATATTTGTGGTGAGATTGTTACGTTACTGTGTTTTTGCTTTGCCTATTGATACCTTCTCTACACATTTTCCAGATGCGATTTAATCTCCGAAAATCCTTCCCTCTTCTTACAACCAAGGTAATTGATATATTCTTATCACTTCAATAATATGAGTCTAGAGAATCAATAATTTCTGTCCACTTCCACTGTAATTTCTTGATGCTTGTTGTGGTACAAAGAGAGTTTTTTGGCGAGGAGTGGTAGAAGAGCTTTTGTGGTTCATCAGTGGCTCAACAAATGCCAAGGTAATTTTTTCGACCTTTCTACAGTCACTTTATAAATCCCACCATGATATGCATCTCTTTATCTATTAATTCGGTGTGTCGACCTCTGGAATGTTTAAGAAGGTAATAAAGGCAAGATGTTCAGTCTGCCTCATCACATCCATCGTTTTTGTTTCTTCTTGCGACTAAATGCTTCTCTGCCTTTGAAATCCTTACACAGCGGCTTATATTGCAAATGAATAATGTCTTTGAGTTTCGACAATTATTTGACTGCTCCTAATGCAGATTCTACAAGAAAAAGGCATACATATTTGGGACGGTAATGCATCTAGAGAATACCTTGACAGGCAATTTACCGACCCTTCTTTTCTTGTTTTCGAATTGTATGAACTGCTGTAGGTAATGAACAATTGCTCTGTTTACCTTTTCTTGCATTCTCTTTTTCCAGCATTGGCTTGAAAGACAGGGAAGAAGGTGACTTGGGACCTGTATACGGATTTCAGTGGCGACATTTTGGTGCAAAGTTAGTCTATCGGAAATATGAAGCACCGTTACAGAACATTTAAATCCTTTACATTAACATTCCTCTTCTCAATTGTGTTCCACAGATACTCCGGAATGCACGCTGACTATACTGGACAAGGTTTTGATCAGTTGCGTAATGTTATCGACAAGATAAAGAATAAACCCGATGACAGGCGGATTATCCTTTCTGCTTGGAACCCTTCTGATCTTGATTTGATGGCTTTACCCCCTTGCCACATGTTTGCACAGGTTGCCATGACACTACTATTACTCCGAATAATTTTGAGACATGTTTGAATTGTTCGTATCGAATTACTGAAATATAATGTGTCGCAGTTTTATGTAGCCAACGGCGAGCTCTCCTGCCAGATGTATCAGCGGTCTGCAGATATGGGTCTCGGCGTGCCATTTAACATAGCGTCGTATTCGCTGTTGACGTGCATGATTGCCCATGTTTGCGGTATGCCTTTACCTTCTTCGCCGATGCTCTCCTTTTCATTACCACTTTCTTGTTATATAGATTTCTTCGACATTGCTTGCTTTCAGACCTTGCACCGGGCGATTTCGTTCATGTAATCGGGGATGCTCATGTCTACAAAACTCACATCATCCCTCTGCAGGAGCAGCTCAAAAAACTTCCCAGACCTTTCCCTGTAAGTACATCTTGTTTGACTGTAGACAATTTCGATTGAACTGCCGAAAATTGCATCAAACTCTTTTGTTATTTCATAAACTATGCATCTAATCCCTTCTGCCGTTCTTATTTAATAGTGTTTGAGCTACACGCGTCCAAATGGGAATGAGTTTCAAAATCTCCATTTTCTAAATATTTAAAAGTATATTTATAATTTCTAGGATTTAGAAATAGAAAATTTTGATACTCTTATATTTTGGGTGCGGTGCAAGTCCAACACCCTTAAATAAGGATGCGCAAGCGAATTTGACGTAGAGTTTATGAACCACAAAAAGCTTGACGCACTTTTGAAAGTGTATCAGTGATCACTTATTCCTGTTTCATTGCCAAACAGACGCTGAAGATCAACCCCCGAAAAAAAGACATCGATTCTTTCGTCGCGGGAGATTTCGAAATCAAGAACTATGAGCCTCATCAGAAAATAGAAATGAAAATGGCAGTGTAAAATCATATACTGCTCATACCATATGTTTGCAGCTGTTTGTTCTTGATCATAGTTTGCTGCATTTACTGTTTACGAAATTACATGTTGTGGATTCATGTGAGATTTGTGGTTGTCTCTCTGCAAATTTATTGTGACCAAACTATCAATTTAATAGCTGAGTTTATTAGTCGTGAAAAATTAAATTAAATTTTGTGTTATTATTGTAGGAGACTGAATTGAAAGCCTAGTAATGTGGATTTATGTATTTTATGTTATTTGTCTATGAAATTATTATTAGTATTATTATTTATGGAAATGAACAAATGCGAAATAATGAATGCATTTTGAATTGTAACGTGAACTGCAGAATTTTTCGTGTGAAGGAACTTTGCTATGGGTTTCATGTTTTTTCTACGAATCGTAATTGGAATTTCTAATGATATTTGTAACGATTTGCTTTTGCGTTGGCGTGGCTCCAGTGGTTGTTGATGAATGCGTCTACTCTTCGACGGAACTCTTCGTTGCTCAGAGCTTCCATCTCCGCCGCGTCGGATGGGGATGATGTTTTCCGGCTGCTATCGGTTTCGGACCTTGGAAGCTGCGGCAGCACGAGCTCCTGCTTCAGTTTCTCTGATTGCGTTCTCTGAAACCTATTTATCTGTCTCGTGGCCTTTTCTATCGCTGCCATCACGTCGTCACTTTGCGATATTGCTGCGGTTCGTTCCGTGGCTGCGAAGTTCTGGTTGAGCTCATTGTTGCAGTCGAGTTCCTCAGCAAGCGTTGGGGGAAGAGAAGAATCGGTTTGGTGAGCGACGTCGCAGTATTTCACGCGCTCATCGTAAAATTCGCGACAAGTGGAGAGATACACGTCGTCGTTTTTCCGGAAATTCACGAACAACGAAACGATGATGGCGTTTCCAAGAAGAAACACGAGGTGGTGGTTGAAGACATTGCTCGAATTCAAAACCGCCGGCAAACGCACCGATAACCAGATCAGTCCTAAAACAGCCAAAACTTGGAAAGACCGCCATAGCTTGAGTATCCTGCGGAAACGGTTAAACATCGCAATAGCCTTCTCCTTCTCAGCCTTCACATGGTCAAATATTCGCAATTCCATACCCAAAATCTCAGGTAACTTCAACAACTCCTGTAAACACCACAATCAAACCATACACACACAGAATCAACAGAAAATTGAGAAAAAAGAAGAAACGGATATTTCTAGAGGCATGATTGGCACTTAGGCACCTCTTCCTCACCTTGTTGGTGCGTGCAGAGGCATGAAAGTGGAGTAGCTAGTGGACCTTCCGATGGGGGTACCGTTTTGACAGATAACAGGCGTATAGGTAGGGGTTGGTGTATGCACAACTGGCTTTCTTATTAATTGCCATATCATACATAATAATACTGTAATTTGATATTTGCACAACTGTATGTATACTGTATACATACACACACTATAATATATGTATGTATATAGAATGTATTTTTGTATTGGTTTCACCTTTGCAGAAAATGACAGAGATGGTGGGGGAAGGAACCTGCAATTACAGCAACGCTGGTTGCGCTGCTGCACCTCCGTCGCGCCCACAACCACAGGTACGCCGCCGTACACTTGCACAGCTTTTCTGCCAGTGTATAAATTTCATTCATAACCAAAAAAAGAAAAAAAACAAAGAAAAATGTTTTTCAACATCTAATTTACAGTCTTGCTTGTGTGCCCTGCGAAGAAGACAGCATCACCCTTCTGTGAAAATACTAAAAAAATCATTGAATCTGTAGAAATTTAAGTAAATAAGTATATGTGATAGTAAGTGTATCAGTTATTTATGAATCAGTCGCAATGACAATAATTTATCTTTCCATTTCGAAGGATTAATCAATCGTAAATCAGAGGATCAAGTAAAAAAGTATGTGTGATGGAGACAGTATGTGCTGCCTTTGATCTGATGGTCTAGGAAATATCCATCTTGATTTATTTCTATCACTGTTTCAACTCCTGTCAAAATCAGTTCCTAAAAGCAAGTGCGACATTGGAATGCCGCTGAAAAACACTTGAAATCGAACAGCATTATTGGAAAACTTCAAAATCTACAGTAGTAGTAGAATTCACACAGATATGAATAAAGTTTTAGCTAATTAGTTAAGCAACAAGTATTTTAAGGTAAATGTGACTACAGGGGGAGTGTTAGAAGCTCAGCGACAAGAAAATTCTGTATTTTTTAACAAAAAAAAATTTAATTTTATTATTTAAACTCTGTTTTTTTTTTTTTTTTTTTTTAAGTAAAAGATTTTCTGTGATTTGTGTTAATTAAACTTGTACAGTATATAATGCTGTGCAAAGTTTGTTTTGTCTTGTTTTTTTTTTTTTTTTTTTTTTTTTTTTTTTTTGTAATAATAAAAATTAGTGTTAGAGTGTAAATTATTATGGGTATCAAATTACTTTTTTAATCAAGATAGTGTAGAATTCGAGGTGCTGTATGTACTGAAATCTTGATTGCAGTTAGCATATGGAAATGCTTATATTTCATATTGATTTGTTTAATCCAAGCCTAACTGACAAAAAGTGTAAAAATCGAATAAGGGTGTGTTTGTTTGAGGGATTGGATTTTTCTTTTACTATTCATCCAATTTTTTCCCCCCAAAAACATCAAATCAAACACCTATTTTTTATTTTTTATATTATACTAAAAATCAATTTTACATTCAAAACATCACATCAACACCTATTTATATCACATCATACAACTATTCAAATTCAAAATTTTTACTATTCAAATCCCAACTCAAAATCCAAACCTCCAAACAAACACACTCTAAGATGTTATTGCACTAATATTGGCCGACCTTCATACTCTATGATGTTACAATTATTGTCATAAAGTAGAAAAAAATTGTTTAATCGTATCAATGATATTTGGTTGAACATCAAAGATCAATCCCTAGCAGAAATATTAACACATAAAGTGGTCCTAAAATGGAAACGTCTCTGTCAATCTTTCCCATTCACTAACATTTTTAATTATGGTGCTAATGTATTTATTTATTTCAAATTAAGATTACCTAATAGTAGACCATAAATTTACAATATAAAGTAATCGATTAGCACTGCCGCAATGGAAAGTACTACTACTTAAAGGAAGAAATCTCTCAAGTCATTATAGGTACGGATAAATTAAAATAATAAAGAAACGTGGAAGATCTTCAGAGTTGTGTACTTTCCAAGAACACTTTGAATCTCAACGCCAGGTGTCCCACTATCCTGTAATTCTGCCGTCATACTTCTACACTTGCATACTTTCTACTTGATTCATTGTTTGGTTATGTGGTAGAAGGATCTTATATTAAACTCTCTTGTTCAGTTTTCAGTTTCAGTTCTGCGTTTCTTTTATTCGCATTGTTAAAGCGCAGATACCCACCAACAATCATCACGATTTTCACCAAGCCGTCGCTTCCTCCTTTATCACATGCACTCAAACTCCACTTCAGATTTTTAGAACTTCTGCCAGTAGTAGCTTGGTTGAAAGTCCGAAGAGGGTTTGCCGTATTTTGTGATCCTCGTTGAAGTTTGTCTGATAGAGTAAGGTTTTTGATCTGGGTTTTGGTTAACATTTGATGGTTTCAAGCTTTTCTTGGACACTGTTTTGAATCAGGGATCTTTAGCAAAAAGGGTTTTGGTTAACATTTGATGGTTTCAAGTTTTCTTGGACGCTGTTTTGAATCAGGAATCTTTAGCGAAAAAGTAGTTTTACTTTTTTAACTGTGTTGTAAAGTTCCCCATGTACTATATATTGGTTTTCATAAACTTGATTTTGATTCTAGATTCTGCATACAAATGGAATTTTGCTTTTCCACCTCGAAAGCCGAGGCACTACCCTTACAAATCAAAAGAAATGGAGGATTTTGGGGGGCTGGCACCTGTAGTTCGAAAACCAACGGTTTTGGGCGACAGATCTGGAAGCTCTTTGGTGAAAAAGGGATCAAAAAGTTTAAGCCTGGAGTTGCATTTTCTGTTCTCAGTCGTGATATTAACAAGGAAATGGTTGTAAGTCCTCAGTTTGCTCTCTACTTACAGATGTTCTTACATGGGTGATACTTATATGAAGTATGTCATGTGCTTTTGATTGATGTCAGGAAAATGTATCATCTTTAACCCTGGAAGAAAATGCAATTACTGATCCAAAAACTGTTGCCTGTGTAATTTTGGGAGGAGGTGCAGGGACGCGCCTCTTCCCCCTGACCAGCAGAAGAGCCAAGCCAGCTGTAAGGAATATTCTACAATTATATAGCTTTCGAACCGCATTGATCCTACTGTGTGATTTACTGTTTACTGGTCAATGAATATTCACTCGCCAAGTAGAATTTCTTTCTTTCTTTTTTTTTCTTCTTTTTTTTTTTTTTTTTTTTTTTTTTATCTGCCAGTATTGTATTTAGGTTGTTGATGGCGTAGAAAAAGGGTTTGTGAAGCAAGTATTTTTCTTATCTGCAGGTTCCTATTGGGGGTTGTTATCGGCTGATTGATGTACCTATGAGCAACTGCATCAATAGTGGAATAAGGAAAATTTTCATATTAACTCAGTTCAATTCTTTCTCCCTCAACCGGCATCTTGCTCGGACTTACAGTTTTGGGAATGGTGTCAGTTTTGGGGATGGATTTGTGGAGGTGAACCTGTTACTTAACTCAAGTTAAGGCTGGTTTTATCCCATCAGGGTTTGCTCACAATAAAAAATTATATATAATATATACATATCTTAAAAACAGGTTCTGGCTGCCACTCAGACACCAGGAGAGACAGGGAAGAGATGGTTCCAGGGAACAGCTGATGCAGTCCGGCAATTTATATGGGTTTTTGAGGTGCATGTTTTATGCTCTTTCAAGAAATTTATTGAGGGTGAGGCTAATTCTTGACATGCCTGTAGGATGCCAAAAACAAAAATGTTGAGCACATCATAATTTTGTCTGGCGACCATCTTTACCGTATGGACTACATGAATTTTGTTCAGGTAGTTGTCTCATTTTTTTGATATGTGCCCAATTCTGATAGTTAAATCTCTGTTACTGCTTTTATGCGTGTTATGTACGTGCTTGCAGAAACATTTAGAAACAAACGCTGATATCACAGTTTCATGCATACCCATGGATGATAGGTATGCCCTGATCCATCATTTGCAACTATGGTTCACTTCTAGTAAGGTAAAAAGCTACATTAATTTTTTTTCAAACTCTGTTTCAACAAAATGCAGTCGAGCATCGGATTATGGGTTGATGAAAATCGACAAAGAAGGGCGCGTTGTTCAGTTTGCCGAGAAGCCTACAGGCTCTGCACTGAGGGAAATGGTTAGTAGAGCTTTTCTAGAAATCTAAATCAATTGTTGTATACAGCATTAGTCGTGGATTTGGGTTGTAAAAGTACTTCCAAAACAGCTTATTCCTAAAATATAAACTTACACCATTCTTTGTTATTATGTATATGCTAATATTCTACAGCAAGTTGACACTTCTGTTCTGGGTTTACCTTATGAAGAGGCATCAAGGTTACCGTACATTGCGTCCATGGGCATATATGTGTTCAAAACCGACGTCTTACTAAACCTTCTAAGATCAAAGTACCCTTTGAGCAATGACTTTGGCGCTGAGATTATTCCTTCAGCTGTAAAGGATCACAATGTTCAGGTGAGAATGGAAACAAACTATTCAAACAATTTTCTCATGTCTGGTTTCAGTAAAATACAGTCTTCATCCATGGTCTTTTCAGGCATATCTATTTAGTGACTACTGGGAGGACATTGGAACCATAAAGTCTTTTTTCGACGCCAATTTAGCCCTCACAGAGCAGGTCAGTAAACAGAGATCCATGAACCATAGTGATATATTTATGCACCTAAATGTTTGTGTTGATTTTGCAGCCTCTGAGGTTTGATTTGAATGATCCCAAAAACCCTTTCTATACATCTCCAAGATTCTTGCCACCTACTAAAGTTGAAAAATGCAGGGTAACTGCTGCTAGTGAATTTTTGTCATGTTCCTTTGGCGAACTGTTCTTTGGATCTTATGAATGTGTTCTTTCAGATAGTGGATGCAATAATTTCACATGGCTGTTTCTTGAGTGAATGTAGCATTGAGCACTCTATCGTCGGCATAAGGTCCCGCTTGGATTTTGGTGTCGAGCTCAAGGTGGAGTTTTACCTTTTTCATTCTACGTATCATATTCTATCACTTCACTAATAAATTACTTTGCTTTCAGGACACTATGATGATGGGTGCGGATTATTACCAAACACAATCCGAAATTGCATCTCATCTAGCCAAGGGAAAGGTTCCCATTGGCATTGGCCGCGACACCAAAATACGGTATGATGACTTTACCCAACCCATGCTCATCTTCCAGAATCATACTGACTTGTTCTTTACATTTGGGCTTCTCCTCAAAAGTAACTGTATCATTGACAAGAATGCGAAGATAGGAAGGGATGTAGTGATTGTGAACAAAGATGTAAGTTCATCTCACCTTCAATCTCCTATAGAAACAATTACATTGGTTGCTGCTGCTGATATGGTAATTCCATTTTGGTTAAAAACACCTGTCAGGGAGTTGAAGAAGCTGACAGGTCAGCAGAAGGATTTTATATAAGATCAGGAATTACAGTCATACTCAAGAACTCTACTATCAAAGATGGAACTGTCATATAAAAGAAATCAGGTGTAGAATCTTTTTAGACAAGGTAAGTGTTACAACACTTCTCTTCCGTATGTCTAAATTATCATCATTATTTATGTCAACAAAGTGTTTACTTTCTTCCTTAATGATATAAGATCACAAAAATATAATACGTATTGTTCAAATCCTATATAGCTTCCCTTTCAATAACCAAAACTTCTTAAACTTTTTTTGGAAAGGCATTGTTCTATCCCACCTGAAATTAATTTCAGTGAAAACTTAATTAGGCCGACAGGTCGATGAACGTCTAAATTTCGTTCCATCAAATCATATTAAATCATTTTTCGTTTTTTTTTTTAAAAAAATTATCAAGTGGTGGATTTTTTACCCATAAAATTCCACGTCATTAACAAATTAAATAAAAATTAAACATTAACTCGTGTGGCACGAATTTCCAAGGATTCAAATTCAACGGTGGTACAAATGATTAAAAAGCATTGCTCGTGTGGTGCCGTTGATCCTACGGCCCACATGCGCCCTTGAAAAGCGGCGAAAATGGGACGGTTGAGATTTAATCCAGGACGTGCCGCCTATCATCCCCTCCGTCAAGTACGGCGCCGCTTCTTCCTCCGACAGCTGCCGCGACCATTTCACCCTCCCGCCGGTCCTCGCCCCTGCTCCGTAGCATCTGTACTCCCCGTAATATACAGTCCTGCACCCAACACCTCCATTTTACAATTCTACATAATAATAATAATAATAATAAATAATAATAATAATAAAATAAATAAATAAATATATAAATGCCTTTGTTTGGCGGGGGCGCCCCAATCGTTCCACCCCTGAGCTCCGACGGCGGCGGACATGTAGCTCCGGGCAAACACCACGCGAGAATAGTTGCCCCAAGGGCGGCCGAGCAGAGCAGCTCCGGCGGCGGCGCCGGTGACCTTACAGTTCAAGAAAGTGAACCCCGTCTCCTCCGCCGGCGACTGCCTCCGCTGCGCCGTGATGGCTCCTCCTCCGTTCCCTTCCGCCACCGAGTGCAAGTGGCACTTCTGCACCACCCACCCATCACTCTCAAATTAAATAAAATAATAATAATTATTAAATAATTAAAAATACATACCTCGAAGAGGGAAGCTCCATTCCCAAAAATGAAATCAATATCTCCTTCAATGTAAGAATCCAAATAGTAATGCCTCCCTCTCTCATCCAGCAACGTGTCCTGATGCGACAGAATTCGACACCCCACGAACGCCGCCCGGTCGCCGGAAACCCTCAGCGCCACGGCCTTCGCCCCCACGCCATAGCTGTTCTGCAAAACCAATCAATTAATCAATCAATTAATCGATCAAATTGATTAATTCAATCAGTAGGTACCTGGATTGTGAGGAATCTGGCGACGAAATCGGAAGCGAAGACTGAGACGGTAGGTGACCGGAAAATGTCGCCGGAGTCCGCCCAGGTGATTACAGTCGGAGAAGAAGAAGAAACATTGGTGCCACTGAGAGTGACGAAGGGCTTATCGTGAGGTACGAGGATCTTCTCCCTGTAAATTCCAGGCTTCACCAGGATGAAGAAATGGTGAGAGTTATTTGGCGGGACTGCAGCGTCAATGGCGTCCTGGATTTTCAGGTAGTCTCCGTTGCCGGACGCGTCGACTTCCACAAGAACCGGCGGGGAAGACGAAGAATCAGAATCCACGACGAAGAATGCGATGAAGATGATGATGACAACAGCAGTATTATTATTCGCCATAGCCATAGCCATAGCTGTAAAAAATGTTAATTATTAGGGTTCTGTGATTCGATGATGAGGATGATCATGGCAAGTGATCTACATCAAGCTAGGGATTGATGGAATTAGAGATATATGGCTATGGGGTTTGAATTGAAGTTGAAATTGAATGAATATTGATGATTAATTATAGAGACGTGGGTAGTAGGAAGTAATAACTGAAGAAGCCATGATCTGATCAGGGAATTATGGGTTTTGTTGACCATGGAGGTTTCAAGTATGTTTCTACTTTTTTCTGCTAACGTCGGAATTTGTAGCTGTCATTATTTATCGAATGTCGATTGGATTATATTTATTGTTTTCAAATTTCAAACATGAACATTATAATTTTAATACTTCCTCCTCACCTTAATATTTATCTATCTATTTATTTTTTATAAAAAAAAAATTAAAAATATTAGTATTATATCGAAAAATAGTAGAAATAAAAATAAAAATATTAAATTATCCTTAATAGTATAATATAAATGTAATAATATTTGTATAATATATTGTAAACTAAAAAAGTGTTTGTAATATTAGGTATATAATACAGTTACTAAAAAAAATGAATACGTTATTTTGAGACAAACCAAAGTAAAAAAATAGATAAACTGTTAAAAAGACGGAAAGAAATGAATACATAGATTGTTAAAGGGACAGATGAAATATTATGTTAAGAAAGGAATTTGAAATTTCAACGCTAAAGGAGTTCTCAAAATTTTCTAATGTAAAACAATAATATTCCACATACACTAACAAAGGAAACCACACACGCTAGATGAACCACATATGACCGTATCCAAAGTTTAAATTCATAATGTCACGCCCTTATTGATATTGATATGTATTTGATTGATATTTTTTTTTTTAATCATTACTCTTTGTATGTATTTTAGGTAAATTTTCGATCGAATCTAATATGCAAATCGAAGCTCAAGCCGAATCTAACAATATGCAAATTAAATACGACAAAATAAGTCATATTAGACGAAACATGTGTGTCACAGAGCACCGGGACCCATATGTGTACTTTTGCATTATGGGAATGAAGGTGGGCATACATAAATAGATATATATAGCTCCATGGTGTTGGTGGGGAAATTGCATCACGATGATGATGATGATGATGATGATGATGATGGGCTTTTCTGCCATTGAAGCCGTACGGTACTCTTACTTTACTTTCAGACACGCTTGCCTTGATTTCCTACTTCCTCATCTTCGTATCATCATTTTTTGTTTTTTTGCTATTTTTTAATCAATTCGTTTCTTCATCCTAGAAAAAAAATTAAATGAAACAAATCTAAGCTGGATGTTACGAAATTGTGTCAAATTCTCGTATTTTCAAAATTGAATCAAATTCTTTTATGGTTTGATAAATTTTACGTCTAATCCTCTCAGCCGTCTTTATTCAACGGTGTTTAACTTACATGTGCTCAAACTACAAATGAATTTCAAAATTTTTATTTTTAAATCTTTAAAATTACAAATATATTTGTTAGAATATAAAATTGAAATTTTCTATTTCAATCGTAAGAATACGGACATACTTATAATGATATACAAATCGTCTAAATAAAACAAGAATCCTATGAATCTCTTAAATAAGATAACTACCATAAATATAATATATTATTTCTAATTATATTTTAACAATATTTATTTATCTTATATTCAGCTTCGAAAAGTAGTAAAAAAAAAAAAACTCTTAAAATAAGAGAAAAATAACTATTTCTGAATCATTTACTTTTAAATATAAGAATATTGAGTATATTTGTAATCTCAAATATTAGAAATGAAGATTTTGAAATTTATCTGCAATCTGGGCATGCAGGTCAAACACCATTAAATTAAATAAGAAAAGTTAGGAGTTAGACATAAAGTTTACGAAATCATGAGAGAGTCTAACACAATTTTGAAAGTATACGATATTTGGTAGCAATTTCGTAAAACTACACATGAATTTTGTACAATTTTGCTTAATTTAAATTTAAAATTACAAACAATCAAAAATTTTATTTGTCTTTTTAATTAGATATTTTTTGGATATGAAATATATATATATATATATATATAGGCTTAAAAATAATTATATTTGAGCAATTAAATTGAATATGTGCAGGCAGAATGGAAAGGGATAAAGTGGTGATGAGATGAGACCATATCTATATATAAAAGGAGTATTATGCAAGAAGACACTTAACTTGAAATAAACCAATTCCCAATTGTTATTTGAATGGAATATTGTAATAAAAACACATAAAACAAAACTCAGACCTCTCAAAATAATGAAAAGACCTAACACAACACAATATTACAATATTCATATATTTAATATTATAAAATCTCTAATTGGCTATTCCACTTTGCAAATTTGGTCACTATTTTGGGAAAGTTATGATTCCCAACCATATTTTATTTGTGAATTTTTATTTTATAATTTGGTATGATCATATTTTGATCACCTAAACGAAACATTGATTGTTCAATTTTTAGTTCTATAATGTAATCACGCAACGGTCACCGGCAGACTATCCCTTATGGAACGTGCCTATAGTACTTTTGTTTTGTCAAATAAGAGTTTGTGCTATCTGTTTTTTTTTTCCCTTAACTAGTACTCTACAGAAGTATGTATGATACTCTATAGAGTACATATTGTACTCCATAACAGTATATATGGTACTTTATAAAAATATATCTAATACTTTATAGAAGTATGTCTAGTGCTCTATGTAATATATATTACACATTCTGTCCATTAAAATTAGTTCATTTGGATCAAGCACGAGAATTAAGAAGAATAAATATTTTATTGAAAAAGTAATAGATATGCGGGGGTATTTTTGAAAATTTAATTAAAAAGTAAAGTAAATGAAGTGAGAGAATAAAATAAAGTTAGCGGTAAATAAATGTTGAATAAAAAATAATAATTAAATGTTGATTTGTTGACTTTGCCAAAATTAGTAATAGGATAAATTTAGTGAACAGACTAAAAAGAAAAATGAGTATGAGTATAAATTTGGGAGACGGAGAGAGTACGCTTTTCTACTGTGTTATTAGTTCTTAATATAAGCTCAATTTAAGAGTTCATATAAAACACTTATTAATAATTCAGAAAGCACTTGAGAAAATCAGCATTATAACCGTCGCTATATGTATATATAGCAGTGTATATATATAATGATTTACACATCATCATCCATAAGGTTGATCATATATATATATATATATATATATGTCTATCTCCTTATCTTTTGGAACATTTTTCATCTCTTGAAGATTCTTTTCCATGTAATGCTGATTCAACTATTTGGATATATATATATATATATAAGTATATGTATATTGGGGATACTTTATTCAAAGATCCTTCACTACATGCCTAGATTTCGTTATATATACTTTTACCTTGGTCCTCAACATATATCATTTTCATTTCTTTATCATTACATTGGACCATACACTACTCATGTGCAAATGCTCTCAAAATTAATATACCCAAATTAAATACATATATATATATATATTTAAAAATAAAGTATTAAAAACATATGGTGGAAAGGGTGTCCAAACCCTATTCTGTCCTAGTTTGATGGAAAGATATATGTATATATATATATGATAAAAATAAAAAATAAAAAATAAAAATATATGATAAGGATTCCAAGATATCAAGGGGCCCTCCCCTCTTTTTATTCAGATTCTTACCCCGCAGCTTGCAAACACATATGAATAATTAATTAATATATATTTTGTGTATTTGATTTGAGTGTCAAACACAAATTATTATTGCTTAATATATACGATTTTTAATAAATATATATATTATATATATTTTTTTTTAATAAAATATTAAATCAAAATATTATTTAAATAAAGAATTCAAATTAAAATTCCAATCTCAAACTAAATTCAAACAAATCTTATACCATATATTTTACTATAAATACACAAAATATTATGTATTTTATTTATTATATAATTTTTTTATTCTAAATTAAAATATGCATAAAATATTCTCATGTCTAAAGTTGGCTGGGCTAACTACGCAGTTATTATAATAATAAAATGAGTGAAAACTTTTAAATAGCAATTTTTAATAAAATAAATAAATAAATAATGAACCCGGTTTTTTTTTTTTTTTTTTTTGGGTACTAATTAGGTCATGATTCATCTTTAAAAAAATAGATTAAATGAAGGATTAAATGTTTATTTATTTATTTATTTTTAAAAATGCTATTTAAGAAATTACACTCATTTTATTTATTGTATAACAGTTGTATAATTAGCTGAATGTTTAAAACTAACATTAAGTTGAAATTAATATGATATTTTGTATATGTTTTAATAAATATATTTTCTTTTGTCATAATAAATTTTTATTTTTTCAAAAAACAAATGATAGGATGATTCGAGGTCCACCAATGAAAAATTTTGGTGAATGGTTTATAAATGAAGTGGGATTCCTAAGTTGAGCAAATCTGATATATCCTCCTCCAAATGGTTTTTCGAAAAAGGGGAATCAATCTGATCATATTCCCAATATATATATATATATTGCTGATATATGAAAACACCACCCAGAATCGAAGAACATATATATCATTTAATTTAGTACAAATTCCACTTGAATATTATCAATCTTTTTTTTCTAAAAAGAAAAAAAGACTGATGCAACAGAGATATATTATACATGATAATTAAATCAAAGAAAGATCAACTGTCCTAAACTGATTCCCATCAAGTGGATGGACTTCAAATTTGGACATATATATATATATATATATATACATATGAAAACCCTAATCTTGTAACATAAATTACATGCAAGTTGAGGGTTTTGTATAAGTTGTTGCTAAATTAATGGTAGTGCCACACACACACACCCATGTGGGTGTGTGTGTGTTTTGGGGGGCATCTATCTTGAAACTAGTAGGGACTTAAGATGAGGGGATCTAATCCTATTGATCCCACCAGCAGCTGGTGGTAAGAATTCCCTCTATATACAAAATCCACTTGTTCATAATCATATTGTACGTGAAAAGACCATCGAAAATGACACCCCTTTTTAGTTCCTAACAACAATGGCGCGCGCACTCGAACAGTAGCAGCTATTAAGAAAAAAAAAAAAAGACAATGGTGTGGTTATGTTCTAATTTACTTGAATATACCTATACTACCCCTTCATCGATAATCATCTGGTGTGTGTGCGCGCGCGTATGTTGTGACCCTTAAGCACACACGAATCACATCTTTTTTTTTTTTTTTTTAATGTGTTCGCTCAACCCCACACTCCTAAAGATATAACAAATTAAAATTATTCGTCAACTTGTTCACCGTGCTATCAACATCAACGCATCATCGCGTTTTTATTCTCTCTCTATACCTCTCTTTCTCTTGTGTATATAAAAGGCTCACCGCATTGTAATAACCTATCATCCCTAAAACACATACATTTTTCGATCTAGCTCCCTTGACCGAGGCAGCCTCTTCATTTCCGGCCTCGCAAGCGAGCCCTAATTAATTATCTTTTTCAATTTGATTATATATATATATATATATATATTTATGGCCTCGAGCTCCATGTCATCATCGTCGTGGACAGCTAAGCAAAACAAGCAATTCGAGGAGGCCTTGGCCATGTTCGATAAGGACACGCCGGACAGGTGGCATAACATAGCAAGAGAGGTTAGCGGAAAATCTGCCGATGAAGTTAAAAGGCATTACGAAGCCTTGGAAAAGGACATTATGAAGATCGAAAATGATCAAGTTCCGATCCCTAATTACCGCTCCGTCACTAACGGCCGTGCCGGCTATGGCAGCCGAGGTACTTATTACGGCTATGTCCCTAAATCCTAAACCCTCCTAAACCCTAAACCCTAAATCCGGAAATCTTCAAAATTTGCCCTAAAATCAAAGCACATTGCACCATAATAATGCCTCCTTTTCTAGGGTTTAATTTCTTTTTTTTTTTTTTTTGCAGGATATTGAAGAAACATATATATATATACATGTATATATGTGTATGGCTACCAAAGTGTGACGGCGACGGCGACAACGACGATGACGACGCACAGTGTGCATGTGTATAATTAAGCTAATTAATTATTAAGGTTGCAACGGCTGCTTGAAGTTAATTAGGAGAAGTTGTTTGGAATTGAAGATGTTCATCGATCATATATATATATATATCCTCAATGTCAGTTTGATTTGTGCATTATAATTAATTAAGGTTGTTTTAATTTGGTTGCACTGTTAGAATTGAAGAAGAGACTAATGTGTAAGTGTTATCCATGAATTATATATGTCATTTTATAAGACGCATCGTTCATATATATAGATATACATACACTGATGTACTATTGTGTTTACTTGTAAGATTTTGGTTTTGAATAATAATATTTTGAATTAAAATAATTATTTGATATGATATAAATATGTATTGATTTGATTTTAATGTAATATAATAAATAAAGTATAGGTGTTTGATTTGATATTTTTTTAAGAAAAAATAAAATTAAAATAGTAAAATTATGTTAATAAAAGTTATATAAGTAAACACACTTGATTCTACCTTATTTCCACAATACATTTTAATTTGATGATCAAATTTAGTTTATTTAGAGGGTGAAAATTTATTTTGAAACAATAATATAAAACGGATTTTGTCCACTTTTGGTTCATTTGGACCGAGCCCGCAAGGATTTTTTTTTTTTTTTTGACATTCTTTCAAAGGCGGGAGTTTATTTGGACTTATAAGATGTGATTTTTTTTTTAATATTTTTTAATGTGGGACTTGGATTTGCACCCAACAATTATATATATAAAGTGATAAAAAATGATAATTGTTTGCATAATACATATTATTATTGATCTCAATATAAAATATATATATATATATATTTATTACAACATAAATTGTATTAATTAAAACTATATATTTTATTTTAACCATAAATACTCAAAGGTCACATAATATGTAACAAGTGATTTCTTGTTAAGATCTTGTTGATATTGTCTTCACTATCCAATAAAAATTTTTGATATATGTTTTGTTAATATTACAAAAAATATATATAATATACATACCTACATAATCTATAACATATATTTTTCCACTTCATTAAAAAAAATAAAAAATAAAAAATAAATAAAAAAATTAATAATTTCATACAAAATATATATTTTCATATTATTAAAATATTTTCTCATATTTTATATAAAAAGGCCATGCGCTAAAAAATAATAATAATAAAAAGTGAATTTAATATCACATTACTTAAATATATATATATACATATATATTACTCCCTCCATCCCAAACAAGGTGCAACATTTACTTTTGACACGTGTTTTAAAGTAGGTAGCATTAAGTAGGATAATTTAGAAATTAGGTGATCTGATGGAAAGAGAAATATATATTTTATTTTTTTATTTAGATAATGTGAGAAGATAAAGTGTGGGATAGAGATTAAATATAATTAATTATTTTTTATTTTAGAAATATTGCAGGTGTTTGAGAGATACGAAAAAGGAAATGTTGCAGGCCCTTTGAGACGAAAGAGTATATCAATAATTAACAGAAGTTAACGGTCACGAATTTTCCGCAATTTAAAAAGCAGCTTACACTACTACATGGATGATGGACAAAACACTAAACTCAAATTAAATATACAATATAAAATTGAAAGAAGACATTAGGGTATGGTAGGTGAATATTAAATAAAATAATTTATTAATTAACTAATTAATTACCGATCGGACACGTACACTTTACGCTTTTTTAATAGATATGTTTTAAGTGTTTTAATTTTTGTGTTATTTTTTAGCTAAATAGTTTTAAATACTATCTCCGTCTCATAATAAAATATTTATTTTTTTATTTTAGTCCGTTTCATAATAAAGTATCTATTTCTTTTTTTTTTTAGTAATCGTACTATCTACCTAACATTACAAATACCCTTACAACTTACAATATATTACACAAATGTCATTACCTTTATATCACACATATTAATAAGTTATTTTAGTCATTTCTACTTTATTTTTACTATATTCCAATATAATACTAATATTTTTAAAATTATGTGCAAAAAATAAATAGATATTTAATTCCGGGACGGAGGAAGTATAACTTTTTATAATAAAAATACTTGAGGAAAATAATCTAATTTTAAAGAGAGTATAAAAAACACATGTGTATTTGTTTAGTATTTTCATTTTTAAATATTTTGCATATAAAATATTAAAAAAAATATTAATAATAAAAAATAATAATATTTTATATTGAATATTAATTTTTGTGAAAAATAATATATATACAATAAAAATGAGTTTATCAAATAAACCCAACAATCATAAGAGAAAACTTATAAAAAAAATTACCAAATTGAATAATGACACAAATTTTTTCCACAATTTTGTTTTTTATTATTCTTGTTATGATGCAGAAATTTGTAATATAAGAGATTCGTAATCCTAGTGTTTGTCATCATGTCTGTCTTAAATTAATTAAGCCCAACGAAAAAGAAATAAATAAATAAATAAAAATGAAAAATTAACTCCATAGTTGGTCATGGAAAAAAGAGCATTAATTAATTAATGCTGTGTTTGGTATAGCGATTTTTTTCTTTTTTCAATTTTACAATTTTCTAGAAAGTATACCTATATTTTTATTTTGGCACGTACATATTTTATTAAATATCTTAATTTTTTTTACAAATACTCTTATTTTACCTCATTTTATTATTTTTATTAAAAATAGTAAAAATATCATTATATTACTTTTAATTACTTATTATAATTAAAATATTATTATTTTTTAAACAGTCAAAAATAAATATTTTTTTTACGTGAGACGAATGAAATAATATTTATTAAAATTTTAATATCAAATATTAAATTAAATATTTTTTTATTAAATATATTATAAATTAATTTTATATTCAAAATATTATATTAAAATATATTTATATAAAATTATATAATTATTAAAATTTAAATTTTTTACTTAATAAAGAAAATCACACATTAAACACTGTGATGCATGACCAAAGATCCATCTCTATTTCTGCACCACTATGTCATTTTTATGGGACAAAATATAATTGGTTTGTTTAGACAGGAGATTTTTAAGATTTTTTAAAATTTGAAAAAAAAAATAAAAATTTGTTATTTAATTTGATATTTTATAAAAAATATATATATATTTGATATTATATTTTTAAAAAAATAAATAGTGCTAATTTTTTATTTTTTTTTATTTTTTTATTTTTTGATATTTACATTATGTACGAATGTAATTTTAAATTTTATATTCTATTTTTTAAAAATTTTTAAAAAAATAAAAAATAAAAATAAAAATTGTGAATATTGGTAATAATTTTGGATTGAAAATAAGTGCCAGACAAAAATTACGTGGCGGTTTGGTCAAAATTCACTCAAGTGTCGTCTAAGACACATGGAGTGATGGAGACACCACCATCGCTTACTCTGTCGTATGAATCTCGATCCTTATCTGACCAGCAAAGTCTTCTCCAGCTCCATTGTCATCCTACTAACGACGGTTTTTTTGATCTCGTAGGGTTCTGATTATCAATTGAGTTCGGCTGCTGAATTCGCGGCTGCGATTTTGCTGGATTGGATTCGATTTGCGGTTTAGTAAAGAGTAAGTGCAAATGAGTTTCAGAGAGGAAGGGGAAGATGCGAGGGGAGATCTCCGGAAGCCTTTTCTGCATACTGGGAGTTGGTATCGGATGGGGTCGAGGCAGTCTAGTTTGATGGGGTCATCTCAGGCGATCAGAGATGGCGCTATCTCGGTATTGGCGTGCGTTCTGATTGTGGCTTTGGGTCCTGTCCAGTTTGGTTTCACGGTACTGTTATTCTGAAGTTAGTTGGTTTTCATTGGCTGTTTCATTACTGGAGTTGAATTGATTATGATTTTGATTTTGAGCAGTGGCAATACGATTGCTTTGTTGTTAGAAACTGAAGTGTTTTGTTTGGTGGTAGATTATCGATTTTGTTGTTGCTGTTGAGTTTGAAAAGGAGAACGTTATGCTTGATGATGGTTTTGGATTAGTACTGAATTTCTACATTAATAGTATTTTGTGACTGGCAATTTGAATCTGAGTTAGGATAGTTCCATGATGCTGCCACTACCACTAATTTGATAGTTGATTGTAATGAAATCCTAAGAACTTGTTGGTGATACTTTATTAGATCCTCTCTGCATTTCATAAAAGAAAATATTAAACCTTTCTTCGAAAGTGTTGAATTTCTACTACCAAGGTACAATTCATGCTGCTAAAGTGTTCTAAGGTATCAATGCTTTTGAATAGGAGTTAAACTAATCTGACTTTTTTGGGTCTTAAAGTGTGGCTATTCCTCGCCAACACAGTCTGCAATCACCAACGATCTCAAGCTTACAGTCTCACAGGTTAGTGACTCCCCATTTGTCTTTTTGCTGGTTATCGGCATCAGATAATTTTGTAGATTAACAACAATGAATGGAGCAGTTCTCGTTATTTGGTTCACTGTCAAATGCTGGAGCTATGGTTGGGGCAATAGCAAGTGGCCAAATTGCAGAGTATATAGGGCGAAAGGGGGTATGTGTTGCCTCAGTAATCCGAGTTGATTATTTTTCTTTTGGTGGCTTAGATTTTGTCTGAACTTCTAATTGATCTAATTTCTTTTGCTTTCAGTCTCTAATGATCGCTGCCATTCCCAACATTATTGGTTGGATTTTCATATCATTTGCAAGAGTGAGATTTTCAAGGACTTTCATTACTTTCACACTTGTATAATTGGAAGTTGAGATTGTTGTTAGTTGTTTTGTATAATTGGAAGTTGAGATTGTTGTCAGTTGTTTCTTTTTTATTTGCATTTAGGACTCTTCATTTCTGTACATGGGAAGGCTTCTTGAAGGATTTGGTGTGGGTATAATCTCTTACACGGTAAATACATAGCTGCCATTTCTTTTTCTTAAACTGGTGCTGCTGGAATCACTCCGATGTTCTCTAATTTTTCCCACAGGTACCTGTATATATTGCTGAGATAGCACCAGAAAATCTTAGGGGGGCACTGGGCTCAGTAAACCAGGTTTCCCTAGTTTAGATAATATATGTTCCATTTGAATATGTTAATATAAATATTGCTGAAATTTACTGTCTTCTATGATGCAGCTCTCGGTGACAATTGGAATCTTGTTATCATATCTTCTGGGACTATTTGTTAATTGGAGATACCTTGCAGTTCTTGGTAATTTATAGAAGCTTGTTGATTGTTCAAATTTGTAGAGTTTCATTTATTAATTCCCCATAATAAATTGCAGTTCCTGGTATTTTCAAACCAAACCTTAAATCTTGAAAGAAGAAATTTTATCAAATATAGTTGAGATACCATCTCTGTCATTGCTTATTAGATCTATCTATATCTATACTGCCTTCTTTGATTCCACATGGAAATTCCCTGCATGTAACTAATAATAAAGTGCCGATATGAAGCTTTCAAAAGTTTGTATGAAGACCCTTCTAAAAAGTCTCTAGTATTTATCTGATGCACAGGAGCTTTGCCTTGTCTGATATTGATGCCGGGACTCTTTTTCATCCCAGAATCTCCTCGTTGGCTGGTGAGACAATAACAAATCTTTTTCTCATTTGGGACCAAAGCTAATGTGATGCAATTAATATTGATTTTTTTTTTTGTCTTTGTTATGCACAGGCTAAAATGGGGATGACAGAAGACTTTGAAGCATCTCTGCAAGTTCTTCGGGGATTTGACACTGATATTACACATGAAGTAAATGAAATCAAGGCAAGTTCTTTGAACAATTAATAAAACATGTATCATGAAATGTACTTTTTTTTTTTTTTTTTTTTTTTTCTGTAGAATACCTTCTAATTTATACATGGCATCTCTTTATTGTAGAGATCCTTAGCATCATCAAATCGAAGGACGGCAATCCGCTTTGCAGACCTAAAATTGCGAAGATATTGGTTACCGTTGATGGTACAAAAAATCCAAAGAGCTCTTCTTTTTCTATAATCTTTTTGCTCTTTTGATAGTTAGCATACCTTTTGGTGATTGTTTTATTACAGATAGGAATTGGGTTATTAGTTCTCCAGCAGCTAACTGGAATTAACGGTGTTATCTTCTACTCCAACAATATATTTGAATCTGCCGGTGAGTGGAAATTACCTGCTTCATCTTTGACACTGATTCTGTGAATATTTTTGCTGAGCTTTATCCTTTAATGTGAGAAATAAGTGTGATTGTTATATGTTCTACCTCCACTTGATATAAGTAACTGTGAAATTTCTTATATGAGTAATTTGCAGTTTTTAATTCATTTTCCCAGTATTTCTTCCAATATATGCTCTGTATATAATCACATGGTGGCTTAACCTGATCGCATTGTTTCAATTGTTTCCTCGAATGAACAGGAATCTCTTCAAGCAATATTGCAACAGTTGGTGTTGGCGTTATTCAGGTTAATCATTGTGAAGCATGGATGCTAGCTATAATTCTCTTTCTGAATTCACGAAATTCATGTCAGCTGTTCTAAATAGTTTCAAAGGAGTAAAATGTGGTTTTCTTCAGGTTATTGCTACAGCAGTTTCAACTTGGCTGGTGGACAAAACCGGGCGCAGGATTCTATTAATTGTGAGTTGAATACAAACGATGATTAGAAACTGAGGCTACTGAGGTTCTATTAATTGGAAATATACACTTGTTTCAGGTGTCCTCCACTGGAATGGCTTTTAGCCTTGTAGTAGTTGCTGTGTCATTCTTCTCGAAGGTAATGCTCGAAGATTATCTGAGGGATGTAATTATAGATACAACATAGGACCCTAATTCGTATGAATCTTTTCTATGATCTTAATTGCTCAAGGGCTTTGTGTCGGAGGATTCTACATTGTTTAGCATCTTGGGAATCTTGTCAGTCGTCGGTGTGGTGGTATGTTTTCTTCGAGATGCACTAGCCAGAGTGATCTACATTTGTCATTACAAAGTTCCTAACATCACTTAATATCCTTGTCCCAATTTATAGCTCATGATCATCTCCTTTTCTCTTGGAATGGGGCCGATTCCATGGCTTATAATGTCCGAGGTGCTAGTTAACGTCCCTTTATTACATTATATACAGCTTTAAACATTAGAGTACAAAACACTTGAATATGTTGCTCATGTAAAATTTGTCCGTGATTGTTGCAGATTCTTCCAATCAAAATCAAAGGCTTAGCTGGCAGCGTTGCGACTTTGTTTAACTGGTCCTTCTCCTGGCTTATTACCATGACTGCGCCGCTTCTACTCAATTGGAGCAGTGGAGGTTCGTAAAAATCCCTTCTTTTGCTCGTCGTTTCATAACGAATCAAATAAGAACAATTCAATTGGTTAGACACTTAAAATGTGAGCTGAACTTGTCCTGAAAGACTATTCTGAAGGTCCGTTTTTGGCATGAAATTGATGTCGAATTTGATCGTCTACACAGGTACTTTCACAATGTACACAGCCATGTGCATATTCACGGCAGCATTCGTTACTATATGGGTTCCGGAGACGAAAGGAAGAACATTAGAGGAAATCCAGTTCTCCTTTAGATGATAATCCTTCTTGCCCTTCTCTCTTTTGATCGTTTCTCTTTCGGGTTTTTTTGTTTTTTTCTTCGCTTGTGTTGTTGTTGTTGTTGTTTTTTAGCCTCTCTCTTGGCTGTTGTTCAAATCCTATGTTCTCCATCCATAATTGATATGGATATTGTGTAATAAACTTGTAGGAAATAAATGTTGATGGATGTACCGTTGGATTCGTCCATCAAATACTATGCCAAGACTTGAAGGTTGTGTTTGTTAGGAGTTTTTCAGATTCCTGCTGTTTATTGAATTTTTTTCATTAAATGAATCAAATGCTTTTTTTTATTTTATATAGTTTATTCGTTCGTGTTTTTTTGTTTTCTTTTTCATACAAGTTTGTACTGATTTTTTTTATTTAATCTATTATGTTATATTTTTTAAAGAAAAAAAAAAATTCCAGTTTAAATTAACGTTTCGTTGAGCAAAGGAAAGGTATACAGTGCAGAGGGAAATAGAAATAAGTAGGTGAGGTAAGATGATAGAGAAATCGAGACCGTTGATCCTATCAAAGCAGCTTACGCTTCCGTGCATAGTTCTTGATATGGAAGTTGAGGAAGAGCACCAAAAGCGTAGTCCCAAAAATGGTGTTGAAAACCCAAACCCGCATTCCAGAGCAACCCGACCCGGAAAAGTGCAGGTAAAGCATCAGACCCGAAATCAAATACCCGAACAGGAACTGCGTGATCTGGCAGTCCGTCACCGCCCTCTTCCACGGCGGCCGGTGGCCCAGCGCCGCCAGCAGGTAGTATCCGTACATGAGGACGTGGACGGCGGAGTTGGTCACCACCCCCACCGGGAACAGCGTCTGCGGCGCCGCCAGCCAGAGGTAGCACATCACCACCACCACCGCGTGGTGGAACACGTGGAGGAACGAGAGCCGGCGGGTCCGGGACCCGCTGAGGAGTATCAGCAGGGTGTCGACGAACTCCAGGACCTTGGAGAAATAGAACACGTGGCCCCAGAAGAACGTCGGGCCGCGCTGCTCCGTGCCGGCGGGGAAGCAGACGCACCACATCGGGTTCCCCGGCGGCGTCTGGTGGATCACCGACAGGGCGCAGCCGACCGCCATGATCACGGACAGGGCGCAGAGGATGGTGTTGTGGACGGCAGCGAGCGGGCGGAGCACGGCGGAGGGGAGCTCCGGGAGGATCGGAAAGCGTTGCAGGAGAAGAGTGAGGAAGAGATAGGCGGCGACGGCGGCGGCGACGAAGGATGGGGTGGCGCCGGGAGTTTTGCCGGGCTTCCACTCGTAGTGGCTGATGATTGGATGGTCCACCAGCCAGTAGTGCACCGCGCCGTAGAGAGTAATTGCCATTTTATGTCGCTATCATTCACCTTCCAACTGGATTTCACCCTCAGGCCTCAGTATATATATATATACACATATATGTATATATACGAACACGTGCACACGTATCCCACGGCTAAGGGATCGTCGATCGAATTTGTATCCAGTCTACTCGGTCGAACCCCTCTAAAATCGACACGTGTCCAGAAGGTTAGGAAAAAAAATTTAACTAAAACTGGTGAATTTTTATAAAAAATTGATCAAAATTTATACATTTTTATTATATTAAGAGTTTAAGACTATTATTAATTTCTTTTCTTATATTTTAATTGAAAAAATTATACTCCTACTACACACTCCAATGTACTATTTTAGAATTTTATAATAAATTAAAAAATAATTATTTATGATGTAATGGTAAAATAAGGATATTTATGAAAAAGTAATTACGTATGATAGTAAAATAAAAATATTTATGAAAAAAAAATTAATTAAATTATCTTGTTAATAGACAACCCAAAATAGAAAATTGCAATTCTTTGTTGATCCGGTCAAATCAGCAAATCAGCATGATACACTGATTTGACCGGGTTTAAGGTTTAGGGTTATGTCATATAGGTGATCATCCTATATTTATACATATCACACAGCATAGACTAAGTTGGTTAGGTATGAATATTTGTTAGTCCTGATCCATGCCTAAATAGAATGTGTATATTTTCTGAGCGGAAAATGTAATATTTTATTACTTAATAAATGTGTGTAAGAAATTTTAATATTTTTATTATTTAATTTTATATATAAATCAATTGTATATATATAATACTCTCTCCATTCCACTTAATCCTACATAATTTATCATTTTTTTAAAATATAATTATATATTTTAATCATCTTAATTTTAATTTATAATTATTTTTTAAAAACATAATTATTTTCACTAATATATTTCTTAATTACTTACTAATTATGCAATACCTAAAACTTTTTGTCTAAACTAAATGAGACAAATTAGTTGAGACGAAGTGAGTAATATATTTATAATTTAAAAGAAATTTAAAATTATCTTGTTATTCATATATAATTATTTTTATTAAAATAAAAAATAATATTTTTAAACAAACGTAACGAAAATGATAAAAGTAATAATTTAAATTAGAACATATTTATTTTTTTTAAAGCTTATATCCGATTGAATGAGCATAAATTTTTACTTTGACGGGCTCATAACTCGTTAGCGCGAGCTTGCGACAAGTGGGACATTACTTTGATTTGACTTGGGCTTGTCTAAAAAACACGAGTAGGCATTTTAAGGAAACCCCATCCAAGAAAATCCCTTGTAATTTTAATATTTCTTCCGTCTCAAACGTAAATCTATATAATTTTAATATAAAAAAAATTTTCAAATTTCTTTATTAATAGTATATTTTTTAAAAAATATTATATTAAGTATTTTTTTGTCGCAATATTTTACATAAATTATTCAATTTTTTTTTTAATTTTTAAAATTTTATAACTTTGAAAATTTATATATCTAACTAGAGCTTTCTCCCTATTAAGGCCAAACTTTTCGGGCACGGGACATGGATGGAGTTAACTTGAAATTACCATAACAATTATTTAATTATTTTTGTTGTAAGGAATCTCAATGTAACACTGCTCCACGCCAAGAAACTTTTATATATATATATATATATTTTATGACGTGGATATTTCTCGTTGCTACCCGAAAGTGCGCACCTAATTATGGGTTTAATCATAATTTTAAATATATTTCAATATTATTCAATTGACATAGGTCTTGTTTGATTGTGATTTGAAATTAATTTAAAATGATTGATTTATTTGTTTAGTGTATTGATTTGAAGAAAAAAAAAAGCTGATTTGAAATACAAAAAATTGTATAGATAGTATTATAAAAAAATAATATTTGATGTCGAATATTAAATTTTATGAGATGATAAAATATATATATGAAAAATTGTGTAAAAATAAAAAAAGAAATTTTACAAGAAAATCCTGTATTGATTTGATTTTTATATAAATAATATTAATTTTAATTTAAAATAACAAATTCATAATTTATTTATATCAAATCAAACAAACTATTTGTGTTATTTTGGAGTTTAATTTTAGAATTCCAATTTGATTTTAATTTAGTATTTTTCATATGATTATATATTAGAGAAAATAACACGTATTTATAGAAAATTTTCAAATATTATGCAATTAAAAAAATAAAATAAAAATCAAATTCTAAAGGAACATATTATCTTAAAAAACCAACAACAGTTTGTATATTTTAGAATTTTTAAAATAAAAAATGATTAACAAAATAAAAATTTACTGTTATATAATAAGTATTTGATATAATATTTTAATTATAATATAAATTTATTATTTAATATTTTTAATAAAATAAATATTAAATATAATATTTTTTCGAAAAATAATTGTTGTTTAGGGTTTGTGTTGGAAGTGTTATAAATTTTAAAATAATTTTGAAAATAGAAAATAGTTGAATTAAAATGAGGTATTTGATGTGACAAAAATAATTTTTTGTCCGAGTTAATTATGTTATTTTATTTGATCGTGATATTTAAAAAATAATAATATTTTAATGTAAAAATAAAATTCTAAAGTTATAAAAAAATTATTTAAAAAATTAATAAAAAATAATATTATAAGTAAAAAACTAAGTAACAAATTATTTATTACAGCATTTTTTAAAGTATGAATAATGAAATTACGAGTTAATAAAATTATGAATGAATGAAATTATTTATTATAATAGATTGTACATAAATTTTGCGGGGAAAAAAAAAAGTATAATATAATTATAATGGAAAAATGAACTACTCGTATTTGTATAATTAATGTGAAAGGATATGATAACTTTATTGTGTAATAGAGATTATAATTAGGTATATTGTAATGATAACTATATACATATTATTAGATTTAAGATTCGAATTAAATCCGATTATATCCAGATCCAATCCAAATTATGCCGCATAAGACCTTATGGATCCGAAATACTTTTACAATTCATATAAATTTAACATAAAATTTGGATCGAACCCGAATCCGATATACATTAAAATATTTTTTAATATAATTATATTATTAAAAAACAATTCTTACATATGCTTGTGATATTATTAATATATATTAAACAGGTCGGAGTACGGTATACCCTTAGACTCTATCCGGATCTAATTAAGATACACAATACATGAGTTATACCCAATTCGATATTCGAATAATTAGATTTGACCTCAAATAAATATATTATGAGCCTTGGATTGAATTGAACTACTCCCTCCGTCTCATATCTATATATGTATTTGCTTTTTGTACGGAATCTTAGAAATATTAGTATTATTGGGATAAAGTAGAAATAAAAGTAAAATGACTAAATTAACCCTATTAGTATTGTATGATATAAAGGTAATGAATGATATTTGTGTAATATATTGTAAATTGGAAGAGTATTTATAATGTTATGTAGATAGTACAATTACTTAAAAAAAGAAATGGATACTTTGTTATGAGACGGATTAGAATGGAAAAATAGATAAATTGTTAAAGAACGAAGGAAGTATTAATGATTCATATAATTTATTTATTTATTTATCTACATTCGGGAACCAACATGCCCTCTTATGTGTAAAGGAAATATATGCCACTATATCAAATTCTTACGTGAACACGACGACGAACGAGGGACGATGGAACTTGAATACGAGATTTATGGTTACTTTGTAATTAAATGTCCAAAGTAAAAATATGTATATTTTTTAGTTTGATGGAGGAATTATATTTTAACATTATAAATTTTAAAATAATAATGAAGATGAATATTATGTTTAATGTTTTTTTTTTAAAAAAACAACAAATATTTATAATACTTAAAAAAATGTTAATAAATAATATAAAAATAAAATTAAAATATAAATAAAGGTAACGCTAATTTCCTAAAATGGCCATTATAAGGGCTATGAATGTAAACAATGCTTTAGGCTCCTTATAATAGCCATTTCTGGAAATTAGTGCACCTATTTCATGTTACCAATAAATAATATTGATTCATCTTCAAATAAAAAAACAAAATAAATAAATACTAAGGGCGCATTTGGCAATTAGCTGACAGTTGTTAGATGATTCAATTAGCCGATAGCCATTAGTTGATTTAATTAGCTGGTTTGACTAGCTGATTCGATTAGCTGTTTGTATTAAAATGTTTGGTAAAATAACTGTTTGATATTAGCTGTTTATATGTAAAATGACAATTGAGGACATTTTTATTTTATTCTTGTTTCTAATATATTTAATTATGTTCTTTTTGAGTTTAGAATGTTTAAAATTTTTTGTTATTAGTTATTGAAAATTGTAAAAGAATTATAAAAGTATTTATTTTTATTACAGTTAGATTTAAAAAATAATATATATATTTTTAAATATATAAATAATTTTTTTTATTGAAAATGATGTAAAATATAAAATAATAATTTTTTTATATATTTATTATGTTAGTAATCAATTAGTTTATTATATTTATAATTTTCAATAAATTTAATTTATTTAATTTATTTTTAGTATAAAATTTATATAATGTAATTTTAATAAAAAATAAATTATTAATATTTATATTTTTTATTTTATGTTTATTTTAATTAATTTATATATTTTACAATTAAAATAATTTTTATATAAAAATTAATTATTTTAAATTTATAAAAGTAAAACTATAATATAATAAAATATTCTAATATAATTAATAAATGATCAAAATATATTTATTTGTGTAAAATGTATAATAATTTTTTAAGGCAATATAAGGAATAAAATTTTTTTTAGAGAAAAAGCTATTTCAAAACGCTGGGTAAGTTAGCTTTTTAAAAATTAGCTTATTTGGGTCCAAAAAGCTATTCTAAAAAACTAATTTACCAAACACCTAAATTAATTTTTTGACTGGTCAAACAGTTAAAAACTGTTTAATAAGCTAAAAGCTATTCAAAAAGCTATTTGACAAACACCCTCTAAATTAAATCGTAAAAAAAAAAAAAAAAAAAAAAAAAAAAAGCTGCTGCCACAAGATTCGACTACGCATTTTAAGGAAACCCAATTCAAGAAATTTATC